GAAACTTCTTACTTTTATTATATATGAAATTGTTTCATCTTAATATTAAGAAAAACATATTTTTCCTACTTATTTAGACGGGCGCTAATCTCTTATAGATTAATAAATACTAAGAGAGTCTAATATATCTCTTTATATATCACAGGGGAGCAGATATTAAAATCCTTAAATTTCTATTTAGTTATGGCTTGGATCCAGCAGCGTAAGATATTGACAGGAAAATACTTATATATTATAGGGTAATTTATAATGTGTTTAATAAGGAACTTGTAAAGTTCCTTAGATTAAGAAATATTTTAAATATTTATAGCAGAGACTTATTTAGTAAGACCCCCCTTAATTATACAGAAGAAAAAGCTTATCTCAAATATCTGAAAAATATGCTTTTGTGTTTTTATAAAAAATAGAAAGACTCTTTCCAAAATTTAAGCACAGTGGCTCGCCCACTTTTATGATTTATTTATTTAGATATATATTTTACAAGTATATACCCCTGTTTTTGTTTCTAGATCTTAATAAATACTAACACTTTCAAAAACCAAAAGGATTTTAAATTAGACTTTGTACCTATGCGAACCCATCACATATACCTGTACTTTATGTATATCCAGAAACCCCATATTTGGAAATTAACCTACTATCTTGCTTATTTCTTCTTTATAAAATTACTTATAGCTTACATCTTTTATAGAATCTATCTTATCAGAAGATTCTTCCTTTAATAATTATTTCTGCTTTTAAATAATATAATTTAAACAGGTCTCTGTAATAGAATAAATATTATAAAAGTACCGCCGAAGCCCTATAATACCTTTATACTTTTTCTTCTGGCAGAGCAGATATAGACACTGTATTATTTCTTTTAACTAATAGGACTTTAGATAATTATTAATATAATTTAAAAAAGTAGCTTTAGTTATTTACTGCTTGAACTGTTCTGAAGGGGTCTTATTTTTATCCTTTAAATAAAAGAGATAAAGGCTAGCCGCCACAGTTGTATATCAGAATATTAGGATTCTATAACGAGGCTAAATATTCTCCAGATAATACTAATAATGCCTTTTTTATTTATTTATGTTAAAAACTATTTTAGTATAGTAGTAACAGAACTACACAAATTAGTATTAGATATAGCAGTGAGTATATTTGCCATTCTTATAACACTATTAATAGAGTGCAGCATCCAAGTGCTATTATTAATATTATAGGATGTGCTTCACGCGAGCCTGTGCGGCAGTACTATAGACAGTTAGTGTAAGCTAATACAACGGCAGTAGATACCGAACCTTAATATTTCCTATAAATAAGTTAGACACCAGCTGTTTTTAGATACTAATCCGGGATAATAAATGATTTTCTCTGTTAATATGTATAAAGAGACTATATCTTGTAAGTATTATTTGCCCTTGTTACTACTAATAGAAATCTTTTTAAAGAGATTGTTTTAAAGTTAAGATCTTTTAGGTATATACTTTTTATATATATTAAATAAATAGGTTATATTGCGCTCTGAGAAGTTATTACCAGTAATATATTTATTATAAGAAGCTTTCTACTACTAGGTAATAAAAACTGACTGCTTAGCTTTAAGCTTCTTTGCCTTCCTGCTATAAAGCTTATAATATTCTAGATCTAGATCCCTGTGTACCGCAGGCTAGCCTATAATTTGTTTTATTAATATAGTAATCTGCTTGTTAAGTGCTAAAATCTTAGTATTACTCTTGAATTCGGCTAAAGTAGCAGTATTAATATACTGGGGTACATTTGGGTCTTAATAATAGGCTATACTTTATTCTATATTTTAATACTTATAGTCAGGTTCCAAGTTATAGAACAGAGCCTATACATCGAGAGACTTTAGCTATACCTGATATTTAAAATATATATTATGATTTTAGTGATCAAGTGCCTAGCCATGTGTAGCCTTAAATACTTTGGCTATAAAATAGTTAGTAGTCCTATATTATCAGCTGATATTAGGGCTATACGGTTAATCCTGTTTACTACTTTACTCCTAATATTATAGATCTGTAAAATATTTTTAAAACCATCTCGCTCAGCAAGTACTGTATTGTTATAATATATAGCAGAAAATATTAAACCTTTGTCTGGCGAAGGCTCTTTTAAAGTAATCATGCGGAAGAATAGGAGCTTTTTAGCAGAATCTGATTATTATAGGGTCTATGATTCTCTTCTAACTGGTGGTCGTTTTGCTAGAAGGTTATTAATAGAGGAAATGCCTTTAAATATACTGTTTGTGATACTATATATAATTACCTAAAAGATAAAATTAAAGCCTAGAACAGGATATTCTCGAAATTAATTTTTCGGTCTAATATAGTTTACACTTATAAGCTATGGAACTAGGGAAGGCTTGGATATAACTAATAATTTAATATTATTTTAGTAATGCTATTTTTTTAAAAATTCAGAGTTAATAATTACCTATTATTTAATAAACCTGTAGTTACGGTCACTCTATTTAATATTAAAGCTAAAATACTGGTTTTCTCTATGAGATACGCTTCTTTAAAGATTTGTAGGTGGAAGCTAACCTTATAATAAAGATACTTATTCGAATTTATATAAGAACTAGATTTAATAATAGCGCCAGCACAGGCCCCAGAGCCGGTAAAAAAAGATAAGGTAGATCTTGTTTGAATTCTGGCCTGCTTATATTTATAGTTATGGCTGTTTTTACTAAATAGGCGGTGTAATAAATATTTAAGATTTTTGGCCGTGACTGGGGCCCGGTCTCTTGGTTTAATAGGAAGTCTGTATTTTAAGGTGAGGATGTTCTAAATATGCTAAAATACCAAGTTAGTAATAATAATCAGATTATTTATAAATTATAGATAGTTATATTTAACATATCTTTTTTAATATAATCGGGCAATATATATAATGTTTCTTGCTCCTATAAAGAAGTAAAACTAGTTAAGTTATAGTATACTATTTATTAGGAAGGAAGTTTCTTTTAGGTGGTAATATAGTCTTCAGTAAATAATTTTAGGATCTGGGGTGTCAGATCCGGCTTATTACGGGAAAAGTTTTTTTTCTTAGACTTATTCTGTGATAGTTACTATTTATATTTAATAAGGAATTACCTAACAATTTATTCTCAAAAGAAGAAAAAACTAATAGTTCCTAGTTTGCTAATACCCGATAATATTTATTATCTATAGCGGGGGCCAGCTTTTTATGGTAAATAATATTTTTCTGGCGTTCTTGTAGATGCTGGAAGTCGATAATAAAACCGCGGGAAGCTGCCAGACAGATATGTTCCTTGATAAGTTGGAGTTTATCAGAGGTCATGTTAATGTGGGTCACATGATAAAAGACTAAGTGTCAGGGTTTGACGAGTAAAGAAGAACAAGTTGAAAAGTAATAATAAAAAAGCAAGGAAGGCTTTTTGCCTATTTATTAATATCTTCTGAATTAGCTCAAAACCCCCTGCTGATCCTATTAAAATTTTTCTGGTTCTGATTGTTAGTGACCACTAGTGACCACTGGCGACTATTGATAATCACTGGTGATATTAATAACTACCGGCTACTGTATATAAATAGAACACCCTTATTATTAGCACCTGATCTAAAAATTGTTTCAGAAAAATATTTAAGTTAAGGGTTCTTTAATAATTAACTGTACGGACTCAGGAGGCTTAAGTACGGCTGAGCAGACAGGAAGCCCTGTTCTCCTCAACCTGTGGTTGTATGTACTTGAATCTACTGAAGTATGGTATATGGTCTATTTCTTCAGGAGTCACACTTGATTCAACAGCAATGTGTCCAAAGATGACAGACCATCTGACCAAGCATCTATAGCACCTGAGAGAACATCAAAGGACATTCAGAGACCTCCCCATACCGTAGCCGCCATGGATTGGGTCGCATGAAACCAGGATGTCAACTGTCTTGAAGTATGGAACAAGTGTCGCTCGATGATTCTCCGAATGAACCCAATCGACAGTGTCTGACGTCGTCGGGCCTTTTTCAGAGAAGTGAATTCCGACACCTGCTCGACCAGACCATCTGGGGACTTGCAGGAGGAAAGCAGGTCTCGGTGCTGGGGGAGAAAGAAAATCCCCGGAGAGGAAGGACTTCCTATCCGCTCAGCTATACATAAACTACCCGAAAATTAATACTCTTCAATAACTAGTTTTACTAGTGATAATGATGACTTTTAAACTATTCATAAATTACTATAAATTGTAAAAATATCACCAAAATTTATTAATTATGAAGCAATGGTTCCTTGCAGGTATTAGCGGTTATTTATGTCCAAAGTATGTACTACCCGCGGGTCGGGTTGTGGCGAAGGAGTTTACAGGTCGCCCTCCATCCAATTCAAGTTCAAGCCGTATAATACATAGGCACATGACAAAATACATTAGTCTAAAGCAGCAGACAGCAATTTCTTAAAGACCATAGCGGAGAGAAGTCCTGCGGAAATGTTTAGCGTGTGGGAAATCATAAATATTGCACCAACTTACCTAACAGATAAACAGCCACAAAGGCCAATTTGGGTTGATTAGGCGGTTTCCTTTGTCCGGGAGCCTTGTTTGAAGAATCTGGTTCTGCTTCTTCTGGTGGTGTTTCTGATTTATCACTTCCCTGACCATCTAATGATATCCCTAATGGTATGGATATCTGCTCAGAAGAGCTGTCATTTTGAGTCACTTCATTGCTGTCAACCACGTCAGATTCCTTTGACAATAGCCATATATGGCGCTTGGCCAAAGACACCAGCTTCTGTCTGTTCGGAAATGAGGAATGATCGAAAATATCAGCCAATGTAATCTCAGTAAAGTGACCGTTCCAATTTTCTCCTCCTATTCCCAGCAGGAGTTTCTTTATCGAAGGATGATCAAAATTCACTGAAACATCAACTTCGCGATCTTTCTTCCCAAGGATTAGCTTGGCAATATGCGTTCCCTCTTCGATGTTGGGTGGCAAGGATAGTTTGAAATGGACATCAACTCCGCTCTCCATCAGTTTCTACCAGAATAGGCCCACACCACTTGAGCAAGGGTCATGTGATTCATATTGGAAGCCTACCATAAGACCAAGAGCCAAATGCTGCCAGAGAGCAAGCTCTTCACACCTGTTCGATACCGATAAACCTTTCAAGAGTGGGGGAGATATGCTGCTCTGTACAGTCAGAGCGTGGTATGATAGACCATCATCCCCAAAAATGGAATCCCTTGTTGTTCCTTGCAGAAGATTGCGGTAATGACAGTAGGTTATGATAGCAATATTCAAAGGGACTTTTATGCAAGAGGGGTCTCTTTTCACTTTCCATCTAAGGTATGCGTAATTTCCAATGAATGCTGCGGTGTGCAGAGGATTGAATACCGACTCAGTTGAACTGCAGTGTGGAATAAGAATCGCAATAACCTCAACATTGTCGTATCCCGGAGGCACAGGACAAGCGACTCGGCCTCCCGTAAGATCTGTAAACCCGTGTCTGGCAAGGACGGATTCCAGTTGCTCCTCGTAAAAGAAAGGCTGCTTGCTGATGTTGGCTCTTTGCCTGGCTTCCATGACGTAGGATACTATTTCAGGCACGTGGTCACAACCAGAGAGACGCATATCGCCCTCCCGTATAGCGAGCAGAAATATCCTGGAGATAGCATTCTCCAGACAGAAGTCCTTGAGATGTTTCTCCTGCTCCTGTGATCGGTAGGATTGAAGGAAGTCTGGGACAGACCGATGAGTGAACGAGATGATCCAGTTTTCTTCTTTACCTTTATCCCGGCCATGTGAATCCCATTGCCCATGCCATGTTGCTTCCACAAAGCCCTTGGAGCTATCCATGAGCATTTTTCTCGCTTGCATTAGCCGATTACGCTTCGAAATATTAAACCATCTTGCGAATAGCGAAGGTAGCCTTTCATCCGGTAAGTCTGACAGGATGTCGTCTATTAAGTAGTACCAAATTAGCCGGAAATGCAGAAGGTCATGTTCTTTCAGTTTCTGCACAATGGCAAAGGTCTGGTGAACCCGGTTTCGATCTGCGGGATGGATTGACCCAAGAAGGTGTTTGAAGAGGTCTTCCAATCTCTCTGGGAGGTTGTCAATCTCGATTTCTAATCTCACCCTCGTGGCTTCTCCTCTTTCATTCAAATCGCGCAGACGTCGCATGACCAAAGAAACCCAGAGAAAGACACCATTGGCTTTCTCTTCAATCATGCCTACCAGGTACTTCAATCCATGGCAGTGTGCAAAGGGTTCCATTTTATCCAGAATAAATTGTTTTATATCGACTCGAGTTAGATCCTGCATGCATATTCGTTGGTGCTCTGGGAAATGATTCATAAAGACGCTGTATTCACGGCTGGACACACAGAACTTAACATTTCCTTCGGGCGATTGGCTCCAATGACAAAGCTGCTCAACGACATCTGCATAATCTTCATTGCCGGAGTTGTCATACTCGTCGAGTCCGTCAATGAAGAAACAAATTCGGTAATCTTGTCGCCGGACACGAACCAAGCGGTCGAAAGCCGTGAAGAGATCATCTAGGGAGAAATATGTTCCTTTCTGCGCCTGTAGTGGCGTCGATTTGATCTGGTGCCATTGCTGAGGAAGAACTTCTGCAACGAGACTGGGGCCCGATTTGAGAGCCTCGTAGAGAAGTGAGCGGAGGAGTCCTTCCATTGACTTTTGAAGTCGCGAACCCGGATTCCAGAAGAAAAACTGCGCCATTATCAGCTCACTGCCATCGGCCCATTGAATCAACCTCTTTTTGGTGCGGTCGTCGCGGTATAGCAACTTCATCAATGTTGATTTTCCCGAACCTAGTTTACCAGAGATATGGAAGATTCCATCGCCATCTGAAAGCCATGTGTTGAAGGATTTATGGAACCCATCACAATTCCGATCGTCGTAATTGCCGTTAAAAATCCACTGCAGTGTGTCGTCGTGGGCTTGGGCCACTTTGTCGAGCCGTGTATTCATGCTCTCAAATGTCAGACTGGAAATCAAATATTTGCTGAGCATTATGTCGTAGCCCCCCGCTGAGATATCCAGGAGGCCTTCCATCCATTTTTGACTTTCCGTAGAGAAACGTTGGTTCATCCGCTGAAGGTCCTCAACTTGTTTCTGTAACAGCAACATCTTACTTCTGGTGTTCTCGGCGCTGCTAAGCAATGCGGACAGATCCTTCCTAAATTAAGGTACTTGAAAGTCAGACAATGTACGTTCCTGAGGAAACCACTTACAGTGACGGAGAATTGAGCAAACCTTGTCTCGTAACTCCAGTATAGTTCCAATTGTTCCCTGCACCGACTCAGTCGTGCCTGGAGCTCTTCCTTTTTCTTACCATATCTCATGACGTTGAATGAACTCCTGAGGTCTTCCCGCTTCGAGCCGGGGTTTTTCGATTTCATCTTATCCAGGACAGTTGTAATTTCCTTGGCTAACTGACTGCATTGTCTCGCAAGGTCACCTATGCCATTGTCTTTACCGATCGTAGAATCGTCCGGTGGAATAAGGTCTCGCGAGAATTCCTGCATTTTTTCCGCTAGCAGCTAATCACCAAGTACCATTTCGATGGCACCGGACCCTGAGTTGTAGGCTTCTTTCGCATTTTGGAAGATCTTAACTCCCAGATCGATAAATGCTATAATATTCAATACGAGTCCAATAGTTGTTAGGGGGTCCATTATAGGTTGCTAGAAAGTAAGAAAGGTTAGGGGTGTGAGCAGTTAGGAGGCTGGACCATATAGATTAACAGGGATTAAACGCTTGCCAGCTGGCAGGCAGGCTTAACCCCGCTGATATTGCTTTTTATACAGTGCTGCTTTTGTGGATGACTATAGCCTCATGTTACTAGCTTCTTACTAGGGATCCATACAACTTGACAAATATACCATAGAAATACTTAAAACGTCTTGTTTTAACATGTCGTGAATAGCCCATATATAATTGTTATTATATATTAAATAATATGAACAATACTAATGTTACTCCGTTAAGCCTTTGGCCACACAGTCTTACTAGGATAGTATAGATTAAAACTTTCATAGGAGTCAGGTTCTAGCTCTTATCCTGAAGTCTCCTGCGCAAGACTTTCTCAGTCACTCTGCTCTATATGCTTTTCTGCTATGCCAAAAAGCTCGGTCAGTAGTCTTCCCACCTGATTATATTTTTATGCATCTGGTACCCGTTTTCCAACAATACTAAATGGTAACCATTAATTAGGTTATTCGCTATACGAAGTTAGTCAATAAACCCCCCTGCCTTACCCAGAATCTCCCTAACTCCATCATTCACTCTCAAAAACTAGTTATTCGATATTGCTCTGATGCATTAAATGGAAGATAATAGTATACTATATACTATATATCCCATTGTCTTTTTTGACCTGGTACATACGACCACAGGGTGAGGAGAACAGGGCTTCCCGTCCGCTCAGCCGTACTTAAGCCTCACGCCGGCCGGTTAGTAGTTGGGTGGGTGACCACCAGCGAATCCCGGCTGTTGTATGTTTTTTTTTTTTACTAAAATTTAGTCTAATCGCCCTACTCTTTCAGTCCATTTATCTGAATGCCCTGAAAAAAACCCCTATATCATCATCGAAAGAAATCCGTATACACAGGCTCCAGCGACGACTGCAGGCCCGGCGGTCGGGTGTCGAACAGTTTCTCCATCCGCTCGTAGACTGGAAAGACCTCCGACATCTGATCCAAGCATTTCATAAGCTTCTCAAAACACGTCCCAAAGGGGCTGGAAAGCTGAAACAGAATTATTAGCGAACCCTAATTAATTCAAGGGACCTGCCGTAAGATGAGAGACTCACCTGAAACACCAAAGGGATAATCACCCTGGAACGCAGCCAGAGAGGGCGAAAACAGAGCCCTCAAACAACACTCTGGGACAAAGTTTATCGCCTGATAAACCCAAATTAGGTTTCCCGGTTATATATCTGTTGGGTGGGTTCATGCAATTCGCTCGATTCCATTCCCGCTAAATGTCTCCGTAGGTTTTCTTTCCGGGATGGCTTTTAATAATATTGATCTGTTGCCTCAGGTTGACCTTTAGCATGGTTATTTTGTCATAGTGTTTGGTTTTTAATTTAATCGCTCAGATATCTGGGGCTCGCAAGACCCATGGGACACTATCAAAGGGAATTGCCGAAGGCAGATATTTGCAATTCATCTGTCCATTCTTCTTCTATACCCAAGGCGCCAATAGCAATTAGTACATTTCGCACATTCCTTTTCCCAACAGCTGCAATATCGCCTGATAATGTCCTATCATAACGATTATTGGGGGCATTTCAAAGCTTACGTACGGACATCAGACTTTACAAGATCAATCAATCATAATCAATGAAATTAATCAAAGTTACTCCAGGCTCGTGTATGGGGAACTATTACATCAGAAATAAGATCAAGCGCAAACTGGAGCTGGATTTGATTGCCTCACTGAGCCGATTGGCGGAATAGGTTAACGAATCAAACTCCAGAATACGCGTAAACATGCCGAGATAGATAAGTGGTGCGAAGGTTTCAACAATCAATCAGAAGGTTTAGGTTACAAGGGTTACAAGGGCTGGGTCGGAATCCTACTCGAAACTCTGTTTTTGCGGAAAGGTCGCTACCATATTATCCGTTGTACAACCCCAGCACTACTTCAACGACTATATCTTCGGATAGTTTTCTTAAAAACACAAGCGGTCTTTCTCGTGTTGTCCACCAATACTCCCACAATGACTATGTTAGCAGAATCTAAATGGGAGGACGAGCGTGCAAAGGGCCTTGCTGAACTCTTTCACCGGCGATCATTGCTTCAGAGTTCAAGCCTAGCGATTGAGGATGGAGAAGATTTCATCACCTACAGAGACCTCCACACTAAGGCTCTAGCTTTGGCCTGGAAAATTCACACTCAGCACCCTGCGGACATATCGCCCATCGGAATTATTATTCCACGAAGCATAAACCATATACTTTCCCAGGTGGCTATTATATACTCTGGACGAGCATGCGTTCCGCTGGATGATGAACTACCCGACAGTTATCTTCAGACTGTACTGAAGAGTATTGGTTCAAGCATAATAATCACCGATACTACTCAGCAACACAGATTGCCGTCATGTCATCATATAGTCCTCGACCACCACTCTCTCTTCGATCTACCCGACACAAGTTTTCAGCCTATTGAAAATGGCCCACAGGCCTGTTGTCATATACTTCACACATCTGGCACAACTGGCAAAGCAAAGGCAGTCGAGGCCCGAGCCGAAGGCCTTATCAACATCTGTCTGGATCCTATAGGTCTCGTGAGGAAAGGCCAACGCCTATGCCATGCATCTCGCCCAATCTTTGATTTATCTGTACTAGATATCTGGGCCACATTATTAAATGGCGGCACGATTGTCATCATCGGGCAGGAGACTTTGCTGGATCCAGTGTCGCTAAGTGACTTTCTCCGGATCAAGAGAATTGACGTGTTGCCACTCACGACATCACTTTTGACGGTCATGGCATATAGTTGCCCCGGGGCCTTTTCAACGCTCAACACTCTCATCACAGGAGGCGAGGCGATCAACTGCCAAACGATTGAATCGATATTCAGAGAAGGCGCCCCAAGTCGAATTATTAATGGATATGGTCCTACGGAGTGCTCAGTGTTCTCGCTTTTGCATGTTGTTTCCCAGGACGAGGCTACGAGGGGAGAGATCCCGCTTGGAAAGCCACCGTGGAATGTGGAAACTTTTATAGTTGACGAGAAATTGAACCTGGTCAAACCTGGCCAGGTTGGTGAACTGCTCGTATCCGGCGTTGGAGTCGCTGGTGGTTATATCGATGATCAACCCTCGACGGACAAAAGCTTTCTTCACTTGCCTCGTTTACCTCGTACCATAAAGGGTGGAACGGGCAAAGTGTACAGAACGGGTGACCTCGTCCAAGCCGACCCAGAAGGAACGCACTACTTTATTGGACGGCGTGACAACCAGGTCAAAATTAGAGGCCAACGGGTCGAGTTGGAGGCGTTGGAAGCGATTCTATTGCGGACTGGGTTAGTCAACGCTGCTGTTGTAATCGTGATTGCACCAAAAGGAGTGGATAAAGGCCAGTTTCTGCTGGCCTTCTGTATACCGACATCCTCCAATGTCACTTCAGCTGCAATTAGCAGGTCCTATATTGAAGAGGCGCCTCACCTTGTTCTGCCTAGGGTTGAGATAATCGACAAACTTCCCTTAAGGACCACAGGTAAAGTCGATCGGAAGTTATTAGAAGAGCAATACTTTCAACGAATTACACTTTCACGGACGAAAGCAATCCGATCCCACAATGACACAAGCGCCATCACCGCAGAGATCGAGTATATTTGGACGGATGTCTTTGGACTTACCAGCGATCGCGTCTCTCGAACAGATGGATTCCTTGCAATGGGTGGAACGTCACTTATGGCAGCCATGATGATAGCCAGAATTAATAGAACCTTCGGCACCTCGGTCCAAGTACGGGCGTTATATGAGAACACAACAATTGAGAAGCTCGAAAGCCTGGTGGCCAATGTGCAGGGTGAGGGCGAGTACCTGAAATCTCAGGCGGATGAAGAGATCTGGTGGCAAGATTCACAGCTTGGCCAGCATCTAAGGCCAATGGTTGCCAAGGTTACCCCTTGTCAGCACTGTTCGGAAGGCCGAGTCTTCCTGACCGGTGCAACAGGGTTTGTCGGGATATTCCTGCTGGCAACTCTCCTTCAAAGACCGAATGTGAAGAAGGTGGCCTGTCTTGTCCGTGCAGAAAATAAGACTTCAGCTGAACGCCGTCTACAAAACACGCTAGCCAAATATTCTCTCCTTGCGGATCTCAGTAAAGCCATTGCCCTGCCGGGTGACTTTTCTCAACCTAACCTCGGCCTGACTGCCTATCAATATGATTATTATGCCGAATGGGCTAGCGTTGTGTTCCACCTCGGCGCAAAGGTGAGCTATGTGGCTCCGTATTCCTCGCACCGGGAAGAAAACGTTGTCGGAACTCTGAGGATGCTAGAATTCGTGAACCACAAACGATTGAAGGCTCTGCACTACACTTCGACCATTGCAGCCTATGGCCCGACAGGATACATTACCGGTACGAAGGTTGTCCCCGAAGATGAGCGTCCTGCTCCTCATCTGGCCGCCTTGTCATATGATACGGGCTATTCACAAAGCAAGTACGTCGCCGAAGCCATTATGTGGAATGCTATCGATAATGGCTTCCCCATTGCAATCTACCGATCCGGGTTCGTCCTTGGGCACAGCAAAACTGGAGTTTGCAACCGAAATGACTTTGTCTCTCGCCTCTACACCAGCTGCATGGAGATGGGTGTATATCCGTTTCTACCAGATCAGCGAAAGGAATTCGTCGCCGTTGACTTTGTCGTCAACGCAATGGTCCATATCGCATCATCCCATTCGAATCTAGGACACGCCTACAATCTTGTCCAGCCCGATATCACTAACGCCCTCGATGTCAACACCTGTTTTGAAGTCCTGAATCGGATCTCTCCGCAGAAGATGCGCGGTATCCCATACAAAGACTGGGTGAATTCTCTATCAACGCGGTCAGATAGTCGATTGCAACCTCTCATTCCCTGCTTCAAAGAGCCTGTCCTAGGCGATAAGACGCGCTGGGAGGTTTACGAGAAGATGACCGAGTACGGTAGGGAAAACCTCCGTTATGCTTTGCGGGATGCCCCGGAAATCATCAAGTGCGACACCTTGGAAGTGCTGTTTCTAAAACTGCTCCCAAGCTGGCTGCCTTCCAGTGCGCAAGCATCGTCCAGTGATAAGAAATGTTGATTGGCAAAAGAATTGGGAGAATACTGTTACGGTATGTGACTCCACAGCGAGTAGGACCCCGCTGAACCTCGATGATAGAGATATTTCCTTTTATTCGCATTTTATCTTTGAGTGCAAGGCATTCTTAATTAACATCAATACTTCTTAGATGTATTAAGAGCCTCAGTTTGCGTATGGACTCGTCCTCGATTAGGGCTTCGAGAATGCTGCCGCGGGTGGCATTGGTGGCGCCAACCAGAAATACCTTTTGTTTGGGTATTGGGGATCAAGGTGAGGTGGGATTGGAAGTCAAATAAATGTAGTATTCCGTTCTGTTGGATGGTAAGAAATAGCTTCATTGAATAACGGGATCCACAGCCGAGTCGGGATTCGGTATCATGCAATATTCGTTAACATAACTAATATGTCTATTCCTCCACGATAGCGAGTAAGCAGAAAAAGCTCTTGAAGATAATGTTGACTCAAATCATAAAGACGAATAGATGCTATGAAAGTAGTAGGGCTTGTACAGCTTGCTCTATCGAGCGTAATAGAATAGAACCTGGGAACAGCAAAAGTCCTCGCACATATGTCTCGATGGGCTAGACGATCTCCAAACAGAACCAAGTAGTCATCATCGTTCTTCTATAACTCGTATCTCACACTATACTTTTGCAGAGAGGCTTCCGTTTTATTTTCCCCGTGGCATACCAAACACGATGGCGGTATTAGTGGGTCTCGTATGCCGACTGCCGACTGCCGACTACCAACGCGGGATTTCAATTTCGGCCCGTTCGGAATTTTCTTCTGCATCAGCTTTGAATCCCGATCACAATACTTTTCTCCCTCTCTTTTCCCCTTTCACTCCTTAGAACTTGGCAGGCTAATTCAGTAGCCAATTTTATGACTGTGAAAAGAGCAGAGTGTTGTGTCCCTGGTATTTCCAGCGAAGCGAGGGGGGTGAGAAAGAAAAGAAAAAGCGGAAACGGAAAAGGGGGAGGTTGAGAGAGCAGAGATTCTTCTGGATCCTTAAGGTGCGCGTCGCTTGTGAACAGAAAAACTTCGTTATCACCCAGCGTACGCGCCCAGCAGGTCAGCAAAGCCATGGCCCTCGGTGAGAAGCCAGCTTCTCCACTCGCTTTCGAGGGGAATGAAACGATCGTCGAAGATGTCTTCTTCGGGGTTTCCAGGCTGTTGTATCAGGTCCATATGACTGCATATACTGGTGGGAAATGGGAAAAGCGCCTGAGATTCAGATACCTGTTGTTGGGCGGAACTGCCATCCACGAGACATCGATCTGTTGTAGTTGCGACCTCGTTCCGCATTCTTTCAATTTTCCGCAAAACCATGTCTGACCCGCCATATTTGACTCGCATGCTGGTCATTATGGAACACAGGATGTCGAGTTCCTCTCTGTGCATAGCCTCCTTTTCCGTCCACCGTGGCCGGTAGTGTATTTGTGGAAGGGAGGCGATCATGCAGTAGAGGCCGTGGATTGGAAGTAGATAAGCCGTTTCCTCACGCAAGTGGATCTCTTCGTAGAGCCTTGTAATGCAGGATGAGGCAACGAGTGAGTGTACTGAGGTATGGGTCTGCTGATTCGTCCCGTCTTGTAATAACTGCAGCATAATGATGGCTACAAAGTACATGATGAAGATTTCGGACACAGGGTGACTAAACCTTTTGCGAGTGCCTTCCTGGTCGTATAGTTGCAGCTTATCTGGGAGATGCTGCAGCCAACTAGATAAAGACGTGATGATCTCCGATATCTTCTGCTTGGAGACCAGCTCCTTTTGCAGATTGAGTTCTGCAATATTGCCGATCAATACACAAATCTTTGTACCATGGATAAAACATTCAGCTCGTAAATCTTTGACTTGAAAGTCGTCGAGTGTTAGAGGGTTCACTTGCATGAAGTCCGGGATGAATGTTGGGGGACGGCCCCAGGACGCAACTTGTAGTTTGTCGGCGCTCTGTGCGGCCATTTTATCAGTGGGTGTGGAATCAGGAATTAGCAGTTATGGTTACTTACGTGGAGCTGCCAGTATATCCTTCGTAGACAGCCCGCATATGGCCGGCAATCGTATGTTGACTCGCGATGTAGCCCCATCTGAAATGCGAGCCGTGATGCCACCCCAGTCCAGTACCAGGGCCCATCCAAGCTGATTCGATCAGGGGGTTTGACACTCCAGCACGACATCAAACACAATGCCTTCAATGTGATGAGATTATCGGGCTCGTAGTTCAAGTATATCAGCGTCTTGACCTTTTGATACAGGCAATGGGCTAGTTGTAGACTATCGGAGGCTCGCCGCATAAGGCTTCCTGCCATACAGACAGCTTGCTGGAGTAGTACTGACGAATTCGGGGATGAGACATCCTCTGGTTCAATTACGTGGTACATATGCAGCGCGTTGTCAAAAAAGGAGTCAATCAAAGCTCTGCGAAGTGGTGCGCTTAACAGGGTGGTAGCTTTGGTCGCTTCCAGTACTGCGTTTCTGACGCTGTCTGGTTGAGTGATCGAGTCCTCTGACACGGTGAGGTGGGTAGGGGCGTCGCAGGCCAGAACAGAGTGATCGGCAATAAAACTGCCATGGTCCAACGATCTCGGTTCCTTTGCCACGTGCGTGACGTGATTCCTGGGTGTGATCGGTGGGGCTTCTGCGGAGGATAAGAGGATATCATCTTCGATGACTAGACCCCCCGACTGTAAGTCATCATTGATTTCTGGTAATCCTTGCGGAGATCGAATTGCCTCTTGGGACAGTTTCCGTCTCTTCCGGACTCCTGTGCGTCGTCTTGGAAATCATTATTCAGTCCCTGGTCCATCTATCCACGGAAGCTGTAACACTGACATGCATCTATGGTCGAATCGGCGACAGTTACTGCAAGTATCGTCTCGACTTTCTTCCAAGTCACATTTCACCTGGTGGCTAAAGTTATTCGAGGAAACTAAGCGGGCGACTGACGTACATACCTTTCGGGCATGGCAGTGTACACACACGATGTGCGCGCGGTCTCGAGGTGTCCTGGGCATCGTTGCGCTCTAAAATTATAGAAAGTGATGAAACGCAGGAGGCATGATTGTAGAGTCGTAAGCTGCTGTCGCTCGACGCCGGGTAAACAAGTGGCAGAGTATAGAAAGCAGCGGGGAGGTCCATCGGAAGATCTCCACCGGATCGGAGGAACGATAATACCGACTCGCTTAGCCGATTTCTAGAACAGGAACCATTCAGAAAGATTTCTGTTGAAACCCCTTGGATAATTCAATCATAGCCGGTTTTGTGGCTGTCAACTAGTACCACTACTAAGACGATATACTGGTTGACCTGCAATTGCCTTAGCTAGGGTTCTTGATCCAGTACATGCTTGGAATATTTATGGTGCACACATCGTGATAATTTCTGCTACTAGTCCAAGTCAGAACAGTAGTATGCCAATAAGCAGATCCCGCATTACCCCGGATATCCCCAGTTCGTCTTACTATAGTAGTTCCCCAGATTTCACCGCAAGAAATCAGTTTCTCAGCCACGTTGAGCGTGCCGAGGATGTCTCAACCTCATCCACCAAAGTAGACAGCTCTCGGTATGTCGCATCGATTAGTATTTACTTCTTTGTTCTCTATTATTCATTGCTTGTGCAAATCCGTTCGTGGCAAGAATCACTGGTTTGACAGAAGACCTCCACTGTTGAGACTCTCTTAAGAACCCACGGGTTTTAATTACAGTCGACTACTCCACGCCATACAACCGTACTGAAAACATAGAGGGAAAGGGCCTTTTTCCTTCAAATGATTCTTAATTTCCTTCAAATCTTACTTTCCGATACTCCCTTCACCGAACTAACAACCTCGCTAGCAACCGCAAGAGCATCCCTACCCGCGGGGACACCACAGTAGACCATTGCGTGTCTACAAGCCTCAGAAATCTCCTCCTCGGTAATACCATTGTGAAGGGCAGCAGCAACATGAATGCGCAGCTCAGGCCCTCTGTTCAGGGCCGTGAGCATGGCAATGTTCATCAAGGCGCGTTCGCGGAATTTCAAGCCGGGGCGTGCGTAGCTCGAGAAGCACACCTCGGCGATGTATTCCTGACTCGTTTTGGTGAAAATGTCGTCCTTCTGAGACTTTATTAATGATGAGTCTATAACTCGACAGAAAAAACCTACCGCGTTTACACTGAGTCGAGAAAGTAGTTCCTCGCCCAGGAAGCGCTTTGCCATGTCGGCTCCGAGGAGCAGTTTTTCGGAGGGAGACTGAGCCATGTTCTTTCGTTTAGTTATTGAGATAAATCTAAAAATGTGATAATTCAAAGAAGTGTCAGAACTCCTCTTATAAACTGATCTTTGTTGGGCATGGGCCTGTCTGTCATGCCGGGAGAACTGCTCGGTGCATCGGCAGAAGCTCGAGAGCCGAGCGATGCATCCTATGCCGAGCAAGCCCGCCACCTTGGAAATTCGTTTTTTCTTTCTTTCCAATATTGCATTCAAGAAAACAGCAAAATTCACAGCCCAGGTCTAGAAATACACTTGTCACTATTTCAATTTTTCTCAAGATCGCCAAGGCCCGAAAATCCCAAAACATTCGAAATATGGCTCACCACACTGAAAGCGACCCCGATAACAATCGCAGGATAAAAGTCACATTTCTCTCTACCGGCACTGTGAAGATCCGACCGTCGATGCGCTCTCAACCAGCCAACTCCCACATGCTCCTGCGTCGTCTACGATCCCTGACAGACTGGGGTTGGACCGACGCGCTACCCGTTGGGGTCTTCCTGGTGCAGCATCCGCAAGGCCCTATCCTGTTTGACACCGGGCAGAGTCCGTTGTGCAATGAGCCCGGGTATTTCCCATGGTGGAACATGGCAGGAAACTCACTTGCAAAGTTCTCCGTGCCTCCCGAAGAGGGCCTTCTAGCGCAGCTGCGGGCACAAGGTGTGGATCCTGTACAGCTCCAGGCGATTGTGCTCTCGCATCTACATAACGATCATACGGGAGGATTGAAGGAGGTTCATGAGGCTGCTCCCAACGTGCCTATTTATGTTAGTGAGCAGCAGTGGAGAGTATTTGGGGAGCATCCGTTCCATGCTGCGGTGGAGGGGTGTGTGCCCTCGCAGTGGCCAGAGAACTTCAACCCGAAATTACTGGAAGAAAAGGATATTCCTGTTGGGCCGTGGGCAACATCCTACCCGGTGACGGCGGATGGAAAGGTGATCGCTGTTGATACTGCAGGTCATGTTCCGGGGCATGTTTCACTGGTGGTGTATGGGGAGAACGACGATGGCGCCAAGGTCACCTACTTTCTAACTGGGGACGCGGTCTATGGCCTGGATCTTCTTGATATCGAACAACCAGATGGAATCAACTCTGATCCTCAGCGAGCGTTGAAAAGCCTTAAGTTGATCAAACAGTTCGCAGCCGAGAATGAAGTGGTGGTCTTGCCCTCCCATGATGTGAACACGGCACAAATACTAGTCAACAGTACAGTATATAAGCCTAAATAATGTGTCTCCCGACAGTGTTAGCGAGAACTTTCTATTATAGTCTGCAATGTTGGAATTCTTGATGATCTCCATGTAGGAGCGCAGCGTTCGGTAAGAATCAGCCTAGCTGATGAATGCTACGTTAAGGTGTTTCGTTCCTAAAATCTCCTGAGCCACTCTTGATCCGTATACATAGCAGAATTTACGGTACACTAGTCCTCCCCAAAGTTTTGGATTCCCTCAGCTCCAAATATGGACCGAGTGTATTAATCACAGATCATCAGGACTGTCCAAATACCAAGTCGAGTCTTGATCTCCCAGCTCCTTTGTCGAGAATCCATTTCCCAGATATGCAAATCGGTTTGGGCTTCGATCGAGGTAATCATACTCCCAATCCTCACCGCGAAGCTCTTGGAGCATATGAAAGAAATGAATACGACTACCTGGGTGAAGTGCAATAACCGGACCATCAACGGTATTATTCTTGTACCATGAACGGCAACTTCCGGTGTACACAGTCTTTGGCATGAACGTTTGGAGATGCTCATTAAACTCCGCAGTTGCCGACTTCGACACTGTTATGGCCCTAATTCTCTCTGTCTGGCACTTGATGATAACACGAGTGACATATTTGGCAATGTGTTCGGAGATGGTGAACACACTTCCATGCCCAATCGGGGCGCCAGGACCAAGGAACACTTGAAAAAAATCAGCAATGGGGTTAGATAAAACAGGGAAGATCAACATACTGAAATAGTTTGGAAATCCTGGCACAGCACATGACATATAAGCCTCAGGTAGTTGCTGTGACCACAGATCCTGAAGATTGCCTGTTTTGCCGATAATTGGGAAACGAGGTCGGAATGAGACATCGAACCCGCTAGCACAGACTATCGCATCTACTTCGATAATTTCTCCATTGCTGAGTTGCACTCCTTGTTGTACGACCCTCTCGATTCTATCAGTCACAACAGTGACATTTGCTTCTGTCAGAGATGGAAGATAGCCCACTCCAGGGGTCAACCTGCGGCAGCCGACTGGGAAGCTGGGAATCAGAGCTTTGCAGAGTTGTTCGTCGTTCTTCAAGGCGTTACGCATATGATCCTGTAGGACCTGATTGGCCATTTCCGATACGGGGCTGCCGTTAATGACCTGAAATTGGAATATCAGTCAGGATTCATCAAGAGACATCAAAAAGCAGCAACCTACTATGGGGAAGTTGCCGTTGACACGCACTTCCATAGCCTTGACAAACCTCCGGTATAAGACAGGGTCGGAACGAAACTTCTCAATCTGCTGGGGTGTGAATTTTCCGTTGGAATCAATTTGAATATTCTCCAGTTCCGATCCCATGATGTCACGTCGGGAAGGGGACAGCCATGTAGGGGAGCGTATAAAATGGAAAAGGTGGTGAACAGCTAAAAGCAAACATGTCTGTGAGCCTGATACCAGAGTTCTTTTGGAATATACTTACAAGGCTGCATGGCTGGAACGATCTGAACCCCGGAGGACCCGTTCCCGATAACGGCGACTTTCTTGCCTTCATATTTGAAATCATCTGCCCAGTTCGCGCTGTGAACAAGTTCACCTCGGAATTCAAAAAGACCAGGTATTTCAGGCCATTTCCAGTTACTAGATATCACATTAGCACCGTTCAGTGCCCCGGAGAAAGGGATAGCATTACTTCAAAATTCCACTCCCATCGAGCAGAAAGTGACAATAGTCATCAATAATTTCTCCACTCTGCATGTTCTCGACTTTCACATTCCAGACGCCTCTGTCATCATCCCACTGGACACCCACAACCCTATGCTCCAGCTTTATCGCAGGAGACATGCTTTCTTCTTCGCACAAGCTCGCCAGATACTGCTGAATCTCAGCCGAAGGAGAGAAGAAGCTTGTCCATTCAGGATTCGGCCTCCATGAGAATTGATAATTGTGCGAGGGGACGTCACAGGCACAACCAGGATAGCGGTTCTCGTACCAGGTCCCTCCGATCGCCGGGTTTTTCTCGTACACAACATGCTCATAATCAGTGAGATGCTTCCGAAGGGTCCTTATCATGTTCAGACCACTTGCTCCAGCGCCAATGCCGATAATGCGCAGAGGTCGTGTGCTACCCAGTGGTTGTTCCAAAATCTTGTATTCGCTTCGGGGGGCATTGTCGCGTGGTTCGGCATCGCTAGTGTAAATGGTTGGCTTCAAGTGCGAGAAGATTCCCGATAAACGTTCGTTTGCCATAATTTGTGATAAGCGGGTTTAATTTGCTTGTAGTTTGCTGGTCTGCCTTTTTGAGATACTATGATGGTATTTAACACGATATCACTGTATTCTCTCCTCTTGTCAGTCTACTTGTACCGAGAGCCGAAGACGGTAATCGGCGCTGCCATACCACTCAATATAAACACTAACCGAGGTCTGGGGGGGAGGTTGCTTCAAGTGATCAATCTACTGCTAGTCTTCGGTTCATCGGTTTTTTGCGGACTTTCGGGCAACTATCTGACCTGACCTTCTTTAGTCTTACGGCTAAAAATGTATCAGGTATCTGCGATCCGCTTGTTTGTCGGATGGACAGTTCTGATCACGCGCGGTTTGCGATACTCGGTCAATATATTGATCAGCTCCCCAGAGCGATATCGCAGCGACATATGGCCCCGTCGATCTCGATACCCAGTTCTCTACGCTCGACGAAGTAGACTGGTCGGCTTCATGGAGAACATATGACTCCATACATCATTATGCGACGTAATTATTCGCGAACTAGTAGTGAATATGGATCCAACGCTTGCGTGGAGCAGATTTCATTTTGTCTAAAACAAACATGCTAATTGGTTTGTGAGTTTGGCAACTCCCATCTGTTGCAATGCTGTCCAATTCCTCCATTTCTTCTGAAAGGATTATGATGTGTCAAGACCTATCGATTAAGGCTTGGGTAGACTAAACTTTTCATAAGTGGAATATCCTGGAGCTGTAAATGTCCTTCATAACTCACAGGAAGGTCCCTCTTGTCAAAGATGTTCACTCCTGTATCTAATTGTCCATCCGGCAGATACCGATAATTAATATCATTAGCTCTACTCTATTAATAACCCCCTCTCTCTTATACTCGCCTTATAACCACTCAAAACGTTCTTCTCTGACACCGTCTACTACCCTTCGATCAAACTATTATCTGCAAGCGGAGCTTCTATCACTGACTGAGCCGATTCTCGTCATCATGGCTCCTGATATCGGTCTCTCATTCTGGTGTCTTTATTGCTTCTGTTTCTTTGCGGACTTGATGACACTTTGCGCTCTGTTGACGATCATTCTGACAATTCATTATTCCACAGGGGACATCACTTGGTTCCGTGATTTGGACGCAATCTTCGCCGATGAACCCGCCAGCTCTTTACTGTTGGTTCTGTTTGTTGTGATTACATGCCTTGATATGGTATTCTAGTAATTTAGTCCGGTGGCATCACAATTTGCGGCTTGCTTTGCTTTGAAAAACATTGCGACTCATGCCCTGGGCCACAAGCAGAATTGTTATGTGGTGGGAACCCATGTAGCTTGACCCGTCGTGATGGCATTTTGACATAGAAAAAGAGTTTACTTTGCTGAATCTTTGTTCATGGTAATGTGTGAAGAAAGAAATTGCTAAGGCTTACTAACGGCTCCTTTAATACCTTTTATGTATCATCTAGTAGGTAAAGCGTGACTAATTATTACAGGATTCAGACATCATATTTGATACTGTGATAGAAAATAGAAAATAGAAAATAAAGGATAAGGGTAGGGAAGGAGAGAAACCAGCAGCAAACAAAAGAGTATAATGGAAAATCTCTGAGCATAACAATATTCTATAGAAGGTTGGTCTTAACTGGAAAATACCGCTACCTCCACTTACTTCACTCATGCCTACGTTTGTCTATGGGGTGTGGCAGATTCAGTCTGTATAAATATGCCTTTTCCTCAAGGCCTTCTTCAACTTACCACCACAGTCAAACCACTTCATTTCTCTGACAAGATAGCCAAATAATCAAATCTCTAATACCTACTTCCTTTTCAATTACAATGCTCGGATTTACCAAGTTTCCAATCAGGGCGTGGAAAGAAGCTCTTATCGCCATTGCCCTCTGGCTCTTTATCACGGCAGTTTTATACGCGGTCTCGAACTTCCCCGACAACTCATTCGAAAATGTGAAGGGTGAAAAAGAAGACCCTGACTACTAGAAAGCCATTCGACATTTTCCATTAGTTCACTCCTAGGGAGCGAGTTGATTCTTCTGCTCTACACCAAGTCTCTCGCTCATCGTGTGGGTCACCCATATCCATTCTTCTTCCTTGATAGACATATCGAGGTTGACTAGCTAACGGCATTTGTACAGTGAAACATTCGCGTCGCGTCATTCTCATGCCAATGCCTTTACTGGGTTGTTGGTGTCCAATCATGATGGAAGGGAGAGCATAAACAAATGGAGGTGTTTCCCTTTCTTGCCTGCCAAGAGCTTGATTCGCATCCATAGCAGAGCGGAGTCTCTAGACCAGGTATCTAGAAACTACCTGCCCTTTCTACTAGCGACGCTCTAGTCCAGCTATCATCAAACCCCAATTCCTTATACATCAAAACGTTTTCCCTGTGAGGCTGGACATGTTACGTCGAGGGGTACTACATATTACACCAATTAACCATTGCTGGTCACCGCTCTCAAGCTTAGTAGACGAGAAAGACCTGAATAGAGTTTTATCCCCAGGACTCTTCTCTTTTGAACATGGAAGATCCTAATCTGACAAACGTAATAAAAATTTAAATTTTGCTTGTCCAAACCCAACGCTTTCGCTAGGCCTGAAGCGATTGTGAGCTCGTCGCTCGATGTCTAATTTGGCCTTTCTTGTTAAAGATTACTGAGCTATTTGCCCTGTGAATTAGTTGGATTATGGGTAAGGCTTTACGGCCAGGGAAAATCATTAACTATTTCAATTGAGAAGTTGAACTGTCTTTCGAACCCCGGGAACATGTGCACCCAGAATTCATTCATGATCGGCCGATACAACCTACCCCAAAGTCTAACTAATTAAGATTCTCTTCCGAAGAGTGTTATCTCAAGAGGGACTTTACAAATTTAATGGCCATGTTCGTTGGTGGGCTTTCAAGAGAAGAACTTTAAGATGGGAAAGGGGTGGCTGGTTCCTGAGGTGGCGTTGATTGCCCGGCGCCGCGGGAAGGAAGAAAAGGAGAATCCAACATTTCAGAATGTCACTAGCCCCATTTGTTTTTGAACTTTGACATTCTTTCGCTTACTAGGCGATAGCTACCGAGTGTCGGAGACCTTTCCAGCCTGCTGGGTAGTGAACTGAGAACTTCGATGCTGGGTTCACCAGCAACGCCAATCGTTTTTAGCACTCAGTCACCGACAATGCACAATATACAATGTCTCTCTCTCTTTTTTTTTTCCTCCTACGCCTCTACTCCGTAGACTTTTCACATTAAGACAGCAATTTTGCAAGGTAAGGGATGTAGTTTTAAGTCAATGGAAGGGTGAAACAAAATATATATTGCGCACCATAGACCCAGAACTACTACCACACGATGGAGAGTATGGTGACGACTACGTGATAGCTTAACTATTACATGTCAATAACAAATTGCCAAAGACCTCTGGGGAAGAATTATTGATTCAATTATCTTTATATTGGAAAAGGTAAGAAATGGCCAATTGCTTACTTTTGTCATGGTGGGATCATCGACTGTGGTTCCGCAACCCAAAACATCAATGCGACGAAGCAGGGCAAAGTGACAGAAGGTGAAGAAGAAAGTTGATATGCTTTATGAAATAGATTTTCAGTCCAGCTATCGTCTAACTACGGTCGAAAACATTCATACATGGGCTTCTACCTATTACCTATTACGGACGTTAGATCGTTTGTGAATAGTCCGTGAAGCCGAGTAGAAGTCCATGAAAGCCCTTGGCCCGTACAAGAACGTGACTTGCGGCGGCATGGAACAAGGGAAGACCGAGTTGAGCTCCGATGGCGAAAGAATGTCCATGGCTCTGAGGGGATTTCCATTGGAACGTCTGCCGAAGGAGACGGCAATGGCTTGGCATGGAGCATACAGGCCGTCCCAAGGGTTGAGGTCGGAAAGAGAGCAAAGGTGATTTGCCAACGCGATTGTGGAAGTCAGATCCCGCCTGAAACTGTTAATGTATCAAGCCTGCTGCTATTCCTGGAGATCGGACAGGTTCCTGGCCGGGTAAGGACGGCAGAGGAAAGACGAATTGACTCGAAGAACCTGGACAGAGGCCTTGATTTGACTCAGTGCTCAACTGGTAGCGGAGAAAGAAATGCCCATCGTGGGGTAGAAAGGTTATGGCCCTAGTATCAAGAGTATTAACTGGAGTACGGGATGACTTTGGGAAAGACGACATCCGCAAGGTTCGCGAGAAGTCTTGTGAATCGTTTCAATCTACAGATAGAGTGGCTGCTAATTGGAATTCGGATCGGAACAATTGTCGAAAATATCGAGAGATCATAAGATGGACGGAAAACTCGGGCGAGAGGAATGAATCGTGAGTCGGGCGTCGTGAAGCGTGAGGCTTTTTCTCGATTGGGCGACGGGATCAGGCGCACGTGATGGCCACTTTAGGCCTAGTGGCCAGAGTTTCTCCACACCGCCCGGGCCAGCGCTAGGCCACAACGGGACGATCACGAGGCGGCAGAATCGGAGTTGTCGCTGCTTCTCCTGAAGGCCGACGACTCTCTTCTCCTTTCTCAATCATCGAATGTTCCTCGTGAATCGCGATTTCCATCGACTGTTGCTAACCCCGAGATACACCCATTATTTGGGAGAAGGAAATATGGTTCCTTCCGGCCTGCTAGTCGCGGGAACTCGAACTGCCTTGGTCTTAGCGTTCGTCCGCCGCAAGAACGAGTCAACCAGCGATGCTCGTGGGGCTGGCACTGACCAGTAGGGAGGCTACGGTGTCGTGATTCCGCTTTATTTTCCCGCCGTTGTATGCGCAGGATCATCCCAGTTGATACCAGGTCGGGTATAGAGGCCGATGAGCGTACAACAGGGCCCTGCAATCCTGTTTCGTGGTTCTCAGGGGCTGTGGGTCTTCCGAACCACCAATCCCCCGGGGTTTATGCGAACTGCAGACTGAACGGCAGCCTGCGGATACCTGCTTCCGATCTATGCATTCGGTCTACAAGGAATCTACATCGCCCAACCAATCCAAAGCAGAAACGGTCAAGAAGGAAATGCAAGTCAACGGCACAAAGTGTCAATAGGAAGCGCTGTGAAAAGCTTGGATGCCCTCCTGCAGATTCGACAATTGGAGCCGTCTCAATTTTGGGATCGACACTAAAGATCACTAGGAGGATTCGAGGTCAAACCGACCATAGAGTATGCTAACCATTTTTGGCGCGTCCGATGCTCACTCAATCCAACCCCCCGTGGCCCTGAGAATCGCGCTACATCCTCCGTCCTTGTGAACCGCGGATCTCCTGGTTTGTGCGAGTCCGCGGGAAACCCCGGAGTTGAGGCAACGATCTGCGGCTAACTGAGCCGGTCGTTCGAACCTCCCTCGTACCCAGAACAAGCAGTTTCAGACCATGCATAGGTTCGTTTCAGCGATCCCGCCAGCCCTAGGTGCTCCACAATAGGAACTCTAGTATCGACTCCAAGCCGCATTCAATTTCTAATTTTATTCTGGTGGAGAGATGTGACTGGCTCTATGGCGATATCACGACAATATGCAGAGACTTGACCCTAGGATGAGGGTCCAGGGGAAAGAAAGGGAGACCTCGAGGCTCAGAGAGGCAAAGAGAATGTCGGGACATTCCATATCCGTTTCCGTACCCAAAGAAGGACGCTTGTCGAACTAGTCAACGTCCAAATTTCAAGACCAGAGCGGTCACTCGCCTGTTTTTGCGCTATCAGGCCTGTTGACAGACTAGCAATGGTCTAGGCAATGTGCGATCTTTGGTCTGGATGTCGACAACGCTATATCCAGAGCAGAGTTTGGCTGCCCCGAGCTGGCTATTGGAGACTTTCGGGTACCTGAAAGTGTGTCAAACCTTGACTCGCAAGGTTTGGTAGGCCCGTTTCATTAATCCGCTCGCCTCCTGGTCCTCCCCAGGGCTTGTTCCTGTTTGAAACGCAGATCCCTATCCGCATCCCGGACAACCTTGGCTCGCCCTGAGCCCAGAATTGAACGGGGACCTTTGATCCATGGGGTGATGGGAGATCGAGACCGGCACCTCGACGGCAGCACCAGGTGTATATAAAGGAGCAAGATCTCCCAGGAACATTATCTTTCTCATTCACCATCAGCCTGGACATCGCTACACTCTTTTTTTGATAAAAAGAAAAAACAAAAAGTCTTTATTTCTACGTTCTCTTAATACCTCCTAATTCTTATTTCGTCATTTTCACAAACGTTCTTTTGACAAGATGCGTTACGCTTTCTGTGCTCTGGCCCTCACGGCCGCAACCATGGCCATCCCGGTGTCTGTGACTACCGAGGCCCGTTCCGTCGACTCTATCTCCCACCCCGGAAACGAAGCTGCTCCTCGCCTGGAGTCTCGAACCCTCGGCCTTCTCAGCGGTCTTCTCGGAGGCCACGGTGGTGCCGGTGCCAACGCTAACCTCGGTGCCAATGTCGGTGCCGGTCTTGGTGCCGGTCTCGGAGCCGGTGGCAAGGGCGGCGCTGGCCTCGGCGCCAACGTGGGTGGCAACGCTGATGTGAACGGCAGCGCTGGCCTGGGTGCCGGTGCTGGAGGTGATGCCGACGGCGGCGCTGGCGCTGGCCTCGGTGCCGATGTTGGTGGAAGCGGTAGCGCTGATGTTGGCGCTGGCCTAGGTGCCGGTGCTGGAGGTGACGCTGGTGCTGGAGGTGACGCCGGTGCTGGAGCTGATGTTGGCGGCGATGCCGGCGCTGATGTTGGTGCTGGTGGAAACGGTGGTGCCGGTGTTGGCGCTGATGTTGGCGGAAGCGGTAGCGCTGACGTTGGTGCTGGCCTGGGTGCCGGTGCCGGTGGAAACGGAGGTGCTGGCGTCGGTGCTGATGTTGGCGGTGATGCCGACGCTGATGTTGGTGCTGGCCTGGGTGCTGGCGCTGGTGGAAACGGTGGTGCCGGTGTCGGTGCTGATGTTGGTGGAAGCGGTAGCGCTGACGTTGGTGCTGGCCTCGGTGCCGGTGCTGGAGGTGACGCCGGTGCTGGAGGTGACGCCGGTGCCGGTGCTGATGTTGGAGGCAGCGGTGATGCCGGCGCTGATGTTGGCGCTGGTGGAAGCGGTGATGCCGGCGCTGATGTTGGCGCTGGCGGAAACGGTGGTGCTGGCGCCGGAGTTGGCGCTGACGTCGGCGGCAGTGGTAGCGCTGGCGCGGATCTCGGTGCCGGTCTTGGAGGAAACGGCGGTGCTGGTGCTGGTGCTGGTGCCGATGTTGGCGGTAGCGGCAGTGCTGACCTTGGTGCTGGAATTGGTGGCGGTGCTTCGCCCAGCGGAGGTGCTTCTCCTAGCGGTGGTCCTTCTCCCAGTGGAACTCCCTCTGCTCCTTCTCCCTCCGGTGTCAGCCCCAGCGAGGATGAGAGCCCCGAAGGTCCTTCTCCCACTGGCTCTTCTCCTGACACTTCTTCCCCCGGCCCTAGCGGCGGCGCTTCCGGCGGTGCTTCCGGCGGTGCTTCCGGCTCTGGCGATGTTTCCGGTGGCGCTGAGGGTGGTGCTTCCGGTGGTGCTTCCGGCTCCGGCGATCTTTCTGGCGGTGCCTCTGCTGGTGCTTCCGGCGATGCCTCTGGCGATGCTTCCGGCAGCGCCTCTGGTAGCGCCTCTGGCAGCGCTGGCGGCGACGCCTCTGGCACCCCTACCTCCGGTAGCTCCGGCAGCTTTAACAGCCACAGCGCCAGCAGCTGGGGCAGCTCTTCTTCCAGCTCCGCTTCCTCTAGCTCTAGCGGCAAGTCCTCGTCCTCGGTCTCCATCAACGGCCACCCCGTCTCCGGCACCTCTGCCTCCATCGAGTGCGAGTTCGACAACGGCTCCAAGGAGTGCCAGGAGCAGCACCAGCCCGACACTGGCGCCTCCGCCGACGACAGCGGCGACGACGAGGAGTGCGAGTGCGAGGAGTAAATACACTCTTCTGATACGGGCGTTTACCTCCGACAACCTTGGCCGCCTTAATCAGCTGCCATCTCGACACTTCGGATATCGATTGGGATACGAATTGGGAATTTGATATTATTTTGTGCGGGAAATTTTATGGATCACTCGTTATGTTTGATATTGTTTTGTATTTAATTAGTCCGCTCGTTTGACAGATGTCCTAGGCTATGCGTGCGTTGCAATAATTGATGAAAGCCTTAATGCCGATTAAATTTGGTCTACAGCCTCCTTTCTTCTAGTTTGGTTTCTGAGAGAATAGTTCAACATCATTGTAACTGTCGACCTGCAAATTAGGGAAACGAATATCCGGCATGACCTTCGACCTTCTTGTAGTCTCAATCCGAACAAACAAACAGGGGGGTATTTCCAGAAGAACCGATGCTTGGACGATCAGAAAGTATAAGGAAAGTGTAAGAAACATATTAGGGCAGGTTAATCGTTAATTAAACCCAGTCTACCGACCATGGGTAGTGTGCGTTGGGTGGTTGTTTTGATTGAATCCCATTATTCCTCCCGGTAGAAAGTCTGTAGCCTTCATTGTCATCGCATGCATCACGAACATGCCCCAGCCTCCTGCACGAGGTGATGTATTCTCGAAGTCAAGATACCAAAAACAGGAGAAGCTGATGGTCGACGCTTGTGCACGATTAAGTAGCGTAAATAGAAACTGGAAAGAAGTTTTGGACTTATACTGAAATAAGTTGGAAGGTGATGAGTGGAAGTTGGTGATTATGTTTGAGAGTCTATGAAATTCTCTGCAATCGCATATAGAGCCGGGTAACAAACAGCCGCTTCCAAGGTGCAAGTGTAAAGTTCGATCGGTAAACCCTTGCATAAGTATTCAGAAACAACCCAACCAAGAGGCTAGGCAAGCGGTCCCAGAGAAATATTTTATATCCCGGGAGTCGAGTATGTCAGAGGCCTCCGAGTCGGATTTCTATTCAGATTTTGGGAATAAGGTGTCCATTGTCGATTGATAGTGCATAAGCGGCGTTTCAGGTGCTCGGTCACCACACGAGCTGAATCTATCAGAGGCCTCGCCCCATATCTCTGTGTATACAGCCAGATGGATAAGTCGATCCTTACGTCTTTGAACAGTATAAATAGTTGCTTTGTTGCGTAGTCGTCACACGAAACTGGAGCGGAAGCAGGGGCGGTGGCAAAGTTATGCCTCGAATTTGCATGAAGATTTCAGATAATGGTTCTATAGCAACTCTGGGTCGCTTGTTGATAGTCTTATAATAACTTTCATTTGTTGATATTCTTGTAGAGACTATCGGTCGCTTCTCAATAGTCTCGTAATCACCACCTGTGGCGAGCAGACCGGACTGAATAAAGATTCGGAAGGAACTCCACAAAAGTGTCGATCCTTTGGTTTTAGATTCTTGAGACCATCACTATGAAAGTGGTTTGTGGGCGTCGATATCGAAGGCACGATATCATACTCGGCACGTGGAAATAAAAGCCACGGCTGTTGTTGTTTCTGTCGTTTTATTATGTTCAAACGAGGAACTATTGAGACAATAACGCCTATTATTCGTCTAGTGTTTTCTGGGCCCTTCATGTTGTCAGAACAAGTCCTAGAATGCATTGCTTTGCTCCAAGACAGGAGGTTCCAAGGGAGGGAAAGCTTACCGGTATTATTATGACCAGACTCAGCTCTGGCAGGCTCTGTCGCAGAAAAGCAACCGACGGAGGATCGGTTGACATCTCAGCCATTGAAGTCTTCGTTATGAAGCCTTTGAGTGTGCTTTCTGACACAGACGACACGTTAAAGCCCTTCAATAATCCTCTCGCAGGATATTGAGGTCGACGCCTGCAATATCCTATTTCATTTCCGTGATCATATCGTCACCATATAAACGGTTTCCGGCCATACTGTATTGCTGTCACTCGGAGTAGCGAAGCCGATTATAAGATCCGGATAGATTGGGGGATGGGACAGGTACGACTGAGACATCCATGCTGATGAATCCGTCCCAGATCAAGCATTCGAACACACCCTTACGTCAGGCGGTCTTCCACCTAGCATTGGATTGGAAAGAACACTTTTAATGCCTGCGTATATCGAGACGCGCGACTTCGATCAAAAGTCGTTATTCGACGGCTGTGAAAATAAAGACACCGGATGATGTAAGCTCTTGAGCTGATTTATCAAGAGACATTCCAACTGGATACTATCTTCTCGACGAAAAGACGGTCTGCCTACGTCCCAGTAGCGCGCAGAGGCGCTGGTAGGCTAGTTCTGAGAAGATGTCGTTATTATCATCGGTGTCCTGGTTAATTAAACCTGCAGCTCGGATTAGGGGGTCCAGATCAGCGGCTATCTGCGGTAGGGCCTTGGATATACTGGATTGTTTTATGTGGATGTTATAGGAAGCTGTCTGACTAAGGATCTAGATTTTTTGTGTTGCAGTCTGTCCCACGTGCCTGAGTTAGCCCTTTGCTTGGAAGCCGCTGTTTGTGCTTGTGAGGGGCTCTATAAGTACGGCCCGGCTGTATTTTTGGTGGATATTGAGCCCTACCGCGCCAGTCTGGAAACTGGTTACTAGGATTTGGGCCCCCGATCTAGCATTATTGAATCGGTCTGCAGTATATGCCTGCTCATCTGGCGAAATCCCCGCGGTGATAGTAATAAAATCAATGCTTAACGCGTGCAGGAACATGAGGACCCACCGGACAGTAGGCCATTAGGTAAAGAGGATGAAGCGTGGCCCGCTTTTTTCTTCGCACACACCTTCCTGGTGGAGGATTTTGACTAGGTAGCGAAGTTTAACACAGTGCTTGGCCAGATAGACCGCCATGGCGAGTCGCGTACTTGGCGGCAATGTGCTGGGGTCAAGGCGGGTCTTCATGTAAAAACAGTCCCGATTCCACAGGACCCAGAGAGTGAACAAGCCCGACCCCAGTATCAAGCGGATAGGTATGGACCATTAGCCACCAGAAAAGGCACTCTGGGTATGCCGAATTGAAAGATTCGACAATGGCTTGTTCATTGTGGACTGAAGCTGCTGGAGTAAATTGCTGAAGAAACAGAATCATGTTCGGCAGATTTATCGAAATGCGCATGGACCTCGCTTCCCGGGGCATCTTACATGCTAGATTTGCCTGTTAAGTCTGACAGGAGCACTTGAGGTTTCGCGCAGCCTCTCCAGCAAAATATCGATAAAGGACGCCCGGCTGGTATGCCTGTGATAAACAAGCAGATGTGTTCGGGATTATCGAATCTTCGTTTCATGAAGATATCTCGTATCAAGATTCGATATTTAAAATGTTCAAGCTGTAGGCTCTCTAGTATACCGCAGCCTGGAGAAGACTGTTGCATATATTGTTGAGTTAAAGGCCGACAGAATGAAAGACGAGAAAGCAGTAAGGCTGCTCTCGCCAAGGCCTGAGCCACCCGTGGATAGAACGAAACTTGATCCAGTTGGTTCAATATATAGGTTAAGGCCTCGTTATCTTTAGGATAACGCTGTTGATCGTTGGCAATATATATCAGCTTTTTCTTTGGGTTGCGTCGAAAGCCAGTCGGCTGGAATTTGTCGAAATTCTATCATTTTGCGACAAATGATTTTCCCATGCCAGTCTTGGGACGAGTACAATGATATGATTGTACTGTGATAATTTCTAAATTCAACGTTGGAATGTTATGAGTGGGAGATGGTGAAGATCTGCTCCTCACTCTTCCTCTTGTAGAAAGGTAACTAACAGCCCCTTCGATGTGCTCCAGTCGAGTAACTTAGCACCACACATGGGCACGAAGAATATATTCTCGCTCATCCATTTTGAAACCGCAGTGTAAAAAACACCATAGATACAAGAGGCAATCGCCCGACGGTGATAAAAGTGTACCATGTGCAAGGCGAAATGCCGTAGGTGTTTATTCGACCATGGCTTAAGCCCTGGCAGCACCGAGGAAGTGCAATTTGTAGTACCAGATTGTTTCTCGTTGTTTTGTGCCAAGGTGCTCTCGACTTCGCTCTGAATAATAGAACTTTACTATCTGAATCAAAATATCTTCCGAGAGTCGCACAAGCACACGGTTGTATAGTGTAATGGTTAGCACATGAGATTCTGATTCTCATAATCCCGGTTCGATCCCGGGTACGACCTTTCTTTTTTGCTTTTTTCTTTTTCCGGTATGTTCCTGGAAGCTATTGATAATTTCCCCTGGCCTTGGTGACCGTAGACTAGCGAAACTGTGCATTTGGATTTCTGAAAAAAAGTCCCGAACAAGAGCTGTCGCCAGCCGGTTGAGTCGAAGAAGTTTGGATAATTTTGCCGAGTGCTATGAGTCTATCCGAAACGGCAACAGTGGGTCGGTGCCTTTGGAACGTGGCACCGAAGAATCGAATTTCAAGCCTATGAAAATTCCGCAATTGCTTATTACACAATTATTCAGCTGGTTCTGGATGCGGACGTTGGAAGAAGGGCTTGGACGGAGTCCCTGGATGAAGGCCACGGATGAAAACCGGAAAGATAAGCCATGGGCACCCCGTAAATTGAGAACCGCGTAGATCAAATCGAGATCGGAATGGACTCGCCAAGACTCTAATCCTTGTAGCCGAATATATAACAGCTGCAATAGTCTTGTACCAGCGTAAAGTACGCAGCGATTGCCTCTATCATAGCCAGTTGTGTTGTTTTTGGCTTAAAGCATACTCGAATCGTACAATATTCTCTGCTGATATCGGGTATGCGATATCAAAATTAGGTAGGGATTCGCACGAAGCTCTGCAGTACCTTGTGGCCTGGACAATCAATGTATTCGTTGATGAACCAAGCCTTCGTAAATTGTCCGTGCCGTAAATCATAGCCATAGCCCGAGCCTTTCCTGGAAGGCGTTGTCGAATAAACGCATTCAGCAAAGAAACCCAATAAGACGGGCGACTATGGTACGATGGACTATCAGGAGTTCTTGAGGAGCCTCTGGTCTTATCCATACGTTTCGGAGAGCGTATTGCTGTATAGAAGATGGAGTAACACAGGGCGCAGGTTAAGCTTGTTCGGCAATGGCAATCTTCGTGCTCTTCAGCCATCGGAGTTTTAAAATAGATAAAGCGTGGCTCTTGAATTTGAGAAATGAGCCTCTATGATTTTTGCTAGAAAATTCCGGAAGATGAAACAGTCGTATAGTTGTCGTCGCAACGCAGGGGTATCGCTGATGCTGGTTCAGCGAAGGTCTCGAAAGCGCGGTTTATCATGGCTCGAAGCTGTCGATCTCGATACCGAGTATTCGGCCGAAGCACACGTTATATTATGCCAATTCAAAGGGTTTAGATAGCAAGATAAACTATCGGCACAAACCCTTGGAAAGGAGAAGCTGGAGACGGCGCCCCTTTCCTCTTTGCCCCTTCGGCAGTCACCTCATCTTTGAGCCAGGTGATTATCTGAGGTCTGTTTTCAGATAATACTGGTCTCTCAAAGGAGTCGACTTCAGTGACCGACCTTTTCGACAAATGCGTAAAGCAGGCGTATCAAAGAGCCTCGACTTTGTTCGAGATAAGTTGATAATTCGTCGAACACTCCAAAGTCGAATTATCGAAATAAAGTATCGAAGTTCTGGGAAATGCCCCAGCGAATTGTAGGTCTGCCGATACGATATCTGCGTACCGGTTCAAACGAACCCCATATATACATCAGGGAATCTGATTTTCTGCGCGAGTTGCCGGATTTCTGAGCATCGTCTAGCAGAAGAGCATCCAGAGCTCACCCCAGCCAAAGAACTATACAAGTATTAGTCCTGTTTATAGCACCAGGGGCCGCCCAACTCACCGTGTGTATCCGACAGACCGGCACGACAATCAAAGCATCGTCCACATCATCCTTTCCCAATGCTTCGATGCTTCGAAAGCAAGCTACATGAGCATTCAACTGAAAGTATAATTTTCTTGTTGCTTTCAACAACGTCGGTTTTGCGGACAGTGCAAATAAAACAGGATGTTGTATCCCACCCTCGCGCAGGCCTGCAGATAAAATTCTGGAGGCTGAGGATGTGTCTTGCAATAGTAGACACAACGGTCGCTTCGAAATATTGAAGGCCGGTCTGCCTCGACAAAGACGTAGTTGTCGATGTGTGTGTTTTTCGTTCAGGTATGAGCCATGTCTGTTGACCTTGAGCTTTAGGTGTGGATGTTTTCTGGGATCTCAAATTATACAACAGACATGATCAGTCTGTTGTGGTGGCTGGTATGAAGTTCTTCGCTGCGAGCAACCTATTCTCTCACTGCAAGGAGGCTCTTGGCAAGGTAGAAGACTAGGTAAGCACATAAAATTACTGAGATGAGCGTGAAGTAAGGTAGAAGACTAAAGAAGGGATGAGTTGCAGTGAGGTAAGAATGAAATGAGATGAAGGGTGAGAGGGGGAAAGTGAGAGAGATCGAGCAGGTGATTCCTTAATAAATATACGCCACGGCAACCCCCCAAACGCCCAAACAAGGCCCTCCTTCAAGGCCACCACGCGGGTTCAACATTCACGAAAAACCAGCTTCCACAAGGTTCAAACAAAGCAAAATTCACGTCAGAGCACTTCACCGTTACTCGATCCATGGAAACACCGCCCGTTTACTGTCAAGTTCCGAGACCACGACGTCGTGGACGAGCAGGCGTGACAAATGCGATCGATAGTTCGGCCTTAGCGTGAGCCTGAGTCCGCTCAGCTCCACCAGCCTGACCAATCAGGCCGCCAGCGGAAATTGTGCCTGAGAGATCGACACGCAGCGATGGAGTGAATCCGATCCGATGGGAGGGAATGTGATGGGTACATCCATGCAGCTGGGGCTGATCAGGTCTGCAGCTGAATCGCTCGCTCCACCGGGCGGGACGGGCTGAAGCTGAAAAAAAAGCAAAGGCCCCTGGCACGCGTGGAATAAAAGGCCGGCTGCGATCCTGTCATGTTGGGTTGATTGATGTGGGATATCATATTCTCTCTTTAATGCTCGCTTCTGACCACAATAATTCATTCCTTTGTTGATTGCCTGAGTTGACTCCTTATCGTTATGCATCTTCGATCCTTCCTGCTGGGCTCTGCCCTGGCCTCATCCACTCTCGCTTTCGGCATCAACGATTTCTCCTGTCGCAGCGAAAAACACCCGAACCCCGTGGTCCTGCTGCATGGCCTCGGTGCCACCTTCTACGAGGACCTGAACTTCCTGCAATACTGGCTGCAGGCGCAGGGCTACTGCACATTCGCTCAGACCTACGGCGACTACGACGGCTTCCCGTTCCTCGGAGGACTGAAGGCGATCGCCGAATCGGCGACCGAGATCGCAGATTACATCCACGAGGTGGCGGAGAAGACGGGCGCCGACAAGGTAGATCTGGTCGGCCATTCCGAAGGCGCCTTCCAGACGGTGTACGTGCCGAAGTTCACAGACGGAACGTCGGAGCTATTGGATAAGCTGGTGGCGATCGCGCCGCCGACCCGGGGGACGAATTTCGGCGGCATCTATAACCTGGCCTATGCGTTTGGGAATCACTCGCGAGAGGCGGTCGGCGAGGTCCTGAAGACAGTGGGCTGTGCGGCCTGCGACGATCTGGGTCCCGACGGGGACGCCGTGGATAAGCTGAACGACGGCGAGCCCATCGTGCAGGCCGGAAACAAGTTGACAGTGATTGCGTCGAAACTGGATGAAATGGTGACCCCGACGTCGACCTCCTTTGTGCATGAGGATGGCGTCAACAATGTCTGGGTCCAGGATGATTGCAAGTTGGACCCCGTCGGCCACATCGGCGAGGCGTATGATCTGAATGTCTGGAACCTGGTTAAGAATGCGTTGGACGACACGCCGAAGCGCAAGTTCTTCTGCGTCTTGGGGTCTCCCGGGAAATAAAGAGATCGTCTTGAAATTGTATTGCATTCTTTCTTTTCTCTTTCGGGACATGAAATCATCTGCATCGTGCATGGCTATCATATCATAATGTATAATTATATTAATCAGTCGTTAACATTCTGCACTGGCCGTTACGGCGGTCTGCTCATCATCGTGTTTCTTTTTCCACTAGTTCCGCCTGGGATGTGCCCGGGGGCTTGTCGTCCTGCACCAGGTTGTGTCCATCCCTAACGTAGACAAATGGTGATCAGCAGTTAGTCGGGGAAGCAAGGGACTGAAACAGGGAGGGGTATACGCACCCAAGTTTCTTGTTAGGAAGGATCACCGCGAGAACCACCACCGGAGCAGAGAAGGCCAGAGCGGCGATTGTGATGTAGCCCATCACGTCTGAATACTATATTTGGTCAGTCCTTGATTGTAAAACAAGGAGAGGGGCGGCTTACGGCCTGATTGACGGCTGTCCGCTCCATTGATCCCCAAGGAGGTAACGTTCCGGTAATGGAATTATATAGATCGTCGACCTTGTCGTCGCTCACACCTGACCCCAGATGGAGTCGCAGTTGATGGCGGAGCTTGCCCGTGTAGATGGCCCCGGCAATCGCCGAACCGATGCCGTTGCCCAGGAACGATCCCAACATCGTCAACGACGTGACCTGCGCTAGTTCCGCATGGGACACGGAGATCTGCGCCGCAACGACCACGATGGTCTCAATGATACCGCTACCTACGCCCTGGACTAGCTGGACGATGAAAAGCTCGGCTGTGGAGCTGGCGTTGGTGCGCAGACGCACCATGGCGCCGTACCCGACCATTCGGATCACCGCCCCGATCACTCCGATCCACTTGTACGAGCGCATGCGGTACATCAGCAATCCGGTGCCCATGCCGACTAACGCCTGCATGACCGCGTTGGTGTAGTTGAGGAACTGCGCATCGCGCGGGGAGAAGTTGTGCGAGACCATCGACCACACATACAGGTAGGTATGGGTACTGCCAAAGCCGATGTTGTCGACGCAGGCCAGAGCCACGGAGACCACGACAGAAAGGGTGTGGAAGTAGCGCACTGGGACCACCGGATGGCGCGCAAGGTATTTCTCGTAAGGATAGAGGCAGATCAATACCACAACACCGAGAGCGATGAGAACGTCCACCCAAGGGGTCTGCCAACGACTGCTCGTGGTGGCCGCCAGCGTGATTGGAATGAGCACCAGAGTAAATCCGCCACTCAGGAGAATGATACCACCCAGGTCGATTCTTGAGCAGAAGTCATAGATATTGAGGCGCTCCGTCAAAATCAGCCCGGCTCGTTTGGCTCGTTGCTGGAACACGAGCAGTGTGATGATGATGAAGCTGGCACAAAATGGCATCAGTATTGCGAACATGCCAATGCCCCACCTCCAGCCGATCCCATTGACCACGCTGTCGACGATGAAAGCCGAGACCCAAGGAGTGATCAAAAATGGCACATAGAGAATGTTGTAGACGAATCCTCTCCAGCGCATGGACGAGATGTCCGAGACCACGGTGGCATTAAGGATGGCAGTCCCAGCTTGGCCGATAGAATAGAAGACATAACCACCGGCGTATGTGTTGAATGATTTTGACGATGCGCAGAGTGTATACGAAATGATGTAGCAAGCGAGCGTGAAGATGTATGCTTCCGCGCGGCCAAGAACATCGGACACTTTGGCGATCGGGGGTTTGCACACAGCAGAGATAATGCTAGCAGCCGTGTTCAGAGTCGCCAACATGGAAAGATGGTCGAAATCCGAAGTCGCAAAATTGCGATAGGTGCCCACGGTGGACGTATCCAACTCACTGCGAGGTGGTGGTTAGATAGTAAAGGTCTACATAACGAACCACACTTACTAGATGGTCATAATCATTGCCAGCCTAGACAAACAGATTAATGGTGGGGATATTCAAAGGCCAACAATAGACACATACCCCGCGTATAGAAGATAGCGTCCTTTGCGGCCTCCCACTGCTTCGACGGCTTCTATCTTGGCAGCTCCAGTAGCAGGTACGGCCGGGTCCGACTCTTGAACGTTGACTTCATAGTCCCTGTATTTCTCATCGTAGATAGACGAGGGTTGGGGACTGGCGATGCTTTCATTCTCCCGCGACGGGCGAAAGCATCTCATCCAGGCACTCATCATTCTGTTCCTAGGGCCGATCAGAGCTCTGGAGGACTAAGGAACGGGCGTTAGATACATCCGAGATCGCCGGGATGATTGGACTGGGAGCAGGATCTGGGTAACGATAACAACCCGAAGAACCCACCTCGTATTGAGCACTTTCCTGACCGCGCGACAGGTCAGACCCCGATGTGGAGGGAAGTGCCAAGATCGGAGGATAAGTCAAAAATGAACCGACCAGGAGAACGGACCAAACGGTCGTCCGGGGGAAGTGGGCGTGATGAATGAAGAGTCTGAGCAGGGATTGCCAGTCAGTCGGATGCAATCGACGTAATGAGGAGACCGGGCGGATTTGCCCCCTAACGCAAGCGTGAGGGGCTACCAATCACCCGACTCGATGCTTCCCTGGCGATGGTGTTCTTTGCACGCTAAGGCTGCCGATCAGTCCGGGATCGACGACAATGTCACCAACTTTCCATTGGTTGCTGGCCGGAAACTCAATGGGCTGATATCAATTGGGGGAGCGTGAAACCGAGGAAGAGGATTTGTGCGGTGAAGAGGAAAAATTTCTGCATGATCATTCCCCCTTCCCCTGGCCGATTGTCGAGTCTTTATGGTTACATCAACCAACTCATCGCCGGAGTATGGGCGAGATCCACCCTCGTCAAACTCACTTCCAAGCAAACTGAGCGACGCCGAAGCCACGACCACCACGTCATTTGGGCTTGGAAGGAGGCGATGCCATTCTTCTGTCACACTGGATAGGCTGGTGGATTTGGCGATTGTAGGAGAACACGAGAAGGCCAGAAGGACAAGACGAGCAGCAAATCAAGAGACTCGCCGCCGATCAGATGATGCGCGATGACTAACACGCCGGTCGATGCGCGTCAGCAGGCACGTGATCCGACGCGGTCGCGTCTGCGTGTCACTTCCATTCCACCTCCATTTCCTTTTCCGGCCGTTTCATATCTTTTCTGCGGCGGTCGCAGCTCAGTTGACGGCCGAGACACCCGCAGACCTTTTGTCACCTCCCTACATGACTTCTTCCATCGATTTTCTCTCGAACCCTAATTGTTCGACGCGCGCCATGTCCGAGGAATTAATGCCTGAGCTCCAACCCACCGCCGACGAGCCGATTCCAAGATGCGGCGTCTGCAGCATGAGCTGACATGCGTGAACGTTCCATTCTGCAGCTGCAGAATCAACTCGCCTACGAGCGACAGAAGTTGCAAGACACCCGCGACGGTCTTCTAACTTCACTGACCCCACCACCGGACGACCCCAATCTACTCCTAAATGCGCTTCGAGATGCGGAGACCCATCAGTCCACCCGGGGAATCAAACGCTCGCGCTCGGAATCGGAAGACCTCGAGGCTTTCGAACCCACTCCACCGGAGGACGACTTGGAATGGACGACATACTGCAGGTCGGGATTTTTACTCCCTGTAACTAGCGTATATGAGGGGACCAGCCGCAAGGAGTTCAATGCGTTCAAGCGAAAGCTGGCAGAGCATTTTGCCACCACGGGGTCATTTCTCACCAACGAAAGGCACATGGTGCGGGAAGCGTTGCGGCATGTGTCACGACGTATCGCCGACAAGTGGACGATACACTCGCAGCGGAAGGGCGATGGCTCGTGGCTGGAGTTTCATTCATTCCTCGACCAGCAATTTCCGTCCACTCGATATACCCCGGTCTACGCAGAATCGCTTTATCGGAACCCCAAGCAGCGAGTGAACCAATCCGTCCACCAGTTTATGCGCTATCTTAGTTGCCTTGAAGCGGCTATGCCGCAACTCTTTGATGAAGCGCATCGGTCTTTGAAGTTATGGCACGGTACACTACCCGAAATCTGCCAGGCCTCGGACTTGCATCCCAACGAGGCCTCGTTCAACGCCTTGGTCGATTCCTTGGAGAAGGCCGAGGCATCACTTCAGGAGAGGGTCCAGGCACTGGGGGGCTCCATCCCCTCGAGAGGAGACTCGACAAAGAAGTCTAAAAAGAGACGTCGCAGATGAACCTACGTCTGTTCGTGACTTGTACAATCTCGTTCATATAAACCGGGATCTATGCTTTGCCTAGCGGTCTTTGCTCGATTTGTCTCTGATCTTTTCGGTTCTCTCGATCTTCCCTTTCACCTTCTCATTCTTCCCTGTCTCGGTTTCTAGATCTGTTTCTCTCTTTCTTATCAGGTAGTCAGGTACTATCTTTCGATGTATAAATATTTTGATGTATAATAGTTAGGTATTCGGGGTTTACTGTAAAGCAATTTCCCATTCTTGCTCATTCCTCCGGTTCATGCCTGGCGATAAGAGTGCCAGCCATTCATTCGCTGCAGACACTGTCATAGCCTGAAATATGCAGGGTTCACGAATCATCGCGATATGCAGGGCGACGCGTGTGCCAATCAAGCGACTCCACTGCCGATCCATCCCACTTCCACCGACCGATCTCGTTCTCGGCATTCCCGGACTGTCATCCCTGGCGGATTTTTCATCTCGACGGCCTATCGGTCTGTAGTCTTTCCAAACCCTTTTTTTCTATTCGCGCTTGCATTCCGACGTCTTACCGGTGGTGTTCATCGTGCATGCCAGCGAGCTGGTGCGACCGGGCTCGCATCCATATTTCTGCACGGGCTGTCCCACTTCTGACTGTCAATGACGGCAGCTGTTGAATGTAACATATGGAACCCTCAAAACAGCCAGCGTTGACGGATTGCCAACGTGTCGTCCATCCAAAAATCGTGGTTCACACTCCACGGCGATATGTGGCCCGGTCCATTGCGTTGGCGTTGGTAGCGCTGACGCTGACGATATGCTGGCTATTCCCGTCCGATTTATCCGAATTTCAAAGTAGGATCGAGTTTGTCGAGGAGGAATTTAGCTGGAGTCAGGTACAGCCCAACTTCTGGCTGCTGCAGTCGGGCTCTAACAGATATAGATCACGCCGTCATCGTCGTTGCAATATCATGATTGCTTCGAGGGATTTCAATGCGCCCGTCTGGAGGTCCCTATGGACTACCACCGACCGGACGGCAAGGGCCGTCGCGTGGCGGTTGCGGTTACACGTCTACCAGCAAAGGTGCCTGTGACAGATCCTCGCTACGGGGGGCCTATCTTGATCAACCCCGGTATGTCACTCGCCATTATTCGTTCGGCTTGGCTGATGAAGGGTAGGTGGCCCTGGTGGCTCTGGCATTGCCCAGGTCCTACGCACGGGTCGAAACTTTCAAACAATTGTAGATGCAGGGGTCAACCCGAAAGAGGAGCAGGAGCCGTGGCAGAGTCATAATCGGTATTTTGATATCATTGGCTTTGATCCTCGCGGGGTGAATAACACCACTCCCGGGTTTGGATGCTTCCCGGATCTCTTCTCGCAGAAGAACTGGGAGCTGCAGGCCGAGGCAGAAGGCATGTTGAGCAGCTCCAGCGATGCCTTTGTGCGCAACTGGCAGCGCACCGTCGCCCTGAACACGGGTTGTTCCGCCAGACTGTCGGCCGCACCAGAAAATGAACAGGAAGCATTGGGCGAGCATATCAACACCCCTCCGGTCGCCCGCGATATGCTGGAAATCATCGAACGACACGCCGAGTGGCGTGAAAAGGAGGGTCAGGCCGAACAGCGTCGACGCGACCGTACGGATGGTCGTGACGCAGAGCAGTCCATCATAAGACGCACAAAGTGGAATCGCGGCCAAGAAAAACTCCTCTACTGGGGACGCTCTTATGGCACGATCTTGGGATCGACCTTTGCAAACATGTTCCCCGACCGAATCACGCGAGCCGTCCTCGACGGGGTCGTTGATATTGACAAATACTATCTAAACCACGGCCACAACTCCATTATCGATGCGGATCAGATATTCGACCAATTTGCGCATTACTGTGCTTCCGCAGGTGCAGAGCTCTGTCCGTTCTACAACGACGACGGAGCTGCCGGAATCAAACAGGCGTATCGCTCGTTGGAGGATCAACTGTGCAATGCCTCTCTCCCCGTTCCTGCGTCCGAGTCGCGTGGCCCGGAACTCATTACTTGGACGGATCTCAAACAGACCCTTCGGATCGCGATGTACCAACCCCTGGAGGGATTTCCCCTGCTAGCACGACACGCGCGGTCACTTGCGGATGGAGACGGGTCTGAGGTCGCCGATTTCAAACAGAAGCGCCGTCTCCCTTCCTGCCCATCAACGCAGTGTCTTCTAGACGGACCCTGGTCTATATCTTGTCAGCCCTCCGGCGCGAATGAAATCTATGCGAGTGCGGCTGTATTGTGCACAGATGCGGACTACCTGCAGAGGATGGATGAGGAGAAATTCCTACAAGACTGGAACACCCTCCGTGAAGACAGCTCCATGCTCGGCGACTACTGGGCGCATATCGGGTTGGGATGCGTCGGATGGAATGTGAAAGCCAAATGGAAGGTTCCAGGTAAGTACGCAAGACTTGATCTCACTACACATCTAATTCATTCCAGGTCCCTATTCTGCGAACGTGTCCCATCCACTGCTGTTCGTCAGCAACACGCTCGATCCGGTCACGCCGCTGCGAAGGTAAGCCCCACTCAGCTGAGACAGGAACGCAGCTCACATCGTCAGTGCGGAAAACATGGTCAAGAAATTCCCCGGCTCGGCTTTACTTCGGCAGGCCTCGGAGGGAGTATGTTCCCTATCACTCATTTTGATCGTTCTAGACTAATGTCAACAGCATTCCACGCTATCCGCGCCCTCGCTCTGCGTGAACAAGGCGATTCGCAAATACTTCCAGACGGGTGAACTGCCGGCGCCCGATACACTGTGTCAGGGGGATTTCGTTCCTTTCCTCGGTGTGCCGGCCAAAGGGCAGGACATAACGCTGGAGGACCAGAAGCTGTGGGAAGCGATCATGGACGATGCGCGTCATACTCGGAGTCAGAACACACCATTTTAGCGGGATGCCAGAATAGGAGATCCCGCGCCTTCGATGCTTATCGATAAGATGAGGGGTAGCTTGATGACTGACTTATGTATGAGCTCTGTGGTTATACAGGATTTAGCTGGTTATATATCATTCATGTTGGCTGTTTGTTGTTTGCTGCTTTCCTGTGTATTCCGTAATTGCTGCCGAAATGTCACTTCATGTCCAATCTTCCAAGGATGAAAACCAGAGATTGCACTCTCCGCTTCTTCCCAGCAGCAGATCCCCACCATGACAGCTGCTCGTGTATCCCCACCGGGCCAATTCCTGTCTGAGGCCACCAGAACCAGGCAGCCCATCACGTGTCCTTGTGGCAGTATATAAACCCTGCGTCGCGCCTGTTGTCAGCCGACGAAATCCCCGTTCCTAGTCCTCAGACCCATCTGCCCGGGACAGTCCATCCATTGCCAGCATGACCGACCGATCTCTCACCGGAGCCTGCCTCTGCGGGAACATCACGTATCGCATCGACCTGCCTTCCGACCAGCCTGCCCCTCCAGTATGTCCTTACCTACCTACCTCCCCCCTCCCCTCGCCTCAACTCACCCCCTCAAGCCACCCCTCAAATCTAACCCTAGCCAAACCCAGATAATCCTCTGCCACTGCACCAGCTGCAAACGCTACACAGGGTCCGGCTTCTCATCCAACATCGTGATCCCCCTCTCCGCACTGCACTTCCTCACCGGCACGCCCAAGCTCTACATGAGTCCGTCGGAGGTGAACGGGCTCATCCGGCGGCAGTTCTGCGGCGACTGCGGATCGCCGCTGACCTCGGAGCCGAAGCAGGGCGAGGGCCAGTCGGTTGTCGTGAAGTCGGGGACGTTGGACGAGGCGTCGCGCGAGGCGTGTGGGGCGCTGACGGCGGAGATCTGGTATCATCGGAAGGATGGGTGGGTTGATCAGGTTGGTGGGGAGGGGGTGGTGAAGGTTAGTGGGAGTACGACTTGATTGGTTTGGTTTTGTTCGGGGGAGGGGTGTTGTTGGTTGATGTATGGTATGGGCTGGTGTTTAAATGGTGTTTATATGAGGGAGGAGGGAGGAGTTGGGGTGTTGATTATGATTAGTTGGGTTATGGGGAACTGGATTTGTGGGGTAGAGAAAACCGGTCTATCATTGCCAAAACGTGCCTCTTCATTGGGCTCCCATTATTAAGAATCAACCTCGGCCAACCTAAGTAAACAGGGTTACCCCGCGCTGATCAGATCGCAACTTATTCAGCTTCTGACTTATTCTCCCTCTCCTCTCCCAACTCTCTCCCTCTCCCTTTCATCCTTAATCCTTGATCCTTGATCGTTCCAGTCTGATTCATAGTCCAACAGCATGGCACCCCCAACAGCCACAGAAACCGCCTCCGTCACACTGCAAGCCCGCCAATCCACCCAGGAAGAGGGTTCGCAGAAGGCAAAGGTGAAAATGGGCATCCCCAAGCCCCCTGTCTTCGACGACAAGGTGAAAGAGCGAGAATACCTAAAAGGCCGACTCGCCGCTGCATTCCGGATCTTTGGAAAGAACGGATACGACGAGGGTATGCCCCATATCCAATCTACATCACCAGGCCAAACCCTCGTTCTGTATCGCCACATGCTAACCCCCCACAGGAGTCGCCGGCCACATCACCCTCCGCGACCCCGTCGACCCCACCACCTTCTGGGTGAACCCGTTCGGCGTCGCCTTCTCGCAGATCAAATCCTCCGACCTCATCCAGGTGAATCACGCCGGGGAAGTCATCGACGGCGGACCCGTGCGCATGCTCAATGCCGCCGCCTTCATGATCCACGCCGCCATCCACGCCGCCAGACCGGATGTCGTCTGCGCAGCACATAGCCACAGTCTTCATGGAAGGGCGTTTTGTTCGCTCGGTCGACCGCTCGATATCATTACGCAGGACTCGTGTGCGTTTTATAATGTGCGCCCCCCTCCTCCTTCCCCCACGACCATATCCCTTAACCCCTAGGCCGGTTGAAGTGGAGACTAACGACCCCGTCCCCAGGACCACGTCGTCTACAAACAATTCAACGGGGTGGTTCTCGCAGAAGAGGAAGGGCGCAACATCGCCACCGCGCTCGGCGACAAGAAGGCCGCACTGCTGCAGAACCACGGACTCCTGACGGTGGGCGCGTCGGTCGAGGAGACGGTGTTCTGGTTCGTCAGTCTGGAGAAATGCTGCTATGCGCAGCTGCTTGCCGATGCGGCGGCTGCGGGCCGGGGCGGGGCGACGATGAAGATCGATGATGCCGATGCGGCGTTTACGTATAAGACGGTGGGGACGCCGATGGCGGGGTGGTTTAGTGCGAAGCCGTTGTTTGATGTCGTTCATGAGGAGACGGGGGGGAGGTATTTGGAGTAGGTCGTCTTTAGTGGTTGGTGGAATGGGTGGTTCAATATGGCGTTTGTGGTGTGTTTTTGATGATGGATGAGTTTAGGATATAATAAACTGCGATTTCTCAGAGTCTTGGACTGTTCGGACTAGTAAAGAAATATTTATTGTCGGGTGGTGACTTATTTCTGTCTGCCTGTGGAATGATGGACTCCGAAGACTTAAACCCGAAAAAGGTTGTCCTCGGTTCGTAGCGACATGGTCATTCTTCCCAAATATATGTTGCAGCTTCAATTCACCTTTTAAAACTGTCCAATTTGTCAATGTGTCACCGGAATGCTAACTGAAGTGTAACCTCTCGCCTTGGAGGTTTTCTCTCACTATAATAGGAATATATATTTTAAAAAGTGCTTCAATAACAGTACTGGTGCATACAATGATATCCATTATTTTCTATCCATCATACCCTTGAAACCCAACAAACCTATGTGTACCATACAGTTTTTTTGTTATAGCTCTTCCATTTGGATGATTGAACAAAAGAAGCAGCTTACAATAAACCCTCCTGGTGGCAACTCCACAAGGTCAAGTATTAGCGCCAAATGAACATTTAGCAGATTATGCCATTGTACAAAGCACAGCCAACAAGACTTCAATGCTGGATATCAAATTACTCCATAAAAGGGAATATCAGGACCGTCAAAGATACAAACGCCACCCATGAGCCCAACCCAAACCCCTACTCCACAACCACAAACTTCACCCCCTTCTTCACCCCAAACACATCCCTCCAATCCTCAAACAACCTCCCCAACTCCCTCACATACTCCCCATGCACCTCATCAATATACTTCTCATCCGGCTCCCACCGTTGCTGTTTCACCGCAATCGGCCTCCCCACCACCACATTCAGAGGCACCAGCTTCGGACAAAAGACACCAAACCTGCCCGTCGAGAACGCCACGCGATGACCCACCACAGCCTCCCAGACCCTCGCAATCAGCTTCACAAACCAAAGCCCGCCCTGGATATCCGTCTTGTCGAAGAGCTCGTTCTCCCCGAACGCCATGACGGGAACGAGCTCGGCGCCCGTTTGCACCGCTACCTTCGCGAACCCCTTCCGGATCTTAACCACGATGTCCATGCTGTCGGGGCGCGCGATGTTATACTCGCGACTGCCGCCGACCGTGATGGTGATTGCGCGGCCCATGCCACGCCCGTCGTGGCCCCCCTTGGTCAGGTGTCGGATGCAGGACGACCGAGATACCCCGCTCAACCCGATCGCGAGTAGCCATTCGCGCAGGAGCGGTTTCCAGAACACTTCGTCTTTCATGAGCAGGGTGTTGGTGAGCCCGGGGAAGAGGGAGGAGAAGCCGACGCCGTCGGCGGCGAGGGCTCCGATGGCGCCGCGGAAGGCGATGCCGTGCGGGTGGTAGCCGAAGATGTAGCGTTTGTGAGGCGGGAGGGGGGCAGTGCGGTACAGCGTCAGAGGGAAGTAGGATGCGAAGGCCTTGAAGATCCAGGATGTGCGGAGGGAGTCGTTGCGCAGGGGGAGAGTGCCGGTGGTGTGGGACTTGGCTAGGAACTTGATGTATAGGATGTAGAAGAGGACGGCGAGGCGGAGACGAGGGACGAGCAGGAGGGAGTAGCCCAAGATTGGCATCCAGAACCACGCGTTACAGAGGGTGAGCATGAGTAGGAACTGGCCGGTTTGGGTGAGGAGGGATCGCGAGGTGGCCTTGCCCTCGGTCTTGGGCTCCTGGACGGTCCGCAGCGTCATGCCAGATCGGTTCTTGACCTCGTACAGCTTGCACTGCGGATCCTCGACGTGGATCTCCGGCGACGCCATGGCCATCTTCTCGGGGTTGCGGGCGATCTCGACGATCTTGTCGGCGCCGGCGATGCGGCCTTCCTTGACGTGGCAGAGCTTGGACAGCTCGACGGACTTCTCCTTGTACGCCTTGTTGCCCATCACCGTGAGCAGGGCCTTGCTGAGCTCCGGCGCGCTGATGTTAGGCGCCCGACTCTTGTTCCCGTACACGCCGATGCCGATCCATTCGGCGCGGGCAGCGTTCTCGTAGCAGTCCTGCCACGCAGGGAGGATGACATGGGGGACGCCATTCTGAATAGCCTCGTACCACGAGTTCGCGCCCCCATGATGAACCGAGCAGACAATCTGCCCGGTCTCCAGCATCGCCATCGGCTCGACCTCGAACCACGGCGCAATACGCACGCTGCCTTCCTCCGTCTCCTTCTTCAGCGGCTCAATCGACCGCTCATACACATTATCCACATCATGCGGATGCTTCGGCAACTTCCACAGCACCTGGACCTTCTGTCCCTTCCACCCGTCCAAAAACATCTTCAACCCCGTGGCAATGTTCTTCGCCACGTTCGGATCCGGCGCATACAGCGTCCCCAGGTTCACCAGCACCGTGGGAGCCTGGCCCAGCCAGCTGGCCAGCTCGGAGTCCTGCTGCTGCACCGACGCCGTGGGAAGCAGGATGGGTCCGCAGGGCAGGATATTGTCCGGGACATCCATCGGCCAGTCCAGCTCTTTCAGAGCGGGGGTGAGATGGAAGCGATCGGGACGCCAGGCGTCGGCGAACGGGAATCGACCGTGGATCTTATGTCTGATTCGCCATTCACGGATCTCGCGCCGGCGTCCGCTGCCGTGGTACATCTTGGCTGTTTTGATCCCCGCCAGCGCGTTGAAGGGAATCAAGTGCCATGGAAGGGGGTAGGGGAAGCCAGTTCCCGGGCTGGGGATATTAGCAGACACTCTCCCACGAGCAAGACAAGAGAGGGAAGACATACAGAGGGTATTTCCACAACGGGGCCGAATTCGGCTGCAACCCTAACACAATATGTGTCAGGGACGTCGTGTTAATAAGAATGGCCGTATAGCCGGCATTAAACGCGGCATCACGACCCTGCAGGAAGAAGAAGTCGGCCGCGATGACCGACGGCTGCACGTCTTTGATGATCTCGACGCAGCTCTCGTAGATGTCGACGTACTCGTCCTCAGTCCAGCCCCAGATATCCTCGCAGAGGGACTGGAAGCCGAGCACGGCGCCGTGGTAGCCGGGGGGATGGAAGGCGCCGCGCTTCCCCGTGCGGATGAAGACGTCCGTGTTGGACGGGCCGCGCACGGGGTGGAAGTGGATGCGCGAGCGGTACGAGTCGTCGTACGCGGGCGACTTGTCGGTTAGGAGCTTCTCGACGCGGCGCTCGAGGGCCGGGAACGAGGCGATGTGCACGTCGATGTCGCCGCGGACGAGCAGCTCGTGCGTGATGGCGAGGATGATGTTGGTTTGGCCGTGTTCGCTGTTGGCCATGAACAGCACTTTGGTGTGCTGGGAGGCCATTTTGGGGGGGATGAAAGAGTGACAGGGAGAAAAGAATGGAAAGACAGTGACTCTAGGAAAGGCTCAGCCGGTGAGCACGACAGAATATACCCCGATGCAGTGAGACCGCTGTCGAGAATACGGGCCTGTCGCAAATAGATATAAGACATGTCGCATGTGAAGTGGCAGGGGACTACGACAGTCGTCCGACAGGCGAAACCCCCTGAGCTACGCCCATTCCAGCCCAGCGCAATAGTCACAAAGAGTTGAACGAGTGTTTCAATTTTTGGGGTCGGTCAAGAAGCAGCAAGCTTCAGGGTTCGGGCGCCGATCACCCAAAAATGCGCCGTCGAAGGTCGCCCGCTCCACTGCAATCCGGGGTTCGAAACACCCGATTTTAGAGGCATGGCAATCATCTGATACACGATGGAGCCCGGCGAAAGATAATCGAACGGGTCATGGAAGAAATTGGACGATCCACGGCCGGTGATGTGACTGCCCCCTGAGCGAATGGGACGATGCAGGGACCCATGGCAAAGCAGAAAACTGGACCCTTCGAGTAACCGACAGAAACACCGCGACAGGACACGATGGGGCTTGACCGAAACGGCACAGGGCTTGGCCGTATTCGTCTGATCGGATGTCTAGATTTGCATGTATTAGAATTATTGCGATGGGCGGACGAGCGACCCAAGGGTCGGAAAAACCGACCAGACTAGTGATGCCCGAAGTATAAACCGCGCAGCCATGTCGCCCGAAGGTTATAAGACATTGGTATCTCGTGTTTGAAAGGGGGCAAGTTGTTAAGTTGTCGTTGTCAAGTCCTTCGTTACCTGGTCATTCGTTCTCTGTTCCTTATATTTCTTGCAGTGCAAGTCGTCAGTATGGTCTTCCTGGCAATGGCTCTCCCTCCGGGGCCGATTCTGGACATCGCCGCCCCTAATATGTTGTTTCCGTTGCTTGCGATCGCCTTGGTATGTTCTGCCCCTCTGAGATGCAAGGAATGCAGCTGACAGGATAGATTCCGTGCCTCGCGCTTCTCCTTTTGCAGCTTCTTCCCAAGGGACCCGCCATCAACGGGGTTCCGGGATCGATCTTGGATCTTTTCGTCTGCGGTGTAAGTAGACTTCCTATTTCCTGAATGATACAGAATTCTAACACCTCCATAGATCGAAACCAAGTGGGCTTTCCTCTCTGGAAAGAGTGCCCAGCAATTCAATGCTCTCCATGACTCCTATGGAAAGATTGCCCGCTTTGCTCGCGGACAAGCCACGACCAACACCATCAAAGGGCTTCGCGGCATCTACGGCGCTTCCAGCAAAGGCAGTGCCTTTCTGAAGACCGGCTTCTACAAGAGCATCTCGCGCCGCAACATCTTCACGGCATCTGACCCCCACTACCATTCCAGCGTGCGCAAGCTCTTCGGCCCCTCGCTGACCCCGGGAAGTATGAGTGAGCACGCCGGCGTGGTGCGCGAATGCATCCTGCGCTTCCACGACGTGATCAATGAGAAGATCCAGAAGAACAGCACCCTCAGCCTGAACCAACTCCTCTATTGCCACTCGGTCGACACCGTGTCTGAGGTGCTCCTTGGCAAGCCCTTAGGCTGTCTCAAGCGCGGCAAGCCATACTTCTGGACCGAGCAACTGCCGCGAATCTTCTTCTGGGCCACGGTCCGCGACCAATTCGATGGCTCCGGCGTGCCCACCGTCATGAAATGGATGCTACGTCGGATCCTGCGCAAGGGAATCCGGGCCCGCAGCGAGGAGGCGCGCATGAGATTAATCAACGAGTAAGCCGGTCAAACTCTGATTGCGTTTCATCCCACGACTGACACACCCCACTAGGCAGTTGCACGCCTCGCATGGCCGCCGTGACATCATGGTGGAAGTGATGGAGCGCGCGGGCGAGAGCGACTTGCCGCAGGAGGAGATTGCCGAGAATTTCTCGGCCATCATGCTGGCGGGCTTCCACACGACCCAGAACGCCCTGTGCGCCGCCATCTACTTCGTCCTGACCCACCCGGAGGCCCACGCGAAACTGGTGCGGGAGTTACAGGCGTCCTTCTCCGGCGCCGACGACATGTCCGGCGAGGCCGTCCAGAATCTGCCCTACCTGAATGCCGTGATCACCGAGGCTCTGCGTCTCTACCCTCCCGTGCCCCTCGGTGGCCCGCGTGTTTCGAAGGGCGCCTACGTCGACGGCACCTACATCCCCGAAGGTGTAAGTTCTAAACTCTGGTCAAGATGTCGTGTTTCGGAATGAAACTAACGCACGTCTCACAGACGGAAATCTGCACCTCGCTGTTCGCCTTACATCATAACCCCGAGTACTTCAACGCGCCGTGGGAGTTCATTCCGGAACGCTGGACGGAGCCGGGATGTACGGACAAGAAGGAAGCCGTGCAACCGTTCCTGGTGGGCAGCCGGTCCTGCATCGCCAAGTACTTCGCCAAGCAGATGATGCAGCTGACGCTGGCGGGCTTCTTCCTGGACTTCGACGCCCAGTACGTGGGCCGGGTCAAGGATTGGCAGCGCGAGAGCCGGTGCTACGCCTTCTGGGAACTGCCCGATCTGAAGGTGAAGATCCAGAGACGGCAGGCGGCGAACTAACGAGAGAGGCTAGGAGGACTAGGGGGACTCAATTCTGGTAATTGGAGGCTGTCTATCACTCATTCTCTCCTTCATGTCTTTTTCTTTCCCTTTTCGGTTATGTAATTACTTTTTTCGTTGTGGGACGCCATTCAGGTTCCCACCTTTTCTGAGATATCCATTTGACCAATGACTTCCACAATTTCCAATACGAAGGGCATGAATCACGCAATCCGACAGTGGTAGAGTGAAAACTTTGATCGGACCCGGACATGTTAGAGAAGTCGTCCGGGCAGCGACAGGCTGTAGATCGCCGATAAGCACAACCTGAGGCACCCGGCATTAGGGCTGGCAGGCGCTAGTCCCGATGCGGATGGCTGCCCGAGGCCAGCAAACCTTAAGCATCTGCCATTTCTCTCTCACGACTTCTGCTTCTTCCTGTCGACTCATTTTTGAGTCTCCCTTCGCTGGGTCGCCCTGGCTTCCTCCCCTCTGATTGCTCCATCCATCAACGGTCGGGTCCATCCTGAAACAGGGTCTCTTTTCCGCTCCCTGCGTCCATCGTATTGCTTAACCCTTGTTTATCTGAAATAAGCCCCAAAAAACAGAACTGGGCCCGTCCACCTTCTCCCCGGCCCTAACCCGGCCCCAATATTGAGGTGCCATCATGTCGCACACTCGGTTTCCGACAGGTCTGAGAAGATCCCCCTGTGTGTCCGCTGAGCCGCTCCACTCGGCGTGCTACCCATGTGGCCAAAAAAACGGCAGTCGCAAGTCTCTTCCGCTCTGAGTAAAGGTCGCGGGAGATGAAGGGATGGATGCGATCTGCTGCACTCCACGGTACTGGGGACGTTGATCCCGTTCCTGGTCCGTGGGAGGCCTGTTGCTGGTCCAGGCTATTGCCATGCGGCCGTGGACGGCTCTGCAGATTGATTGTCGGCGGGCAAGGGGGAGGGGAAATGTAGAGGGGCACCGATCGTCCGTGTGATGCGTATATTGGCGGAATATTGAGAACCTCGGGTGTGGGTGTTGGATGTCAAGACCTGTCTCCTGTCGTGCGACCGGTCGCTCCTGTCCTGTCTGTTTCGATCGGTCTCTGTTCCTGCAGGGGTTTTGTTCCCGATTGATTCTCTCGACGGTGTTCTTCCGTCTTTGTGACAGGTCAGTCGGTGTCGCACTGTCGCAGCCTCCTCGTTGAGTAACATATACACGTCCTGTGTCTATTGCAATCCTACTCGTCCACTGCGACCGCGGGCAATGGCCCACTCGTGAAATGACAAACTGAAGTCGGAACTCGGGATTGAGCACATTCATTATGAAGTTGACGGAAGATATTCTGCTGAAGCCGCTGCCCAAGGTCTGACTGCTACATGGGTGTAGTACCTTTTGCAGGATTGGAATGACTGACACGCATTATAGTCTCCTGGGACGGACAGCACGGCTATCTCTTTATCTGATGAGGAGAAGGAGGTCCTTGATCGCCAGCTTCATGCGCCCGTGTCGAACATTGGCTTCTTCGGCATCTATCGGTATGCGAGTCGATGGGACCTCGCCATCGTCCTGGGGAGTTCGGTGTTCGCAATCGCAGGCGGTGCGGCACTGCCCATGTTTACAGTAAGTAGAGACTTTCATGTAAAGGACAATCCAGGACCAGACTGACAGACCAAGGTCCTTTTCGGAAACCTCACCTCCACGTTCCGCGACATCACCGCGCACCAAATCACTTACTCTCATTTCCATAACGAACTCACTAAGTACGCCGTCTACTTTGTCTACCTGGCTGTCGCCGAGTTTGTCACCATCTATATCGCGACCGTGGGATTCATCTACACGGGCGACCATGTCGTGCAGCGCATCCGGGTGGAATACCTGCGTGCCATCTTGCGCCAGAACATTGCCTTCTTCGATACTCTAGGCGCAGGAGAGGTCACGACGCGCATCACGGCAGACACAAACACGATCCAAGACGGGATCTCTGAGAAAGTCGGCCTGACATTAACCGGTCTGTCTACCTTCGTGACCGCTTTCGTTATCGCATATATCAAATACTGGAAACTGGCCTTAATATGCAGCGCAACGCTGGTCGCGGTGCTGGTGATCATGGGCGGATGTTCCACGGTAACCCTCATTTTTAGCAAACGGGCGATGGAGTCGCAGGGACGAGGGGCCAGTCTTGCGGAAGATATTCTGGACTCGATTCGCACGGTCATTGCGTTCGACGCGCAGGAGACTCTGGCTAAGAAGTATGAGTCTCATTTGAAAGACGCCGAGAAGCCTGGCATGAAGGCGCAGATTGGCTTCGGTATCATGGTCGGAGCGTTGCTCTGCGTTATGTATCTGAACTATGGACTTGGATTCTGGATGGGGTCGCGGTACCTGGTTGACAAGACCACGGATATCAAGGCCGGAGACGTCCTTACCATTCTGATGTCCATTATCTTGGGATCGTACAACCTGGGCAATGTCGCTCCCAATGGTCAAGCTCTGTCAAACGCTGTCGCAGCGGCGTCGAAGCTGTATAGCACAATTGACCGCCAATCACCGCTCGACTCTTCCTCCACTCAAGGAAAGACTCTGGAATACGTTCGCGGGAACATGGTATTGCAAAATATTCGACATGTGTATCCCTCGCGCCCCGAGGTCATCGTGGCCAACGACCTGAGCATCTACATTCCGGCGGGCAAAACCACCGCTTTCGTTGGTCCGTCTGGGTCTGGAAAAAGTACGGTCATTGGATTAATCGAGCGGTTCTACAGCCCAGTAGCAGGAGTCATTACTCTCGATGGTCACGATATTGAGAGTTTCAATTTGCGCTGGCTACGGCAGCAAGTCTCCCTGGTGTCTCAGGAACCACGACTATTCGCGACCAGCATCGCAGAGAATATCCGGTATGGATTGATCGGATCGAAATTCGAGACAGAGCCCGAGCGGAGAATCATGCGACGGATCAAGGACGCCGCTAGAATGGCCAACGCGCATGATTTCATCGAAGCCCTGCCGAACGGCTACAACACGAATATCGGTAGTTTCTCGCTCTCGGGAGGTCAGAAGCAGCGGATTGCAATCGCACGAGCCGTTGTCAAGGACCCCAAGATCCTCCTACTAGACGAGGCCACCTCCGCGCTAGATACTAAATCCGAAGGTATCGTGCAGGCAGCGTTGGACAAGGCGGCGAGAGGGCGAACAACGATCGTCATTGCCCACCGACTGTCCACGATCAAAGAGGCCCACAATATCGTTGTTCTGGTGGGCGGGAGTATCGTCGAGCAGGGTCATCATGCCCGTCTCATGGAGCACCGAGGGGTGTACTACGAGATGGTCCAGGCGCAGGAGATCAAGGAAAAGGAAGTCCCGCCACCGAAGCTAGCGACCTTCTTTCTAGACGATGACCCCTATCCTGACGGATACTCGGAATACAATGATGATGTTGAATTGAGGACCGGGAAGTCCGCGCGGCCAAAGTCCAGGCTGTCCATGTTTCTTCCCATGCAGCCGTATCAGAAGGAGAAGTTTTATTCTCTATGGGCTCTGTTCAAATTCATCTCGTCATTCAATCGGCCTGAGTGGCCCATCTTGATCCTGGGTCTTTGCATATCTATCCTCGCAGGCGGTATTCAGCCCTCCCAAGCCGTGCTATTTGCGAAGGCTGTCAGCACACTCAGTCTACCGCCATTCGAGTACGGGAAGCTTCGACACGATGCCAATTTCTGGTCGCTGATGTTCCTGATGATGGGAGTCATTACCTTCTTCCTCTACAGTATCCAGGGAACCTCATTCGCCTACGGGTCCGAGAAGATGATTTATCGCGCCCGAAGCCAGGCGTTTCGTGTGATGCTGCACCAAGATGTCTCGTTCTTCGACCGCGAAGAGAACACAACCGGCGCGTTAACAACCACTCTGTCGGCAGAAACCAAACAGCTGGCTGGTATCAGCGGTGTTACGCTTGGTACTATTCTCATCGTGTCGGTTAACCTGGTCGCCTCACTCACGGTCGCCGTGATCATGGGCTGGAAACTCGGCCTGGTCTGCATATCCGCTGTCCCAGTCCTGCTAGGATGCGGGTTCATTCGCGTATGGATGCTCGATCGGTTCCAACGCCGCGCCAAAAGCGCGTACCAGAAATCCGCCAGCTCGGCTTGCGAGGCGGCCTCCGCCATCCGCACGGTGGCGTCTCTGACCATGGAAAGCCAAGTCCTGCAGTCCTATCAGCTGCAGCTGCAGGACCAAATCAAGAAGGACATTCTGCCGATTCTCAAATCGTCTCTGCTGTATGCTAGCTCCCAGGCGCTGCCATTCTTCTGCATGGCGTTGGGCTTCTGGTATGGTGGAACGCTGGTCGGACATCACGAGTATACACTCTTTCAGTTTTACGTCTGCTTCAGTGAAGTGATTTTCGGCGCCCAGGCCGCGGGCACAATTTTCTCGCATGCTCCTGACATGGGGAAGGCTAAGCATGCAGCGACTGAATTCAAACGGCTCTTCGATGGCAAGCAGCTGAACCCAGGATCCAGCATGGGTCTTCCGGTCCCGTCCATGCGAGGCTCCATTCAATTCCGCGATGTGTCCTTCCGATACCCCACGCGTCTGGAGCAGCCCATCCTCCGAAGACTCAACATCACAGTGGAGCCAGGACAGTACGTCGCGCTGGTCGGGGCCAGTGGCAGCGGAAAAAGTACCATCGTTGCGCTGCTGGAACGGTTCTACGACGCCCAAAGAGGCGGCATCTTCGTGGACGGACAAAACATCTTATCACTAGACATAACCAACTATCGAAGTCACATTGCGTTAGTCAGTCAAGAACCAGCACTCTTCCAAGGGACAATCCGCGAGAACATTCTGCTCGGAAACAACAAGAAGCACGTTTCGGAGGTTGCTGTCACGAAAGCCTGCAAGGACGCCAACATCTACGATTTCATTATTTCCCTACCGTAAGGTCCCTCCCAATTTACCCAGCTTCTTCCCTGGCTAACTCGCAACAGACAAGGCTTCAACACCATCGTCGGCAGCAAGGGCGGGATGCTCTCAGGCGGGCAAAAGCAGCGAATCGCGATCGCGCGCGCCCTGATTCGCGACCCGAAGATCCTCCTGCTCGACGAAGCAACGTCCGCGCTGGACTCCGAGTCCGAGAAGGTCGTGCAAGCAGCGCTCGACAAGGCGGCACGCGGGCGTACCACAATTGCCGTGGCGCACCGTCTCAGCACGATCCAGCGCGCAGACCGGATCTACGTCCTGGAACAAGGAGAGGTGGCGGAGCATGGCACGCACAAGGACCTCTTACGGAAGAAAGGCCGGTACTATGAATTGGTCAATCTTCAGAGTTTGGGGTAGACAATAGCGCGAATGCACACGTGGGATGATCTTCAATGGCATTGGCAGGTGACTTGTAGTGGTAAACATGGCTAAACGGGGGTTGGTTTGGCATTTTCCTGCTTCTTCTTCTTCACTTCTAGTGTATACTTAATTAATGGCGCAAACTGGTTTGGTCTTAATACAACCACCTATGGTTCATGCACCTCTCAAACCATTCTTTATTTCGCTTATCTTGTCCGGGGCATAGAACCGACAAGGAAGGACTTCGGAAGCCCGCAACAGGTCGCAAGTCGGCTGCATATATCCAGTTTCGCGTTTCAACGCCGGCCAGGATAAAGTTAGCCCTAAACTGGACCCAAAAAGCAGTGAGACACGAACCGCCCGAAATTAAGCCGATCGGGCCTGATTTTCAGGCACGGCCTGTTCTTCCGTGGTTAGGACTAGGAAGAACGTCGGCAGTTGGCGCACTTCCTCGGCTGATCAACGGCCGTCAATCAATTCCTGACCAGACCCTGGTTCACTTTAGACTCTAGGGACGAGAATGCGTTGGGGCCGTCGCAGGGGTTGATCAATGCGGTAACGTCGTGTTTCCGATCTGCGGCGCTCCGGGACTAGTGAGCCCCTGGTGTGGTTTTGGGATGCGATGGTCTGAAACGCGCTCTGCGGTCTGCGTTTTTGGCCTCGGAGGCGGACTCGGAGTGATGTATCTACTTGGTCTTGGTTTGTGGGCTGGGGTTCTTGCGCTGCTCATGTGAAGGTATGCCGTCATTTGTTGTTTTGGTGGGAGTTGGTTCTGTAGGCAGAGATTTTCAGTCCCCGGGGCTGACAGACAGAAGCATATAAAGGAAGCAGCGTGTCGCGTTCGTTCTAGAGAATACTAGAAGAACTCAATCAATTCACTCTAAGCCATCATCTGTCTCGCTCGTCCGCTCGTTCTCTCTTTCTCTTTCTCGTCCTCTCTTTCATTATGAAGTTTAGTCTTTCGCTCGTGGCGCTGGCTGGTCTGGCTGCCTCTACTCCTGCTGGTCTTCAGGAGCGACAGCGTACGTCCCTGGTCTTAACCCATTACTATACATGCAGAGATGGAAGATGCTAACACCCCCAGTCTCCGGAGGAGGCAACGAACTCCGCGATGGCTCCTGCAAACCCATCACCTTCATCTTCGCCCGTGCTTCCACCGAGCCCGGTCTCATGGTCCGTTCCCTCGCTCCCCCATCCCATCTTCCTCCTCCCCATACCCCAACACCACCAGTACCACAGCACTAACACCTCCCAGGGGATCTCCACCGGCCCAGCCGTCTGCAGCGACCTCAAAAAGGCGAAAGCCGGACAAGTAGCCTGCCAAGGCGTGGGGCCCAAATACACCGCGGACCTGATGTCCAACGCTTTGCCCGACAACACGTCCCCCGCGGCGATCGAAGAAGCCGTGGGCCTCTTCAAGCAGGCTGCGTCCAAGTGCCCAGACACACAGATCGTCGCCGGCGGCTACAGCCAAGGCACAGCCGTCATGGACGACTCGATCAAGAAGCTCCCGGACGACATCAAGGACAAGATCAAGGGCGTGGTGCTGTTCGGATACACGCGCAATGCCCAGGAGCATGGCCAGATCGGCGACTTCCCTAAGGACAAGGTCAAGATTTACTGCGCGACGGGCGACATGGTGTGTGACGGGACGTTGATTGTCGGGCCTGCGCATTTCACGTATATCGCGAACACCGGCGAGGCGAGTAAGTGGCTCGAGGGCAAGCTGGATTCGAGTAGTTCGAGCTCCTCGTCTAGCTCCGGGTCCGGAAGCTCGACGTCGTCTGGGTCTGGATCTTCGTCGTCGCAGGCTGCGTCGTCGAGTAGCTCGGGGTCGAGTGATAGCTCTTCTTCTGGGTCGTCTGGTCTTGGGGGCTTGGGATCGTTGTTCGGTGGCGGCTCTGGCTCGAGTGATAGCTCTAGCGATGATTCTTCGTCTGGATCGTCTGGCGGTCTGGGATCTTTGTTCGGTGGTCGTTAAGATGCTTGGATGGGCAATGGGTTGAGGTTGAGGTGGAGGTTAGAGTGGGATGAGTGGGATGGTGGTTAGAGTGATTGATGTTCATGGCTTATGGTTAGATGGGTTTGTTTCTATGGTGCTAGGGTAGTTGGTGCTAGATTGGCTTTTGTATTTATTTCTATAGAGTGAACTGGTTTCTTTTCGATATTGGGTATAGAAAGAAAAAAAGAGAAAAAAAAAAAAAAAAAGGAAAATAACATGAATGAGGACAGGTACACGAAGTTCTCGACATAAAGTCATCTTTTTGAACAATGGTGGTTTCAGGTTATCATTGATTGTTCGCTATAATAATTTACGCTTAAAGGTCTTTGATTCTTATTGTATCCGTGAAGACGGTATTTTGATTCTTATTGTATCCGTGAAGACGGTATTTTGATTCGCAATAGACACCTAATCTAAAATGTGTGACACTTGATTGAGGAAATGAAACAATCCAATGCCTCTTCAGGGACTTATTCTCATGTTTGTGTGCTCGCAGTCCGTATGTCATCATAGGCAATTTTGTGACGATTCATTACATCCATGATTCTTCTACGGCTGCGTAGACCGTTATAACGCGGCATGTCTCGTTTTCCTTCGAGGATCAGAAGCTTGGTCCAATCAAACTCCGATAGCGACGAAGGACCAACCGTGACTTCCTCTATCTCAATCATCAGTTCTTGTGAAATGAAGCCACGGCAGTAGGTGCTGGGTAGCTTCCACCCCGTGGCTTCCAGAGTTACCACCATGTCGTTGAAAGGCAGGTGGTCCAGAATACATAATTTAAGCTCTAGCGGGAGATATGGTGACTCGACCGGCATGGTGGGTGTAGTTTGCTTCTGCGAATTGTCCAGCCGACACTCCTCGACGGCCCTCCTAAGCTCCGGGATCCATATTGGATCATACTCCGTGTATTCCAGCTCCGGGTTGGCATTCGGGTTCCAATAGGCATCAATACGACAAGGGCGATCTCTCTGTCGGCAGTAACCAAGGGTGAAACAGTAAGGGAATTCCAAACACCAATGAGAATATCTTCGGAGTCTGCGATCCAGTCCGAATGGGAACAGATCGGCATTCCACGCGACTCGCATGGCAAGCAACAGATTCTGGATATCACCTCGCACATCCTCCCCCATAATATACTGCGCAAACCGCCAGCAGCGGTCATGGATTGGAAAGCCGCGCTTACGTTTTGGCGCAGGCATAAGTGGTTCTAGCAGCAAAGCGGGAATAATAATCTCAGCGTCATGTAGCCACTCATCTATGCAGTACCGTTCCAAGCGGTCCCTATCGTATCCATTTGTGTTATGGCGATAGTACCTCCACTCGATATTCGGGTCGGGGGGGCAATAGAAATAGGACCCGTGGTATGCATCGATCACGCCAGAGCCGGTCAGACGGTATTCAGCTCTGAGACTATCATCCTTCCATTCAATGATAATGACGCGAAAGATGCTCAGCCACGCGCGAGGATTGCGTTCGTCGAAGATCTCAGCAATATTTGATGCTGGATCGGGGAAATGAAGGGGAGGCCAGCCAATCGGCATTCCACAAGCCAGACACTGACTTTCCATGGCAGCGTGTTCACCAGGACGGTGTCTTAGATTTCCATGACGTGCTCTTCGTTGGGAGGTCCGGTCAGTCATGGGGTCTTAACTGACAGCTTGGCTGCAGGTCAACTATCGGGTCAGAGGACGAACCGCTTGTTTCAATTCGTGCTGAGTGGTATCAGATCACAAAGGTATACCGTGAGCACGGCTGGCCCTCTGCACTCTTTGTTGGAGCATCCTAGGTTCTTATATGCATGTCCAAGGTGGGTATACCGACAAAGTCGAAGATTTGCCGGAGATCACCGTTTGGTGGCAGAATATGAGATAGCCAACGCGGTAAGGCACCATTTAATAGACTCAGTGGAAAGCTCCGATAAGATAGAACTGACAAGAATAGTTAGATGTATTCGTCATTTCTTCCTCTGTATGGGATCATAAGTCCTTTTTTGCAGTCAAGGTGAATACAGCAAAAACTCCATGTCTCATCTACACTGCTCGGCACCCGTTCAATTAAGTCTTGATATCGCCGAGCCCTGATTGGCGATATGCATATTCCTTGGTCCATTATCTTGCAGGTACTGTCGGCGAGACTTTGAATCAGCAAATACCTCTTTATCGGAATGACCTAAGTAATCCATATGACCAACCCCCTCAGGCCTGAAAGTCACAATTCATGTTTCATCGAAGTAGGTTCCATCCAGTCGTCTTTACCCAGCACCAAACGAAGCCGACTAGGTGAGCTTATCCCTCATACGAGACTCATTCACAGGAGCCAGAATACGACCTCCTTGGTCCGGCTTTCAACATATTTTGAATTGATATTACCCATCTACTAGTAACGATAGCACTATCATGCACGGATTCTCTTCAGCCATCGTACCTAATGCGCCTCCTGCAGAAGCAAACCCCTCACACTATGCCCCAATCGACACTCACTTCTCTATGGACAAGCTACAACTATAGGCCGACAAGCCCTTCCGCAGACCCCACACGGCAGATAACAACCCGTTATTACCACGCCAAGCTATCCAGACCGATCTCCGCCCTGCTCTACGCTGTCTCCATCTTGGCATGGGAGGACAATCTGCGGGGTAGTCCGCTGCATGACCCCAGATTCCCCAGGTTTGGAACTCTTCCGCGGTGATGTCGGGTAAAGGCCCAACGCCACCCGTGGCTACTCGGTTATGGTGGGGGTTGATAAAGGCTCTGCGTCTGGCTTGTTGAAGTCGATATTCTAGTCTGGGGCTTTCCAACTATATCTTCGACGATACCATAATGGCAACCACGCATACAAGATCATCGGAAGAAAAGGCCTCTGGGGCGGAGCATTTGGAGTCGATTCAGCAGGAGGGAAAGGATGATTCGCAGGATGTTGAGGCTAAGCGCGAGCCTGTGTATGGGATTGATGAAGCCCATCAGAAGAGGATCATGTATGCCTACTTTCACTATCCCCTTATTTATCTCTAGGAGGATTCCGCTAAAGATCTTTGTCTAGTCGGCGCGTCGACCGTCGTCTTCTCCCCATCCTCGGGCTCATGTACTCAATATCACTGATTGATCGAACAAACCTCGGCCTCGCACTCGTCGCAGGCATGCAGGAGGATCTTGGACTCGACGTGGGCCAACGATACACTATCATCGTGATGGTGTTCTTCGTGGCGTATATGTAAGTGGCGCCATTTACGTTCCCAATCCCATGGATTAAACACCGTCTGACCTTGAATGCAACCGTGTAGTGTTTTTGAGATCCCCAGCGTACGTAATACGATGCATCCAGTCGGCTGATGAACCCTAACAAGTTATCCAGAACCTTGTTCTTCCCAAAGCCGGTGCCGCGAACTGGCTGTCATTCCTCGGTGCCGGCTTCGGAGCGATCCTGATTGGAATGGGATTTACCACTAGCTGGTCTACAATGGCGGTTTGTCGGACGTTACTCGGGATGATGGAGGCAGGGTTTCTTCCAGGTTTGTGACCCTTGCGAAGTATGCCGCTGCCATGATACTTAACACAGTCAGGATGCACGTATCTTATCACTTGCTGGTACACACGCTTTGAAGTAGGGAAACGGCTAGCTGGGTTCTGGCTCATGTCTGTTGTGCTGAATGCGTTTGCTGCGATATTCGCGTACGCCTTAACTCTACTCAAAGGGACGCATGGATTAAATGGCTGGAGATGCAAGCGCCCTCATTTCCTCTGTCTAAAGATACCGCCCTTCTAATTGCCCATCTCAAACTAGGGATCTTCATCATCGAAGGCGCCATTACATGCGGCGTCTGCCTCATCGGCCGACTCATCATCGTCGACTTCCCACACAAAGCCGACGGGTTCCTCAAACCCGAGGAGAAACAATTCGTGATCGACCGAATCAACAACGATCGTGGCGACGCCGAAGAGGACAGCGTAACGTTCGAGCGCATCCTCCACCATCTCAAAGACTGGAAACTTTACGTCTGGGCCTTCAATCTCATGGCATCTACGCTGCCCGGCTACGCGTACAGCTACTTCAAAACCATCATTCTGATGGGCATGGGATTCTCAAACACAGAGAGCCAGCTTCTCAGTGCTCCTCCGTACATTCTCGCCGCCGCGACAACGTACCTGTCCGGCTGGTTGACAGACAAGTACCAGATTCGGGGACCGGTAATTGCCGTGCATCAGCTTCTCACGGCTGTTGGGATGATCATCACTGCGTATGGGCAGGTGAATGGAGCGAGGTACTTTGGGGTCTTTCTCGGTGCGTTATACATGTTCCTCTTCTTGTCGGCTTGATGCGATCGAATTCAAGATTAACCTGCGGACAGGCGTCGGTGTCCTTCAATTCTGCATTCCTGGAGTCTTGGCCTTTCAAGCAAACAACATCACGTCGCATTCCAAACGAGCCGTCGCGTCTGCGACGTGTCTGATCGGCGGGGGTTTAGGAGGCATCATCGCCAGCGTGGCGTTCAAATCAGACGAAAGTCCATACTATACGACCGGGATATGGGTGACATTTGCAATCACCATGGTCAGCATTGTGATGACTTTAGGTCTAGACTTTTATTTCTGGAAAGTCAACAAGAAGGCGAGAGAGAGTGGGCGCCCGCTCGAAGGAATGCAGGGATGGTATTACACGTTGTAGGTTCACACCGAGAAAAGGGCGAAGGCTCTCGTGGAAATGGCTCAACTGGGATATTTTGGATATTGACAACGCATTATACTGATTACTGCTACATCAACCGGGGTCCGAGTACGGAGTAGTTCACCGGTTTCATGACGTCTGGAGCTTGAACCCCTAGGCTAAAATTAGTAGCACTATAGTTCCGACAATTAAGCCACATCTCACAATCCTTGTCATGGCCCCAAGCATTATTAGCGTATCTGCACTCCGGAGTAAACGCTCGACTCCGTACGGATGGTGAATGCAGACAGCCCAAACTTGCATGATGAGGGTAGAAAGTGCAACATTCTGGCACAATGAGCTCATTTCTAACTTGATTGGCGCCGACCGATAAGAGCAATGTTCACTAAACAATTGAAAATAAATTATGTACTGCGGAAAAATGCGCGTTCCACACCGCATAAGCAAATTAACAACGTCATAACCTGCAAGGCATGCACGCCATCGAATCCTTCGCGGCTTCATCATCCCAACCAAACTGGAAGGACGCAGCGATCGGAACCCCGGCAACCACAACCCTTTAATCCCAGCCTCGGATCATCAAAATAGCTGCTGCAACAATATTCTAGAACAGTAAAGGGCCTTTCTCGGGATTGAACCGTCGGGATTCAAGTGGATCGCGGACGGGAACAAGTTCCACGATGGTTGTCTGATTATCGCCTCACTCGGAGACTTCAAAGGGAGAATTACCACATCATGCGGTGCGAAATGTATTGCGAACGGGCATTTGAATTGTTCCGTCGCGGAATTCGCTCGGAGACTTTCGAATTTTTCACGCGGCGGTGGATCCTGGTGGATCGTGTCTGGCACTAAATCAACGGTTATCTTCACAGTTCCATGGTTCAAGGTCCACGGCCCCGTTTATTCTTGCTGTTCTTCACCGTTTATCCGGTGGAAATCCTGTCGACGATACAGAAAAATCTGTTGTCAGTGTTGATTCGGAATAGAATGTTCCATGTGCTGTTCCACTTGACGGCATGGAAAGTGCTGGACGGGATTGCCTCGGAGTGTGATATGCGTATATAACCCCTGCCGGCTGCAAGATTCAGTTGTAGTTAATCAAACGGTTCTTCTGCAAACAATTTTATACACCCCTTCAAAATGAGCAGCGTCACCTACGAAGTTTTCCGCGGCTCCGCCGAGGGCAAGATCGTCCCTGACAAGGTCACCAGCACCCTCGGCCACAACGACGTCTTCATCGAGACCACCCACTCCGGTCTCTGCGGTACCGATGAGCACTACCTGAAGACCAACCAGGTTCTCGGCCACGAGGGTATCGGTATCATCAAGGCTGTCGGCGCCGGTGTCAACACCGTCAAGGTCGGCGACCGTGTCGGATACGGATACATCCACAAGATCTGCGCTACCTGCGACAACTGCGCCACCGGTAAGACCACCCACCTATGCCTATCACCAATCCGCAACACTAACCAAACCAAATACAGGCTGGGACCAGCACTGCCGTGACGTCCAGCAGTATGGCTTCCACGACTTCGACAACGGCTCGTTCAGCTACGGCACCGTCTGGGACGCCAACTGCGTCTTCCCCATCCCCGAGAGCCTGAGCTCCATTGACGCCGCGCCCCTCATGTGCGCCGGTGCCACCGTCTGGACCGTCCTCACCGAATACGGCATGCGCTCGACGGAACGCATTGGTATCATGGGTATCGGCGGTCTCGGCCACGTCGCCATCAAGCTCGCCGCCGCGATGGGTTACAACGTCGTCGTGCTGTCCAGCTCCGAGTCCAAGCGCCAGGAGGCCATGGAGTTCGGTGCCTCCGAGTACCACGTCTGGCGCTCCGGCGAGGAAGCCCCCAAGGACTTCAAGCCCCTTAAGCACCTGATGCTGTGCGGCAGCGCCGCCATCGACTACCCCTCGTGAGCATCCCTCCCTACCCATACCTTACCCCTACCAGAGTCACGAGTCGCTAACAATCGGTCCAGTCTCGTCCCCCTCATGGACACCCGCGGCTCCATCTACCCCCTCACCGTGGCCTTCGAGCCCGCTCAGGTCCCCATGCTCGCTCTTGTGCTGAAGGGCGTCCGCGTGCAGGGCTCCCTGGTTGCTTCTCGCGAGAGCATCCGCACTCTGCTTGAGTTCGCTGCCCGCAAGAACATCCTGCCCACGATCATGACCTTCCCGTTCACGACGACCGGTATCGAGGATGCCATGCGCACCCTCCGTGAGGGCAAGATGCGTTACCGTGGTGTGCTCGTCCGCGAGTAAATCTCATGACTTATGATGTTATTTAATATAGATTAGACTAGACGATAGAGTGACGATCAATAGACTGTACAATAATTTTCAGTGTTTTTGTGTCAGAGGTGGTAGGTATAGGTTTTGGAGAGTTGTAGGGATATATAATCTTGTAGCTGTATGGTGGAAGGCCCCACGAGTTGCTGATAAAAACGAGAATAGACGAATATGAGGAAACAAAACCTACACAATTATGGTCTATGCAGAGCCAGGCCATGGAGTTGTACTCTTATGACGCAGTCGATGATGCGATGCCCTAAACAAGGGCCCTAAATGCCCAATTGAGATATCACGCCACCAGACTTGCCTCAACCAACCAGAGACGAGTGGGACTTCGGGGTTTGCTGATATCTCACGTGACCTCACGTGGTGGAGCCCCGACACCCGCGAGACTCACTCATTCACCCCAACTGAATGGTTGCACCTTTGGATGAAATATCCCCGAGAGCCTTGTGCGACTTCGGGGTATTTATGAGGTCGTGCATCAAGAAAACTCGAGCCCATGACAAGGCAGGAAAGCCAAATTCTTATCCTAACTCTGGAACAGGAATAGAGGAAGCATTCCGCATTCACTGCCTCATGGCCAATTGGTGACGGTCAACAGGCCCACTCCGTGCGCTTAAGACGCCGTCGAACTCTAAAGTCGGGTCGACCTTCTCCGAGTCTCTTCCTCGCATGGCTTCACGTCGGTTCTTCTTGGCAGCCGGTGAAGAAGGATGTCGACGCTCCTGTCAATGCTCATACGGTAGCTATGTGACTCGACTTCAATGGCTATGAATAACCCTCAAGGTCAACTCATGTACTCACACTCTAGCTGATCACCCGGAATAATCATCTCTTCATCTTTGATAAGAGTTCACCAATCTGGCAGAGGCACCTGTCAGTACATGCAATCAAGCGTACGAACAGACCATGGCATCAGACGCAACACCCCAAACCAAGAAAGTCAAATCACGAAGTCATCACGGCTGCTCCAACTGCCGAAAGAGCCGACTCAAGTGCGACGAGCGAAAGCCAGTCTGCACGCGCTGCTGGCAAAAGGATCTCCCGTGCACACCCGACACCACGCTGAAATGGGAGTCGGATTTCCACAGTCGCGGACTGGCCTTCGGACGGACAGGCGTATGGTCCAAGGGCTCGTCACCGAAATCAGGACGCACAGTGGACCAGAATGTCTACTCTGCGTACCCCGCCATCGAGTCATGGAGCTTCCTACACGGTGACTTTGCCACGCTGAAGCGGCTATACGAGGCTGATCAGCTCGGCACAGAACCGTATCTGCTACCAGCTAGCAATGTGGGGGATCATGAGCTCGGCGGGTCTCTGGTGCCTGGCAGGCGGGTGGTAGATCGGATCGATCGGTTTGCTACCCAGGGTCCTCAGCGATCTCTGGCTCTATTCCCCGAACTGGATGGTCTGGGGAATAGCTTATTTTTCGACTACTATATTAAGCACATCTGCCCACGGACGATCTCGAGCCTGAAATCACAGTCTCCGTTCGCGACGGTTCTCCTTCCTTACTGTGCGTCTGCGTCGCCAACGGTGCTCAAGGCCATACAGGCGTTGGCGGCATGTCACTGGTCTCAAACGAACTCGACACATCAAGCCGTTGGTCTGCGCTTGAAGAACCAAGTCCTGAATGACCTCCGTCACATGATCAATAACACCGCGTTTGTTCTGTCGGCGGACCCGGAAGTCCTCGTGGTCATTATGATGCTGTGTATGTATGAGATCGTGGACCACTGCGACAAACGATGGATCGTTCACATGCAAGGCGCGAAGGATATCATTCGATTGCGGCGCCAACGGCTCATCAGCTCGACAGAGCACCCTGTTTCCTCATTCGCTGAAAGGTTCTTCGCCTTCCAGGACGTGATGGGGCGTACGGCATGCGCAAAAGCCGATCTCTTCGGACCGTCTTATTGGCGCGACAACGACCAGAGCATTGACCAGTGGATGGGATGCAGTCCAGAACTCGTGTCGATACTTTTCTCAATCATGGACCTGAGCAAGGCTCGAAGAGAGCTTGTTTCCGACTCAGATCAGGTCACGTTCAACATCAAAGCGTCATTATTGAACCAGAGACTGGGGAATCTAGTTCAAGAGCCGGATGACGCTGAGGATGAAACCTTGCGAACAGTCGCAGAACTGAAACACCTAGCCTGCCGAGTGTATTTGAATTGCGCATTGTACAACGCCAGACCCTCGACCTCGTTGATCAAAGACCACGTACGCAAGATACTAAAGACTGTCTTCATGTTCCTGGAACAAGGACTAGTGGTGAATGTGATGTGGCCCATCTTCGTCGCAGCCGTGGAGCTTGATCCGCTGGATGACGAGTTGTGGTCAGACGAGACAACAGGAACTCCAACATACGGTCGCGCTCTTGTGCTACGCGCTCTAGACGTCATGACGAAATCCAGCGTGTCAAGCGTGTCGCGCACGCGTGCAGTGATCAACAAAGTCTGGCAAGCCCGGGATTTTGACCTCATGAAGTCTTCCGACAAAGGCAGTTCCTGCGCGCTGGGATACAACGACTGGGAATGGTATGTCGTTCCAGTAAGCGATGCGCTGAGTTTGGCTTAAATACATGACCTCACTAGCCGAGGAATTCGAAAGATTCGCGATCGCTGGGTTTTGTCCAATGCAAAATTGGGCCATCACGGGTTCTGTGTTCCGTGACAACACTATGACGCCTTAGCCCTAGAAGACGAGCTTATAGGAATATCGGCCGAACGCATAGACACGACAATGTCGATTGAAAAATTGAATTTGGTCTTGGTTAAAAGATTTCAGCTTCCTATCGCCTTCCTCACAACCAAGCCCCATGCCGCAACCGCCTACTGAACATCCGAGCTCCGACACAGGAATCGTGCTGGGGCTCGGTACCCTTCCAGCTGAAATACATTTAATGATCGTTGAGCATTTGCCACTTCTGAGCAAGGCTTCCCTCGCCCTTACATGCCGAATTCTCTACCAAAGATTCGGGGACATCCTACAAGATGAACTTTTATGTCGCCCCGGAAAAAGAGTTATTGGCATATCAAACGACCCCCTGAGTGACCTTTATGCTCTGAGAGCTCAGTTCCTACATCAGATCGAAGATAAACGGTGGCTATACTGCGCTGGATGCAAAAAGATCCATCCCGAGGGGCATTTCTCATTGAAAATGAAGCACGAACCGGCCTGTGACCGCACATGCCACAAGGTTATGGGTGTTTTTGAGCCGTGCCGTTGCCTTTCATTGACATACTTTGATCGCCTGCAACTAGAACGGTTTCTCAGAACCGGGGAAAAAGAAAAATTATCCCGGCCAATCCAGCAAGCTTTTGCGTAAACGGGTTCCTACCTTTAATATCCATGTCCCATAACAAAGTATAGAAATGTCTTGCTCACGACTACAGTAACCGCGAGGCTTTGGGAGGACGGGTGGCTGGCAATAAACAGATGATATGAACACCGGAGCCTGTTGGCGAGAAATAAAAATATCCATGCTGTATTTATCTCTTGACGTCTTGGAGCTGAAACACACCCATTGGAGCCACCATGATTATCAAACCTGTAAGAGGTGCGACACAAGTCAAAGTGTATTTTACTGCTTGCGCATTCATTCACTGTTCTTGTCCGAAAAGGTTGACTCTGAAAATTTTCATCCTTTCACTGCCAGTGTTGTTTCTCCCCACTACTTTCCCCTTACCTTCACAATTTTCAACTCTCACTCCACCCACTTTCTCACCTTTCCACCTCACCTTCCAGTCGCATCCCCATACCCATTCTCTTTTTTTCCCTTCGCCGACATCTCACAGCTGATGTTTCATAGCCAGAAGTGTTTCTTGTAGCACAGACTCTTGTGTGTTTCCTTTTGACTCTCTTTTCAGCGATCAGTTTTCACTTTTTTAGGCAGTCAATCACCTCACTTCTCGCTCAGTCTGTCTTCCGCACCACCTCCATCCCGCCACTGTTTCCAGCATGGACGGCCAAGATCCGGAGCCAAAGAGGCTGAAATCTTCCGAAAAGAAATGCTCGGCGTTCGGAAGTCCGGCATGGATCGCTACCTTTAACAACTCGATCGCCCTGGCAAGAAAGACTTGTGACGAAAAACGAGCCGAGTGGACCATTCGCACACCGGATACACCTACCCCGACAGACATCCCATGGCGACCAGACATGCCATCACCATCGCAAACCTACCTGAACCACCCCCAGTATTGGTGCTACTTTGGCGACGAGTGGCTCGGGAAGAGGGATATGCCCCCAGATCACGCAAAACTGAGCGACTCATGGGTTTGTCGTGTGCTGGCCAGTGAGAAAAAACCAACTGGTAAGACGAAAATTACGGCTGCCTATCGTGGCAAGGCCTGGAAGGCCGATTTTGATCAGAATGGCACCCTGCGCACGACTCGTTTCCCCCGAGGAAAGCCCGTTATAGTCTACCATGGCGGCAAGAACTTCATTCCTGTTGCCAAATACTATTATGTTCTATGCGGCGAAGAATGGGGCTTGAAGTTCGCAGCGTGGCTCATCAACGGCGTCCCTGCTGGCGGAAAGAAAGCCGCTAATCTTTCACCAAACATCGTGTCTATTCCTCCCGGACTTCTTACAGCAAGCTCAATCCCTCCCCGTCCTGGCCAAGACTCGACCGTGTCGCACTTTTTGATCCCATCAAGCGCACGAGACTACTCCAATTGTGATCTTTTCGGCATGACAGAATATCCTCACGTTCATGTAGCAAGGAACCTGATTAGGTTGACCAGAGCATTAAAAGATAGTATTAATGTATAGGTTGAAGAATCTCCAAGCAAGTTAAAATGGTGATGTTTGCCTGAGGCAAGCATGGAGAGTAAAGATGACGGCATACTTCGGTCTGTGTAGTAAGAATGTCGACATACTATTGAAAAGTCGCCACGAAGGAAAGAACTATGAGTCACTCGAACAAATTTTCTTCCTCCTGCACTTTGGCATCGTTTTGTCAAAAAGCGAAAGAAGACATTCCATTCAAAGTCTATACCAGTTACAAGAACTCTTCTATCCTAGTTACAAGATCTTTTCTATCCTCTTCTCTCCAAGTCACAAGAACTCTTCTATCCACGTTACCCAAAATGTCAGACTCGGAGAGCATGCCTCCTCTATACGTCCCAAAAAAGCGCAAGGCGGAAGAACTTGCAGATCTTCGCAACGAGAAACGGCAGCTCGAACTCGAGGCGAAGGATGCCCAAAAGAAGCTAAAACCTCGGGGTTCTTTCGACGCGGAATTCTGGACAACGGCGACGGAAGTCGAGTCACTACATCTTCGAAAAACCAGAGTCGTGTCGGACATCTCCATCTCAGAGTTTCAAGGCAAAACGTCGGATTGGGAAAGAACTGATGTGGCAAGAAACCTCTTTGAGCAAATAAGGGCTCAAGAATACCGAGTTAGGAAGTTCAAGGCCCAGAGCGAGCAGCTTTCTCAGAATAGCCGGACACGACGCTTTTGTGCCAGCTTCATGAAGCTTTTTACCACGAGTACTTTAGGTTTGGGTGCCAAGGAGCGGGCTGGAGCCGGAAAGCGGGATTCGAGCGAACAAAGCTGTTTTCGTGCCGAATTGATGTTACAATACAAAAGCATGCACGACACGCAGGACTTTGCCTGGTGTCCTATCCTAGGCGAATATGTGGAAGTAGAATCTGTTACGGCTTCCCATCTCTTCTCATATAAACACGGACAGGCAACTATGGATGCCATATTTGGCAAGACATCACCACCAGAACTCTTCTCGGCCAAAAATGGCTTGATAATGTGTTCCAAAATTGAGAAGGTTTTCGACTCGGGAGCAATTGTGATTGTCCCCGATATACCAGAAAGGCCACTACGATCAGCGCTCCAAGAATGGATTCAGAAGGAAACTCGCGATTACAAAACCAAAATCATCGATCCAGCAGGATTGAAGATGGAAAAGGATATTATAGCTATTGGAGGTCTAAAGTGGAAAGATCTTGATGGGAGGAAACTCCAGTTTAAAGGCGATTTTAGACCTGCCGCACGATACCTGTATTTTCACTACTGTTTACAAATCCTAAGAAGGGCCTGGCGTGCTGGTCCTGGGCAGCATGCAGCCTTCACGCTGCAGGAAGAACTAGGAAAACCAGTTTGGGCCACTCCGGGCCGCTACATTCCCAGGAATATGTTGTTGGCTTTCGTCGAAGAGCTCGGACACAGATACTACGACAGTATTATTATAGGGGCTACCAGAAGGAGAGGGAGACCGGGCATCCTGATGGATGCAGCTGCGGCGCAAATCGCGAACAAGGAGGAGGACAAGGAAGATGTCAGTGACACAGACAGTGGGAGTGAAGATTGAGGTTCAGGCATTTATTAGCGAGCCAGTATAAGTTTCCAGCCGCAAAGACTCAGCAAGATTGATGTTAATTATCATTATTGTTTACTCTAAATCGAAACAAACTACCATGACAAGAACGAAGTTAGCAGCCATATGACTCATAATGTATAGTGATACGATCTTAATACTTCCAGAGATGGCTTGCTCACAATCACAGTCAACGTGTGGCTTGAACAAGATGGACTGCTGAGAATATGGGCTGCGCATGTTGCGAAAATCAGTGGTCCTTGGCCAGCGACAACAGCCAACGTGCGGGGCCAAAACATTAAGACCTTGACTTTGGAAAACAATCACCCGGGGACCAGGAATCCTGAAACTTGTTCGACGTGCGGCAAAGTGAAGCACGCAATACAGCATGTACCGTGTACCCAGACCCACGGCATTTATTATCGTGTCGAAATTCTGCGCAAGCTAGGCTTGAAAGGTGACACTCGCCCTTGGCCTCGGGATCTGAGGTGCTTGCTACACCAGTTCTGGGAAGACAAAACATGGTGTTCTATTGATCAGCGGCCATTCTCATGGCCATACACGGTCTGTAGTGACGACCCTGAAACAACAGTAGCATTTACAGACCTGTATCAACCGATACAATGGGGAATGGGATTATAAACAATTCAATTAAACATCCTGGTTACACCTGCAAACCACTCCAGTCCCAGGCTCTCTGCCGCTCTTTTTTCAAGGTTGAGATATCCCACTTTTCAACTTTCTCTGGTAGCTCTGTCGTCCAGTGGCTCGCGGAACAAGCGAAAAACACCCGCAACGCATCTTTAATGCACAGCTTCCCTGAGACTGTCTTGGGAACTTGTTCATGATCTTGCAGAACGTAGAGCAATGTAGGGAGTTTATACATCGGTAGATTGGAACTGAGATTCTTCCTCAAAGCTTCGAGAGCCAGATTCTCAAAACCAGACTTCAATCGAATCAGCGCCCCAACTCGCGTCTGGGCCTCAGAGTCGGGAACGGCGAGGATGTGCGCTTCGTCCACGTATGGGAGCTGGGCCACTGCTGATTCCACTTCAATGAGGGGGATAGCTAATCCGAAAAACCGTGCAACTTGAGCAATGATTAGAAGTTTGATAGCGAAAGGTCAAAGGAGTGCTTACAATCGGTTTTCGCCCGGCCGCCGATAATATAGCATCCATCGTCGCGGATATAAGCCATGTCACCTGATCTGAAATAACCCTGGTCGAATGCCTTTTGTGTCCAGTCCTCGTCGTTCAGATACCTAAACCTTTTAGCAGTCCTCCGACGAAAACGATGTTCGATGAATGACTCACCCCGCAAACATCGTGGGAGTTTTCACCAGAATCTCACCCTCCGTCCCATTGGACAACTTGATCTCCATCTCCGGTAAAGGTTTGCCAATGCAGGCCTATTCCGTTAGCAACTATCTCCTTCTCTTCAACCCCGGGACAAGAACGTACATCATGATCCACCACATCCGAGCTCGTCGAAGCAACAACCGTCCCAGCCTCGGTACTAGCATACGCAACCTCCAGTGCCCTCCCATCCAGCAAACCCTCCCAGAACGCCTTCACTACGGGCGGCGGCATCCAGCCGACGCTCTGCACCACCCTCAGCGCCCTCAACCCGCGCCAATACTCGCTCAGTTCATCCTCCGGCAGCTTGCTCAGCGAGTTCTCATAATACAGCATCAGCTGCCGCCACTCCCTCGCCGCCGTGGTGAGTATGGTAATATCGCCTTTGCGAATCCGCTCCCATACAACATCAGACCGAGACGACGTCGTCTGGTCCATGATTGCAATCTTGCCACCGCATCGAAGCATCTCGATAATTCGGCGCATAGATCCAATCCATGCGACAGGCCGATGGAGAAGGAATACATCTGTTGAGAAACAGCGTTCCGCGAAGCCTTGGCCTGAGTAGAAGAAGCGGCGGGTGTGGATGACGCCTTTAGGCGCGCCTGTGGTGCCCGAGGTGAAAAGGAGGAGGGCGGGGCGTTCGGACGAGAATGTGATTGAGTCGTTGATTGTAAGCTCATCGACAGAGAGTTGGGTAGTGCTTGAAAGAGATGAGTGAATTGGAATGTGTGGGATCACAGAGTCGATATGGGCTGTGCCTTCGTCGTATTCTTGGATTGCGGTGGCTAGGGAAAGTTGCCCAGATCCGACGAGAAGGCAGGTCGGCTTCCATCGAGAGATCATGTCGAAGCCCTCTTCTGGGAGGATGCCAGTGGCTGGGTAGTATATTAGCCCTGTGCAATAAGATACAGTTGGAAATGGCTACTTACAGAATGGAATGACCGCCGCACCAAGAGCAACAATTGCCACGATTGCTACCACGTACTCGTAGCTCCCGGGTGCCAGAACACCGATGTAAACGCCATCTTCGCGGATCAGTCCATTGGGGTCGAGGAGGTTGTGAGGGAGGTGATGGCGGATCGTTTCTCGAAGAGTGACAACGTCTTGCATTAGCTTTCTGTAGTCTGCTTGAATGTCAAGGGTAGCATCGTCAATGATCCTGTGTGGGTATGTCTTTGCATTCTCAACAAGTTTGAGGAAAAAGGGATCGTTTGGAAACGAAAGACGAGTCTGCGAACATGCTGGTTCTACGGGTAGAGGCATATCTATGTGGCAGATGACAATTGTTTGACTGGAAAGGTTGAGAATGTGAATAGTGCATTCAAAGGGCTCGGAATCCCTTATATATTAAAGGTTCTCTTAGAAAGCTATGGTCCGGAAGGAAAGACAAATTGCGGTAGAAGTGATGTGAGGAGTATATCTGCGTACTGCAGTTCAAGATATGGTGCATTTGGCCGCAGATTGTCCAATCGGAGTTACGTATTCTATCAACTTCTCTTTAGCTTGCTGCTCAACGAAATCATATATGATATTCCATGCTTATTCCAAAGTTCGAATGTAAGTTGAGAGCCCAACGCTTGTTTAGATAGCGAGTTCAGACCCTCATGAAAAACGACAATGGGAAAGTATCATATTGTAGAGCTCCCTCATAATAGCCACAGCTCTCTCTCTCACTTGGTAAGCACTTATCTTTCAATAATTAAGTGCCGGTATCTGAACAGCTTTAGAGGACACGTTGACCGAGCATTGCGTCGGCGTAAAAAGGGTATGGAAACAGGACACAAGCACCGCTTATCGACTTCAGTAAGGAGATCAAAGACAGATGCAACAAACCGAACTCAGATCTTATTCTATACCGAGTATCCATATAATGACGTCAAAGCATGCAGCGATATGAAGATCCCCCGACCGCCAATCGCACCACCTCCACACTCGATCACACCACCTCTTCAGAGGGGCCCCTTGCGTTGTCAAGACATGCAAGGTCGTGCTTTCATTGCATATAGTCTCAAAGTGAACCTTGGGCTCGGGAGTTGACTTGTATGGATGACACGTAGCAGTTGTGATATGGATGTGTACCGTGATATCTAAATATGTAATTGCTTGAGCTAACCAATCTTCTCTCGCTGCACTGTGACGACGAAGAGATAAAAGACATTTTTTCTCTGCTCAACCTGAATGTAAAGATCCGAGCCTAGACGCGGGGTGAAATGTTTATTTGAGCTCGCCAGATCATGTCGAGTTAACAGCCACCACCGCCTCCGCCTCCATCGCCTCCGCCAGATGAAGCACCGACAGCGGCGAATATAGTATTGTTGCGCCGTTTCTTAGCTTTGGCCTTTTTCTTGTTCTCGTATGCAGAGGATCTGTGGCCATAGTTGGCGTATCTTGGCTGGTGGGTACTTGGTCGAACAGGGTAATAGTACTCATCCCGATCTTTGGACGACCCGAAACACATTTTGGTCGAGGAGGGTTTATAGAACTTCTCACAATACGAATCAAATTCCTTATACATTAGAGACTGGGACCTAGACTGCAGAAACGGGGACGACTTTTATATTATTGGCTTGGGGCAAGGCTGTCACGAAAAGCGCCTCGGCGGCAGTACCTTAGCAGGCAGCCGCTTGATTCTGCATCGTACGGTTTCTCTTGGGAATACGAGCTTGTGGTGGCCATGCCGAGATCATACGGGATTGCCATTGGCATCGAACAGTGAGGCGAGCAAATAAAAAACCATTATTGACAATAAAGGCAGAATACATGACGGTATAATGATATGCAATAAAACACAGCTATAGCTATTGTTGCCTATCATCCCCCCGAATACTGGCCCATTCCCTCAGTCCGAATGTCCATCACTTGAGATGACACCCCGAGCTGACCGAAAAATCTTCGGATCTCGATTGATCGCCTGCTCGGATCTCCACTGCCTCGCATGTGCGATGCGTTCAGACAAAGTCTGCTGCGTCCGATCGGGGTCACCGAATACCAACCTGCGACCAGCCGTGTCCGCACACCGACAAACATTCGCGGAAAGACCACCGACCCACCTCCTGAAACATGAATCTACTTGAATAACAGATCCCTAGTCTGCTCGACACATCCACGAGGATCTGGTGCATTGCAAATGAACTCTTCGGGCGTCTAGTCAGAATGAACGATTCGGTATCAGTGCCACAATGCTGGCGTCAGAGGCTCTACCTTGACGCTATATCCTCAACGTTCTTTTCTATTCCGTTCTATTTGATTTCACTTGTTGAGCTATATACAGCTAGTTCTTGCGGGTTTGAACAGGCAACCGCGTATGTAATAGAGTCTGACGCGTGGGTGGCAAAGTCCTGGTCATCCGGGTCATCTGCGGCTCGTTGACCAACATTGCAATTTTCAAGTTCACGCAACTATTCGTGAATATAGTGGGTATGGGATAAGTGCTTCTGTTTACCACAACGTTATAGTTGTAGATTAGATGGCGATATAGCTGCCTAGGCTTTGGGGAAGAGACGTCGAAAATGGCTTCCGCCTCGTTATTTATCAATGCTTCGAAGATAGAGGCAACGAAGATTTATCATTTAAGTAATCGTTTTTTTTTTCTGGAATGATCATATAATTGCAGTTTGTACAATATTTCTTTCATGGTCAACGGAGTTTTCCTACTCACGAAGAAAGTGATCGAATACTTCTATGTTGATGATTCGACATTGCCACCACAGGCGGCGAAGTGGCTATGCTCGTATTATTCCAGGCAGTGTCATTCCTCGCATTGTAGTAACCTTTTGTTAATTGTAATAGGTTAGCCTTACCCTGACTGGTGTTTACACTGGGACCAATTATTGTTTCGTGGCCAGAGCCTCGCAAAGGTCCTGAAAATATAAACTCCAACAATGCGGGATTGAAGCGCGATGCGACGCGAGTGTCTTCTTTCTCTTTGAAACTTCAGTGAAGTCATGAATAAAGCTATATCTTGATACTATCAAGAGAAAACATTTTAATCTCAATCATTCAGGATGGGCTCCTCCCACTCCAAAACATACTCCAATCCACCTCGCTCAACTAGATACCAAACCTCCCAGAGCCATACCAAATACGACAAGAACGGTGACAAGGCGGACAAAAAGCGAGAAAAGCGCCTGCTTGCCAAATCAGAGGGATGGAGTGACGGCGGCCACGACGGTGGTAGCGAAGGTGGTTGCGGTTGATGGTTCCGTGTGTTTCCGTACGTCCTCGGTGTTTTTATTGGTAGTTAGGATTTCGAGCCGAAGCTGACATGTGTATCCGTGCTTAGAATTATATTTCTCGGAGAAACACAAAGACTGTGACATGTGTTAGGGCTAATGCGATGGATCGTACTTCGGATGAGAAGAAAATTGGGCGTTGGAAAGAGCAGATTAACACACGTGGCAAGATTGCTGTAGGTAGCAGGAATTGTTAATGATTCGGTAATAGAATAATGTCAGTGCAAAGCAACCTATCGTAGCATGTTAAGAATAGTACATCAAGTAATTCCTCACCGTCCCTGAGGGCATTGTGGGTTGTCAAGTCAGACCCCTGAAGATGGATAACACTGCCCACTTTCACCATCATCCGTCGCTTTCATTCACACTGCCTGTATCTTTCGCGCTTTCCGCATCAATCATACTTCAATTTGGGCCGCAGCTGTATCTATGAGAATGATTGGGCATCCTCGTCTTCTTGTGGCACCGATAATGAGACTGTCATAGTATTTATGGCCAAGTTCTTCCACACAAAGGCTAGTAGCATATTCTTCAGGATATAGCGCCCAAGAGCTGCCCATATCGGCTTTCCTAACCCCTCTTGTTGCGCAAATGTCGCGTGTTGTCCAGGTCCAGCACGCCAGGCCCTTCGCAAATTTGTAAGCAGTAATGAAAGTAGAGATATCTACCCGCGGGTCTAAAGTCTCCTTTAAACTGCAGCTTTCTTCCGTCCTGCATGTCAAGCCCTTCTCAAGATCTGCAAGCAGTAGAGGAAGTAGAGGTATCTCGCAGCTGGTCTAAAGTTTCCTTTAAACTGCAGCTTTCTTCCGTCGAGCTCTTTCCATTTCAGACCACCAATGACTATGACAGTCCTGTCCATTTTCAGTCAAACCTATAATTTCGGACTTCGTGTTCCCTCTACTGGAGCCCCTCGACAGTCATGATGCCAGTGTCCATCTTCAAGCCGCAAGAATCGATAATCTGGACCTTGAAGTCTCGGACTTCTTTCTCCATCCAATGGACCAGCGCTCGGAGCGGCGGTCTTTCAGGGAGGTCTGGAACAATGACCAGCACCCCCGAATCGAAAGGCTTCTAGATTGCATCGCACATTCCATTTTTGGTGGAAAGAAGCTCGTGGACGGTCCATGCTTATAAGAGAAAATATTTGAGGCAGTTACAAAACTTGCTGGGACGTATTCGTGTAACCTGGGGCACCAGGCAAAGTCCTCTGTTCCATGCATGCTTTGGTATTTCAAGAGTGGTTCTGCGCGAAAATGGCTCTGTTCGTTTGAATCACGCTTTCCAGCTCCAAGATTATCGTTAATCCCGAGAGCCAAGGTGCTTGTAATGAACAACGTTATAAAGCTTGCGCAGAGACCTCTCGTCTAGCTCTTGGGAGAAAGCTGGAAGCTGCTCGCTTTGAGCTTTGAATGTCTTCACTCGGTATTCTTGAGCTCTGACCTATCTTCCCCCCCCCCCCCCCATCAGGCTTGGTGAGTCGAAGCTGGTGAGCCAGCTCGGAAACCATGTCTTTGACTCTCTGTTGTTTTCAAGCCTATCAGGCCTGAAGACTTTCCAATCCTCATTGCACATCCGGAAATCGACCTCCCTCATGCATTGAGTGAACATATTCGACTGCACCAGAGAAATGTAAGCGGGACTTTGCTTCAGGATCACAAGGAACTCTCCCGGCAATGACTACTTACAATCGCACTGCAACCTCGCTGAGTGCCGAGACGCGGCTGTTTCTTCTGTGATTATCACTGCTTCCTCGTTGACTGGATAATTTGACTATAGTCAAGATTCACCGTCCAGAAGAACTTCGTTGTCCCATTGTTATTCGACCAACATTGTCGAATGCGAAAGCCGTGTGATAGACAAATAAGTCGGTTTCGGCTTGGGCGTTATCCAGGGTAAGATTGATGCTTTGATAGTTCTGCTGAAATAGCTTTCCTATACGTAAAGATAGAACCGGAAGGCAGGCACTTTTGAAAGAAGGAGAAACAGTATGGTTGGCCATGGCTTGCAAACAAATGCGCTGTCGATCGACATACTAGTTTAGCCTCAGGCATCTTGACTGCAGCGAGGACTCGAGGATCGTCTGGAGATGTGACTGAGGTATTTTCTTTGGCTTTTATGAGAACAAAATAGAGCAGACAAGGGTTGCGTAGAAAGCAGAAAGAGGATGTTTTGGCTCTAGAGTCGCCCCTTCCGCGGATGAAGGAAACCTGTCACTACTTCCTACTATTCCAATGAATACACTTCCAAAATACACTGCCGCGCTTATTATTCACATATGACTGAAATAATGAATGGTTTCAACTAACAAGCGAGGTTGGAGCATTCACTACGTCGAGTTACCGTGGAGTTATAGTGCCAATTCCTGTTTTCTTTCCATTGCCTTTCGTGACTCCGAAAAGATGGTACAGATAGCTAGATATCCTGGCAGCTTGAACGGTGGGCACACGTATACAAATTAATTGGCCAGCAGCAGTTATTATCGAGTAGTTAGCGTGGACTACCTGCAGAATAATTGTATTAATAGCTTAGGGGTTCCTGGTAACCGAATCCGAGCAATGGTCATTGAATAGAAAGTTTACATAGGAAGAATTATCAGATGGTAGTAGCGTACTTTTTGCATCCTACCAAATACTAGATTATTGGTAGTTTTTGCTTCCAAATGCTCTCGATTCCAGATTTGTAAGTGATTGGGTAATAACTATTCTTTCCCCTCATTTTGATTGATAAGCGATATGTCTTCTAGCTACCTCCCTAGTGTGAATGATCTCCCAGAACGCATAACAATTAATACCCCCTCCAAACCCCCTCCAAACCTCCAAACTAAATCACTTTACCTCCTACCATTCCTCCACAATGCCCTCTCCCACCCCAACTCCCCGTACAGCCCTCGTCACCGGCGCCAACGGCTACATCGGCAACGCCGTCTGCCGAGCCTTCGTCCGCGCCGGATGGACCGTGTACGGCCTCACGCGCAAAACCGAAAGCATTCCGTCACTCGCACGGGAGGAAATAATCCCCATCCTCGGCTCCCCGGGTGACCTGGCCTTCCTTCCCACTTTGCTATCGCAGCAAAAAGCCTTCGACGCGATAATCTCCACCACTGAATCGCTCTACGACTACGAATCGCACTTCGCCGAGATCATGGCGCTGCTGCACTCGCTGTCCTCATCCAACAACGCATCTGGAATCCGCCCCCTCGTGCTCTTCACCTCCGGCTGCAAAGACTACGGGATGACGGCGCGCGCAGACTCCCCGAACCTCGCACCTCACACGGAATCGTCGCCGCTGAATCCGCCCGACGTGCTGAGCCCGCGGACGTATACGTCGCTGAAGGTGTTTGATGACGAGCACAAGGCAGCATTCGATGCTGTTTTGCTGAGGCCGACGACGGTCTTCGGACGGAGTGGGAGCTTCTATGGGCCTTTTTTCGACATGGCGCAGGCAGCGAAAGAGGGCGATGGAGTGTTGAGGCTACCTGCGCACCGAGAGAGTGTCGTGCATGGGACGCATGTAGATGATTGTGCGGATGCATATGTGGCGATTGCAGAGCGCGATCGGACCGTTGTGGCTGGGCAGATCTATAATATATCGGGGTGGAGGTATGAGACGCTCGCTGAGGTCGGGGAGGCGTTGGTGCAGGAGTATGGGCTGCAGGGGGTGGTGTATGAACCGCCGGCGACAGAGGGATTCGTGGGATTTGATGTCATTGGGGTTTTGACGGGGTTTTCGCAGTGGGTGGGAAGCGAGAAAGTGAGGAACGATGTTGGGTGGAGGGATAAGAGGCAGTTGTTTTCGGTGGGGATTAAAGGGTATAGAATTGCGTATGAGCAGGCGGTTAGGGAGGGGCATAGCAATGTGTTGAGGGTCAAGGGATACGTTCAGGCATATCAGAGTACGAAGACAGACTAGGTGACTATAGTTATATAAATTCAAAGCTGTTCAATGGATTTACAACCGAGCATGATCACTTCCAAACAGATAGTCTTCAATATTCGGAAAAGTCAAGGTGCTAAAAATAATCTCATTCCTGGAGGGCCTTGACTTTTAATATTATTGGGCTTTTAGACTTTCTTTTGCTATTGGGAGCAATGAAAAAAAAAGTTCAAGCTTATAATAATCAGATTGGTCCTATAAAGGTTGAATCTTCTGTGTTTATCAATTGATGAATAGGCTGCAAACTTTTGCTAACGAGAGATACTGAATAAATATTGGATAAATTAACCGAAAAGCAAAACGGAAATCTGGTCAATTTAAAAGCCATGCATTAAATCCCCATCCGTAGCCTTGTTATTACCTTTTGCTAAGCTCAACCTGAGCATAGGCCATGAAGCAGAAAAGAGTGTGCTATATTGCCACGGACATTGGGCAATGCAAACAGATCTGCGTCCGACAAACAATACAAACCCACTAGTTATACAAATAGCAGTAGCCCCCACGGCCATCACTAAATCCTGCGAACGCGCTGCTCAGCCTTGTGCTAAGCCTTGACTCATCAGCACTTAAACCAAGTTACCCATAGGCAAATGAAAACCATGATCCTTTCCATATATCCGCCTTGACCTTCGCGTCCACCCATTCACCTCTCTCCCTTCCCAAAATGCAAATCCCGCTTGAAATCAACCTGCACATCCTCAAACACCTGGTATCTTCCCTCCCAATCAACCGCGCTCTACGCATAAGACTTGTAAACAGTAAGCGACCATCGTACCCTCACATCTAGACCCCGCGATTCCCACTAACAAAAACAGGCCTCTTCGCCGAAGAAATCCCCAAGCTCCTCTTCCGCCACCCAACCGCGCAAGAAGACAACTTCATCCTGAAAAAATGGGCGCAATTTCCCGCCCCTCTAAAGCGGCAGTACATCCGCTGCAAAATCGACATGCATCGAACCAGCACCTGCGTGTTTTCGTCGTACGCGGACGAGATGCTCAAGACGGAGTTGGCGCGCACGTCGCCTAACTTACTACCCTCGGAACCTGCAGCTACTGCTGTCCCGTTCATCGAAAGAGTCATCGATATCGCGCCTCATATGGACCACGATCGCTGGGATATGTTTCATCCGGATCGCTACCGTCGGTATGTGGAATGGTATGAGACGAAGGTGATGGCGGAATTTCCCTATCAGTTTGGCAGCGAGTCGGTCGAGGAGACGGTGCAGGTGGTGTTGGCCGGGAGTGCGATCTTGCGCGACGAAGTGGATCTCTTATCCTGGGCGCTGGATTCAGGCGTGGACTTGGGACAGGTGAGTCGGCGGCTTGAGCTGAGCTTGGTCGATTTGATCGCAAGGAAGGGGTCGAGGATGATTGCGGAGTTGGTGGTTGAGCGAGGGTATGACCTGTCGCGGGTTCGACAGTTTGGCAAGACGTATGCGGCGCTGTGTGGTGCCGCTGTGGGGAAGAACTTCGACGCGCTGGACGTGTGGCTCGAGCATTTGCGACGGAGGGACGATGCCCATCTGCAGCATAATCTGCGCGAGATGATGCGGACTGCTGCCGAGAAAGGGGAATTTACGATGTTGGAGTTTCTGGCGCGATGGTATGAAGACGGCACGGCGGCGTTACTGTATAATCAGCTCATCTCGGCGATTAATGAGGAGGATATATCTGTGATCAGACGTCTGATGGAGTATGAAGGGTTTTACCGCACGATTTCGACGAAGAAGTATCCCAAGGGCCCGCTTTTTACGGTCATGTGGATCTGGAGATCTAGTTACTTCAGGGCGATATTGGAGATGCTTCTGAAGGGCGGAGTTGATCCCGACGGAAGATATCCAGGGGTTGTCGGGACGCCGTTACAACGAGCTGTTGAGCAGGGTTGGCTGGATGCTGCGAGAACCTTGATTCAATATGGCGCGGATGTCAACGTCTTGTGCATCCCTCATCGCATGCGGAAACGGTCCGAGGTGTCTTTGTTGCTGGTGGCGGCGAGGAAGAGGAATGGCGCGATGGTCCGGCTTCTGTTGGAGAATGGGGCAGATCCGGCGAGTGTCAAGAATGACCCGAAGCATGGGAGTTATATTCAGAGGATTATAGATGGCACGGAGACTGAAGCGTAATAACACGTAAAGATTATACGATATTAGATCAGAGCGATGTGTATAAGATAGATCACTACATGGCCAACTGCGATGCGACTTCAATCCCCGGAAACCGGTCCCGAATGACCTGGAATTTCTCGATCAGAATATTCTTGCAGACCTGCTGCAGATTGTGAAACGAGAATACCACCGTCTTCATAAACACAATATCCTCGATCCGGCTCGTCGTTTCTTCCAACGTCGCCTGAGGCAGATGAATCACCACATCAGCGATGGTATTAATAATTTCCAACAACTTGCTCAGGATGGACGAGCCATGCACACGGATTGTATTCTGCGAGATCTTCGTCAAGAATTGTCTCAACTGACTTGACAATCGCAGCGGCAGTTCCAGCGACAGAGAAGGACAAGACGCATGCGACGACAGAAGACAATTCGACATAGCCATCTGCCAGAGCAGAGTACGCATCCACTGCCTAGTGATTACTAGATCGGCCTGCTGTATTTCCGACAACATGGACACTTCGAGCTCCCAGAGCGTGTCGTCTAATTCGCGGTATTTCTGTTCCACCCAGGTGGCCGTGACGTGAGTGCGGTCGCCGATCCACAGACTAATGAAGGTGGGTTCGAGCAGGAGGAACGTCTTGATCACTTGCGTCCAGCCCTGTGAAATCCCGACCGGCAGGGCAGGGTCTATCTCCGGGAAAACTGCGTGAGGGGACAGAGTCGCCGGCGTGAAGTGCACGATGGACATGAACCGCTCATGGATGAAGCACAGCCAGTAGAGTCTCTGTCGGCGGGAACGCTCTGCGAGACTGAGACTGGCGAGGACGGCCTTATCCTCGACGCGAAGGATATGTGTCATGCTGATGGCTTCGCGGAGATAGAAGAAACCGAGATCATGCTGGCCTAGGCTCATGAAACACATTTGGATGAGGATGCTCGTCATGGCTCGGAGGACGGACGGGCGGAATCCCGGCAGTAGTGGCTGCTGGACCTCGATAGATCTGCGCACTAGCTCAGATATCTGGCTAGATGTTATAGACGTAGCATGGGTTGATTGCGTGAGGTCGATCGTGCCCGCAGCAAAGGCGTAGACAAATGCTGCGTGTTCCTTGTCGGTGCCCATCCTGCCGATGGAGTCTTCTACCTCTTCCGCCGTCATGATCGGGTTGAACGGATACACGAATATCATGTATTCCGGAATCAAACTGTAGAAATAGTCGCTGGAAAAAGAGAGGTCTGGCGAGGGTGAAGCGGGAATGGGGGTCTGTTGGGCCGTTTGTAGTTCAACCTTGCGACAACCATTTCGATATTTCGAGATGACCTGACCCCTACGCTGAGCATGCTTTCGTGATCGGCCGAGCTGGTTGTGGGTGTAGGTGCAGAGCAAGTCTAAGTGCTCGCATTGCTGGCATCGCTGTTGTCCATTGCAGCGCACCTTGCGACGGCTACAGGCGTCACAGGCTTTGGAGACTCGTGGCCGACTGTCCATTTTCTTACAAATTCACCACGAGAGAGTGCGTACGGCAATGAGAGGCAAGGCTGACAAGTGCAAGAGTGGAGAACAGCACCCCTGTGACCGTTGCAAGTCGGGGTAATCCGGGGTGAATGCAGAGAGGCTGGGCAAGACTTGCCTAGATGCTGCTGATTAATAGCTGTGTAGCATTAATCCACCAATCATAGAAAAGTAGTGGGGTGTCTTTTGGTTGGTTTTTTTTTTTTTTCTTTTTCTTTTTTTTATGGTGAAAAGTCCATTCGTGGTACTGGGAAACTGTATAAACAAATGAAACTTTAAGTAGCCCAAAGCCCTATCTATCCCTCTACATCTAGCCTGTACCATACTAAGCCTTGTTTACCAGATAGGCCCTGCCCTCAAATGGCAACAGCTCATCACCCGATCTATTATCCACATTTCCAAACAACAGACTGAGCTCCTGGCCCTCCAAAGTTGCGGGCTTCTCGAATTTCTGTCCTTCCTCCGAGAAGTTCAACACCAGGAGAACGGTCCGATCCTGCGACTTCTTCAAGTATGTAAATGTCTTTTCGTTCCCCTCGTCTAGAAGCTCGAACGTTCCAAAGACGAACACATCAGCATACTTCTTGCGCAATCGCATGGCGCTCTTCCAGAAACTTAGCACAGACGCCGAGTCCTGCTCTTGCTTCTGCACATTGAGTTCGGAGACGTTGTCGTGCACACGCATCCAGGTCTTCGCAGACGCAGTAGGTGAGAAGCCACCGTTTGGCTCGGCGCTCCATTGCAAGGGGAGACGAGCGTGGTCTCTTGCCAAACGCTGGAGAGCCTTCATGGCGTTCTCCAATTGGACGGGATCATTGTTTGTCTTTCCGCGAACCATGTTGTAGAAGTTGATGCTGTCGATGTCTTTGTATTCCTCGATGCTCCAGTGCTCGGGGGCGTTGACCATGCCAATTTCCTGGCCTTGATAGACGAATTGAGTCCCGGATAGGGTGCACTGCATGAGAGACAGCATTTTCGCCGATCGGACGCGCAGTTCTGGTGTCTTATCTGAGCCGAACCGAGAGACCGAGCGTCCTTGATCGTGATTCTCCATAAACACCGTCGTCCAGCCGTCCGTGCCGTCAATGATGTCCTGTGTTCCTTTGATAGCGCCCTTCAGCTCGGGCAGTGTCCACCCAGGGAGCGTGGTCAAGTATTTGTAGTCCTTGCCCATCCCCAGATCGACGATGTCGAATTGAAACACCATGCTCAACTGATTCTGCGCCGCAGACACATAAGCCAGGACACCGTCCAGAGTATGCGTGTTGGGCAGCTCGCCAACCGTCATCGCGTCGTATTTGTTCAAGATGGCATTCATCTCGCCCAGATACTCATGAATCCGCGGGCCATTGCAAAACAGCGACGCCGCAACCTGCGTCTCGGACTTAGGATCCAGCACCGGCGCATCAGGAAGCCCCGGCTGCTTGCTATACATATTCACCGTGTCGACTCGGAAGCCGTCCACGCCCTTCTGCAACCAGAACTCCATCGCCGAGTCGTAAATCGCGCGTCTCGCGTCCGGATTCTCCCAGTTGACATCGGGCTGCTCCTTGACGAACAAATGCAGGTAGTACTCCTGCGTCGTCTCGTCCCACTCCCACGCACTGCCTCCGAATATACTCCGCCAGTTATTCGGCGGCCTGCGGGTCCCGTCGGCGGCGTATTTCGCCGGTCGCCAGATGTACCAGTCTCGTTTGGGGTTTGACTTCGAGGAACGCGATTCTTTGAACCAGGCGTGCTGATCGGAGGTGTGGTTGACCACGAGGTCGAGGATGATGCGGAGTCCGCGACGATGGCACTCGTCGATGAGGACCTGCATGTCTTGCACGGTGCCGTAGGGTGGGTAGACGCTCTCGTAGTCGGCCACATCGTAACCCATGTCGTGCTGGGGGCTGTCGTACATGGGACTCAGCCAGACGACGTCCACGCCGAGGCTGGTGATGTAGTCCAGGGAGGAGATGATGCCGGGGATATCGCCGATACCGTCATTATTGGAGTCTTTGAAGCTGGCCGGGTAGATTTGGTAGATGATGGCATTTTTCCACCATTTTTGGTCGATCGGGGCGGGGGCCATAATTGGTGCAATGTGTGAAAGGTGCTGTGAAAGGAGAATGTAGAAGAAAAGAAGTTGGAGTGTTGGCAATCCATTACAGTGTGCTGGTGGGAGGGATATATTTTATAACAGTCGGAGATATGTCCGAGCACCAGCGATCAACAGTGCTGCCAGCTGTCGCGATATCAGACAGCTTCTTTCCCTTCCGATTGACCCAATGTCGGCCCGAGCTGCAATGCAACCACCAAGACCGCATTCCTCTGCGGGGTTGTCATGATTCCTGATTGCGTGCATTTGGCACATTCGCAACCCCACTGCTGCCAAGTGCTGCATGGGACTGGGATGGCCCTCACCCGCCTCAATTCGTGTCTCTCGATCCTAGCGCATCGAACGGTCGAATCATATGACATGGCTGCGTAACACGACTAGCGAAGCCACCGCGCGACGAGAATCCTCGACCAGACCATCTCGCGTTAGGGCTTCTCCACTCCGCTGATGTCGGCCCGACATGCGGCCACTCACAGCGCGCGCTGCCCAAGGAGAGTCTGGAAGCGAGTGGCCTCGAATTCGGGTCCCTGGAATGAACCTTAATGCCAATTGCCACTGGGGAAAACCTGGTGAAACGCGCACGGCAAATTCCCTGCGCTGGTCTCGTGTCCTGGATTCCCCGTTGCCGGCCCGACATTCAACCAATTGCCCGCGATGGTCTGATCGGGCGAGAATCCGGGGATAGCCAGTGATTCCTTCGATCCACTCGCAGAATCTGGGGAATTGCTTGACGCACGCTTCGTGTGAACGGGCACTAGGCTTAGGACCGGACGAGGGAGCCAATGGTGTGCATTTGTCTCACGGGCCAAGAGACTCTCGACAGGCTGACAGGTCTGCTTTGGTGATGGTATGCTGCTGACCCTTGTGAAGCTGTCAACTGAGGCAAAGCATTGAGCTGTATAAAAAGGCCAGGGTTTCCTTCAATAGATGGGGTATGGGAACTGCTTTTGTCTCATAATCTTGCGGTTTTCTAGCAAGTCTCCCAAGTCCATCAAGCCTCTGCATGCATCCCGCAATGGCGTCCGACAAGAACAACAGCTCCGAACATATCGAGGAGAAAGATGGCACCAACGCCCACCATGGCCATGTCCTCGACAACTCCGACCTCCCGGCCAGCAGTGAGGCCCTCGGCGCCTTGGAAAAAGAACACAACATGACGCTGTGGCAGGCCCTGCGAATCTACCCCAAAGCTGTCGGCTGGTCCATCCTGCTCTCGTGCGCCATCATCATGGAAGGCTACGATGTTGTCCTGATCGGATCCTTCTACGCCTTTCCCGCCTTCAACGAAAAATACGGCAACTTGATGTCCGACGGGTCCTACGGGCTCACGGCGGCATGGCAGGCCGGCCTAAGTAACGCTATGAGCTGCGGGCAGATCATCGGCTTGTTCCTCAACGGTATTGTCTCGGAGCGTTTCGGATACCGACGCACACTCATGGTCTGTCTTGCATCGACAGTGGGGTTTGTGTTCATTCTGTTCTTTGCGCCGAATGTGCAGACCCTAGTCGCGGGGGAGTTGCTCATGGGAATACCTCTTGGCGTGTATCAGACTCTGGTCGTGACGTACGCGTCAGAGGTCTGTCCTGTTGCGCTGCGAGCATACCTGACCACCTACGTGAACCTATGCTGGGTTCTCGGACAGCTCATCGCCTCGGGGGTCCTGAAAGGTCTAGCCGAGCGCACCGATCAATGGGCCTACCGCATCCCCTTCGCCATCCAGTGGGTGTGGCCAGTGCCCATCTTCATCGGCGTATACCTCGCCCCGGAAAGCCCCTGGTGGCTGATCCGCAAAGACCGCCGCGAAGACGCCGTCAAGGCCCTCAACAGGCTCACTAAAACCGGCCACCCGGACTTCAACGCCGAAGAAACCGTCGCCATGATCGTGTACACCAATGCGCTCGAGCAGCGCGTCGAAACCGGAACCTCATACCTCGACTGCTTCAAGGGTGTGGATCTCCGCCGCACAGAAATCGCCTGCTGTGCCTGGGCAGCTCAGAGTCTCTGCGGCGCTGGACTGATGGGCTATTCGACGGTGTTCTACCAGCGCGCGGGCCTTGCCGTCTCGCAGTCCTTCACGATGTCTCTGGTGCAGTACGCTCTTGGCGTCATTGGCACGTTTCTCTCATGGACGTGTATGATCTACTTCGGTCGCCGAACACTCTACGTCGGCGGGCTTTTCTTCCTCTCTGTCGTGCTGCTGGTCATCGGCTTCGTCTCCATCGCGCCCGCGACGACCGCCATCTCCTGGGCCACGGGGTCCATGCTGCTCGTCTACACATTCGTCTACGACTCGACGATCGGCCCTGTCTGTTTCTCGCTGGTCTCTGAAATCCCGGCGTCGCGACTGCGCACGAAAACTGTGGTCTTGGCCCGGAACGTGTACAATATCTTGAATCTCGTCACGGGGATCATCATCCCGTACATGTTGAATGTGGACGCGTGGAACTGGCGCGGCAAGTCGGGTTTCTTCTGGGGCGCGCTGTGTATCATCTGCTTGACCTGGTCGTTCTTTAGGCTTCCTGAGCCGAAGGGTCGGTCGTATGCTGAGTTGGATATTTTGTTTGAGAGGAAGACCAGGACGAGGGAGTTTGCGAAGGCGAAGACGGGATTGATTGATGGGGAGGGAGATGGTATGACAAAGGTTGCTGTCTAAGTGTGATGAGAATATGGCGTGTGAATGAGTTATGGTCTCGATAGTATATAATCTTATTGCTGTGATCGCTATGCAGTCTGCCTTATTCTATCTCCGGTTTCATGTAGTCATGCCTGCGGCGCCTCCAACACAACTGGTCCCATAACTCAGTCGGTTAGAGTGCAGAGCTAATAACTCTGAAGTCGAGAGTTCGAGCCTCTCTGGGACCATTGATTTTATTTTTTTCCGGTCCTTTTTTGGAAGACGCTCTCTAGTACCCTCCTGTTCCGTAGATATCATGACAGTTCTAAGTTAAACATGCATATAGCTTCTTTTCCGCTTACCACCTCTTACGGCGTATATAACCCCTGTGATCAGAATTCCACGACAAGTTCCAACAGACTGTTAGGGTCAATTGGACCCGGTCCAATACTCTGCACGTCAATGAAAATCCATCCGTCCTCTTACACCTGATACCTAAGCTGCAGCTGCTCTTCCCCGAGCCAGTTCCAATCGATCTCGATGCCACTAATCACCCAGTCAGCTTATTCCACCACAAACAGAGCTAGAGAACATACCTTTCCGCACGAAATCGGCTCAAACAACGCCGGATGCTCATCGTCCACACAAGTCGGCGCAACCTCACACACAGCCTCGGGATTAAACCCCACAAAAAACGGCATCGCATACCGCGACGTGCTGCGTCGATTATACACGCGATGAACCGTCGACTTGAACCGATTATTCGACAGCCTCTGCAGGAAGTCACCGATATTCACCACAAATGTTCCTTCGATCGGCCGCGCATCCAGCCACTCGTCGTCGGCCGATAGCACCTGCAACCCGCCGGACATGTCCTGCCACAGGAGCGTGAAACACTGGATGTCTGTGTGAGAGCCGATCCCTGCATCGATGTCGATGTTCCCTTGTGTCTTGGCCTCGATGCTGGGTGTTCCGGGGTAGTGGATGTATAACCCGTCGGCGCCGGGGTGCGTGATGATCTCGTCGAAGTAGTCTTCAGGGAGATCCAGCGTAAGGGCAAAGATGCGAGTCATTCGGCGCGCGAGAGCTAGCCTCCGCTGCCAGAAATCAATCGTCACTTCTCGGAAGCCCGGGAGATGGCTTGTTTCGGTCCAGAGGAGCTCCTGAGCGCCATATCGCTCGTCATTGAGTGCTGTGGGGTCTGACACGGTCGGGTCGTTTTCGGGGTTATAGCGTAGAGAGAGGGTTTCTTTGCGGTCTGTTGGCATGTTTCTTAGTATCCTTTCGCAGGGAGATCGTATCCCTATTACCTTTCGTCTCGGATTTATTTATCTGCGTCGTCCCCACGCCATAGAACCCATCGTGTCCCTTCAGTTTCTCATGCGACACCCTCCTCTTATCCTCCTCCGACTGTCCGAAAAAAGCCTTCGCCTGGGCCAGCGCATTCTGTATTACCTCTTCCGGAATGCCGTGGTTACTGACATAAAAGAAGCCCGTGTTCTGCGCGGCTGCTCTGATCTTGCTCGCCAGGTCTTTTCTCTTCTGCGGGGTGCCGTTGATTGCGGTCAGATCGATGACAGGGATCTCGTCTTCCGTGGGGCTGCGGGGAGGTGCGGTTGAAACACGTCGGTACTCCGGGCCTTTGAGGGTGAGGAGTTCGATTTGGGTATATTGTGTTGTCTCTGACATATTGATGGACAGGATTTGTCTGCCTGGGTTGGGTGGGGAAGTTTGGACTGTTTTGTCGAGGAACATTGTGGCATTTATGAGGGAAATCGCGGCAACCACGCGAGTAATACTAAGCTTGCATTGCGTGCTGGTGGGACAGCTTAGCGGGGTATGTCGTTGGCTGTTATCTTTACTGATTAATCTAGGATGAATGCCATTGGATGTCAATTCCTCTCTCCGTATCCTCATTGCCCTAATTTGCTTAGAAAGTGGTGCGACCATGGATCTCCCAGCTCTAGAAACAGTGACATTTAAGCCATAATTCAAGACGATCCTTAATTATCATAATTATCACATTTTCTCTAGGATTTAAATTGAACTCATAACAGTCTATTTGGTTTGCTCATTTTAAATCAACGAGGCTTTTGGCATAGCTGTGCTTTTCTGCAGCTGACCGGGAATAACAAGAACTTAAAAAGAATATATGGGGGTGGAAAATAGTCATACAATGCCTCCCATTATGCCACAAGCTTGTGATTACTATAGCAATGGGCGCTAGTCCAGGTAGCAATTTTCGGAAGATAAGGAATGTGCTCATAGTATTCGGCTAGTCAGCAGGGATAATGACTCGGACAAGAGGTGTCGTTACATGAACGGTAATTCACAAGGCGATTGCCTATACACGAATGCTTCATGACTATGATTTATTATTCTATCGTCAAAGACACCTTTTAACTCGAATTCCTACTATCTCCGATCCAAGAAGGAGGAAAGGCCAGCTGTATCTTTTGGTACAAGACAATTTCCATTCATTAACCCTAAGCAAACCTCATTAATTAACCGACAAAAGGGACCAAGAGAACAAAGGAAACTCAAACACAAAGATATAAAGAAGTCTGCAGACACAATACCTCACTTAACAGGCTGCATCAGACTCTCCGTACTACTTCCATCATTCACCTGTCTCGTCCCGTACCATCGGACCTCCATTTCCGTCGTCATCAAAATCCCCGTTTTATCACTATGGTTACTAGGACTAGAGACTCCAGCCTCCTCGCCTCCCTCTATTTGCGTCGTGTTCTGCCCATGATAAGTCCGGCGGGACATCTTCGACCGATCCTCCAATGCGTACCCAGGCCCATTGCGACTATATGTCCCGTTATATCTGTCTCCGCTCTGGCTCTTCGTGCCAAGCATCTTGGGTATGATAGTCATGACGAGCGGTTTGAGCGACGGCGCGCAGGCGGCGATAAAAGATAGGCCGACTTCAATGGTAGAGATACAGAAGAGAACGGAGTAGGTGTAGTCTTCGGGCATGTGGCGGTCGTAGCGGTCGAGGAGAATAACGCGGATGATTCCGGATATGACGGTGCTGGAATCGCCCTATATTAGCCATGGAATTCAAGCAGTAATGAAGACGGATTTACATTAGCCCAAACGACAGAATCCCAATCAGCAAAACCTTCTGCTTGCGTCGGATCCGCAAATTGTACACGATCCACGTCGGGAGCATCAGCACGAGAACATCAGTAACGATCGACACCGAAGCCGTGCCGGTGACAAAGTCCGCGAAATTGACGCACTTGGCGTTGGGATATGCAGTGGGATTCCAGTTCGCCGCGACAGGGTAGCAGTGGAAGGTTGTGACCAAGAAGGTGGCGATCATAGCGAGGCCGTTGAAGATCAGTAGCGCCCATATCGTGTTTCGGACTGCTGTTTTTTGACCGGTCAGGCGTAGGAGGAAGAGCAGGATGGATGTTTTTACGAGGGCGAGAATCGGGTTATAGAGAAGCTCGGTCTGTCTCTGGTATTAAGGGACTGTAGCGATGGCTTCCTGCATAAGTGCTTACCATATAGGCGAACTTGGCTCCCAGCACTGTGGGTGGATTCTCTGGAATGTCCCAGACATGGTATCCGATGAATTGGTATTTGATGACTATTGGATTTAGTGGAATTCGTTTCAAATAGTTCAATAAGATTACCATAGAATGAAGTCACAGTTTCTGCCCAGTAGAGGGCCTGCGATGACGCGTCAGTTCAAGAATCTCTATGCCTGTCAGTAGGATCGGATTACCCCCGCAAAGCAAATCACGTAGTCATCTTTTTCACGTTAGCCAGCATTAGAAAGCAAAGTCAAGAGCAGACAGCCTTACCGGCTCCGAATGTCCCTGTTAACGTTCGACTGTATAGACGCAAAGCAAGTGCAACTGTCGCAACGGCCGGAAACCCGAAAATCAGACCGATAGCCTGAGACTGCAAATTGTCTGTTGGCGGCATTTCAGAGTCTGCGAGAAACCGTATGGCTACGCAGCATAGAAGACACGGATCAATGACCCTCTATAATGGGAGACAGATCGATCTCATTTCGTTTAATATACAGAAGCGCCTAATTATTAGGTACATCAAGACCACGTTTTTCCAAGGATGTTGCGATCCTTCGGCGAAGTAATCCTGCGCACATGCACTCTCAATTTTCTGGAACCCATCATCCTCCGGCTTGGGGCAGGACCTGTGCAGGGATTGTGCCCTCCGCGGTGCTTATTCTTAGATCATAACAATTGAACGGAGTAAGTGACACTAATTCTCGGACCCGACCACTCGAGGGTGTCTTATCGTGGCGGAATTAGCACCCGGAGCGAAGTGTGCTCCGTGAGAGTGGGTTCTAGACCATGTCTCAGTGCTTTACGGAGTACTTCATTTCACCGGCCTTGCCTGATAGCCTCGGCATCCAAAGAAGCGACAGAAAATAGCGATAGTTAGGGCTTCGGAAGTTCCGGGACGTTCGCCACGAGGCTTTAATTTGGCCTAACGTCGGCTAGCAACTGCAGCTAATGCAGCCCTTGTAGGATTCCAACGAAAGGAAATTGCACTCCAATTTCAGGTTCTTACGTCTTCGGTATTAGAGTTTGAAGGATTTGTCGAGTACCGAGAGCGCCACTGCTGTCTGTTGGGGCGTGATAAGCCGGTTCTTTGAGGCTTCATAATCATCACTTCATATGGCTCATCACGGACCATGCGAGCAAGAGGGGCATTCATACAGATTTTCCGGGGATGATTGACAGTGGCCACCACATGTGGAAAGGGATAGACATGACAGGTGAAATCGGGAAATGAGCGACGTCCACATGGTCTGTTCAGAAATTGGAGGATTTGTGTGTCGTTTTAGTGGCCGCCCCAAGAACTCTTAGCGCGTTTATATGGATCCTCCGTTTCTCTTCATTCTCCGCGGCAAAGCATTAGTATCCAACTCGGAATCGTGCAACTATAGGCCCGGCAAAAGTCGCTAGCCAGGATCCTTCTCTTCCTGATCGGTATCTGGAATTTTCCACAGTGCAATGAGATTTTTGGACTCTCATCAGCAGCATAACAGCCTTGTTGCCACAAGGTGCCCTTTAGCCGAGAGGCTCAAATAGATTAATCGCCGGCCTTAGCTCCCTTTAGTGCGCAATTGACATCTACTAGTCGATGGAGTCATTTCCACTTCTGTGGCACTACTCCGTACTCCGATAATGACTTCTGAATTGACTATCCATTCTGCCCTTAGCGACGTTGACTAGTTCACCGAGAGGATTCAGTACCAGCACTAAGGAGACATCGGACGATTCGCACGATTATCCATCCACGTGGGTGGAATGGCCACAATGCGCGCCTTGTACTCTTCAGATCCAACTTTTAAATAGTTCAAGCGCTCTCGCCTGGGTTTGGATGTGTTCCTGGCCTTAATTTCTCCCCTCGACTTCTTCTTGTGGCAGCCTTGACTTGCGAGATACATTTCTCTGCAGGCAAAATGAAGGGTGCCCTTGTCAGCGGGCTCACCACGGTGATAGCATCTGTCGTCGCCCAAGACACCACAGCTGTCAGCTCTCTGACACCAGCGGCAGCTACTGTTACTACCAGTGCCACGGCTGCCCCGTCCCTTTTCAGCAGTGAGACCGTCCAACTGACGGACGAGTGTCTGGATGATGTGGCAAGCACACTGAAGAACGAGACTCTCTCGAGCATGTTCGCTTTCGCGGACAGCTCTTCAAATCCAAGTGTTTCCAAGCGCGGCGCCAGACACAGCTGCAAGGTCATGCCAGGCGACTTCTGGTGGCCTATTGACTTGGTCTGGGACATTTTCGATCTTCTCCTCGGCAAGCGCTTGATTAAAGCGTCGCCTCTGGCTGCTGTCTGCTATCCCGACTGGCCTGAATACGATGCTGACAAGTGTACCGAGCTTGCCTCGCAATGGACCTCTTCCGATTTGCAGTAAGTATTCCAGTTTCCGTTTCAATCAGCCGGATAATTAACGCGCAATAGCATGGGCGATCCCACCTCTATTATGCTGCCGTTGTATGAGGGCCGTACCTGCATGGCTTCGGGATTCAATTACACCGACACCTGCAAGATGGGAGCATACCCATCCTACGTTGTCAACGTGTCTAGCGTCGCTCAGATCCAACTCGCTGTGAACTTCGCTCGTAACCTGAACCTGCGTCTGGTGGTCAAGAACACCGGTCATGACTTCAACGGCAAGGCATCTGGCAAGGGTGCTCTGTCCATCTGGACCCACTGGCTCAAGGACAAGGCGTTTTATCCTGAGTTCAAGGCCGATAATGGCTACACTGGCCCCGCCATGAAGTTCGGTGCTGGTGTTCAGGTCTGGGAGGCATATGAGTACGCCAAGGCCAACGATGTCACCGTCATTGGTGGCGAAGCTGTTACGGTTGGTCTAGGAGGTGGATACACTGCCGGTGGTGGTCACTCCCCGTTGAGCAGCTTGTACGGTCTGGGTGCTGATCAGGTCCTTGCTCTCGAGGGTATGTCTGTTTCTGTCTGGACATTGTACTTTTGTTAATTCATATTCAGTTGTTCTCGCCAATGGCCGCTACGTCACCGCCACTGCCAAGCACAATTCCGATATCTTCTATATGATGCGTGGAGGTGGTGGCAGCACCATTGGCGTTGTGACGTCTTGGACCGTTAAGGCTTATCCCAAGCTGCCCACTACCACTGTTACGTTCAACTTCACTATCAGTGACACTCCTGGACCTGAGTACTTCTGGTCCGCTGTCCAGTCCTACTTTGACAACTTCGAGTCCTTCGTCGATGCCGGCACTTATGGATACTACTATGTCGGTGCTTCTGCCTTCATGATCGGAACAGACTATGCCGGCAGCACCGACTACTACTTCCGTATGGAGTCGTTCGTCGCTCCGAACATGACTGTTGCCGAGACCAAAGAACTGCTTGCTCCGTGGTTCAGCAAGCTTGATAGCCTGAACATCACCTATACTCCGTGGTACAACCACGCTGACAACTTGTGCGTGCATCCTTCCCCATCTTACCGTCGCAATCTAACACCTTCCAGCCACGATGCTTGGGTCGTTGCCTTCCCTCAGGAAGCAGGCGGTACCGCAGTCGTCAAGACCGCTTCTCGTCTGATGCCCCGGAAGGTCTTCCAGGACGACGATCTCCGCAACCGCACCGCCATCGCGCACAGAGACGCCATCGAGCAGGTCTGTCTACCCCCCTAGCTCAGCCCCCGTGTCTCACTAACCAGATTCAGGGTCTCTTCATTGCCGGCTTCCACATCAGCGGCACCGGTATCGCCGTCGACCCACCAACCGACACCTCTGTCCTCCCAGCCTGGCGCGACGCCCTCGCCCACGTCATCGTCGGCCAGGAATGGAACTCCACGTCCAGCTGGGACGTAGTCAAGGAGTCGACCGAGTTCGTCACCAGCTGGATGGATACTCTGCGCGACATTGCCCCAGATTCAGGCGCCTACATGAGCGAGGCCGACCTTCTGGAGCCGAATCTTCAGGAGGCGTTTTATGGCTCCCACTATCCGCGGCTGTATGCGTTGAAGCAGAAGTATGATCCTACGGGATTGTTCTTTGCTTTGACGGCTGTTGGGGCTGAGGATTGGGAGGTTAGGACGACTGATCCGCTGCCTTATTCGTGGAATAATAATGGACGGCTGTGTCCTGTTTCTTCTTAGGGATTGGATTTAGAGGACAGTCGTGTTAGGATTGCTTGTATAGTATTGAGAGCTTTATATCATTGAATCTGTATTTTAGTTTAAGAATTCTGTTCTCGTAGACCAACTTGTAGTTTACTAGCTAGCATATCATCGACGAACTTAAACCATTTCTTCAGTGTAACCCCACAACACACCCTGTGATAGTGAACACATGGCCCCTGTAGCCTTGTACACTTTATTTTGAACTTTTGAGAATTCCCTATTGTCCCCGGGTCAACTATTCGTCCGTGAACACCTTTCTGTTCTTAGTATATAACACTGCTTTCTTCCTGTTGATGTTTCGCAGTTGTCCCAGCCACCCAGCCCTTGTCCACATACCAACCGGCGATCCAATGACTGGAAAAATGGAGCCTAGGCGTTCTATCCGATGCTAAACGCATTGATGGCGAGAGTTTATGTGGTCCTCGTTTGTTGCCGCTGGCGGTGGCCAAAGTGGCTTATGTTTGCCATTGGAACATCTGCGGGGTGAGTCGAGTACCTCGGTGAGGGTCTTGAACAAAATTTGGAAGAGGATTGATTGCATGTGTATCGTCTGTACTTTTATTCTTCTCTATACATCACAGTCTTTTTTTAGCAACGTGTTGGCTATAAAAGCACGGGAGGTATCCCTCGCAAATCATACTCGATATATTCCCTTTAGCACTTATAGACTCTAGAACGAACTGACCGACTATTGCAGGTTCACGAAATTAATATCCCACTCCACAGAACCATGATGCAGACACACCTCACTCGTCTCAGCCACACACCATATAATGTACTTCCCGCGTAAATAGGCAACCTTGTTTCGTCAGACAAACCTATATTCTATCACGGTGCAGTGATTGCGTCATTACGTGCTGGAGGTGTTGGATCTGCAGATGGCATTCGTTGATGGGGATGCAGATAAGCTTATTTAGTTGCTCGCGTACAGAATACAAGACATGTATAGAACTCCTCTTGATCCATGCCGGAACCTCTATTTTCCTAATTAAGACGCATTGAAAGACCTGTACGGATTCGCTCTCATATAAGAACAGGTTGCGTCTTGGGAAGCCCGCATAGAAAACAAAAGACATGACACATTCCCTAGTGGTTGGTTTGTTGCTATTCATCGTGTTTCGCTTCTTGTAATCTTGGTCGAGTCTATGTCCCCATAGTGGAGGTGTGTGGCTGTAGTCTCTTCTTTGGGCTTGCTTTCCATTTTGCATTCGAGAAGGGATTGAAGTAGGTGGGAAGTAGCTTGAAACGTTGCAACTACATAGATGGATTTTCTGTAGACATTGAAAGAATAGCCAAGTAGTTAAGGGCAACACCTGTTGGTGTTAACGGGAGATGAAGTTGGGAGTATATTTTCGAACCCCTGAGGCAGTGGCGAGAAGCAGAAAAGTCCACGGGCAAACTCAATTCTACATGGCAAAAGCTCCACCGAATTCGCCACCACCGAGTTAAAAGGAAAAAGAAAGAAAGAAAAATCTTGCGATCACCGCCGGCACAGAAGATGTCATGAATCCAAAAAAACAAAATGACAAGGACGGGATTCGAACCCGCGCGATCTCTCATTGGTGGTTTAGTGGACCTAAAACCAACGCCATAACCACTCGGCCACCTTGCCTTTTAAGGAATGTCATTTGCCAAAAGGCACAACTGAGGACTTTGAGCTTCGTTGTTGAATTGGTTGTTGTCTATACTTGGTTTTTGAGCTGACTGGGAGGGTCTAAGGGTGTTGGAAGATGGAGGATAATCGTTCTAAGACCATGTAGAGTTTTTTTGGAATGAGAGTGGAGGATAATGGGTAAGAGTGTTGTTTTTCTAATATTGACAAAAAATGCAAAAGATAACTGTTTAATCTTAAATACTAGCGACGCAGAAAATAATATGACCCGGCTCAGAAGAGAATTCAATTCAATATATAAATGCAATGTCAATTACAAAGCCAGTAAGTAATTCAAACGAATGACAAGCAATCGAACACCCGATCGCTAAACTACAACCCATCCCCTCAGAATCCAACAAATATACTATACATTTTACCCGACCAAATCTGACTCAAGTCTCAGACTTAAGCAGAGCTGGAAGCCGAAGGAGGGGCACCGGAGCCGCTGGGGGGCTCACCGCCGCCACCGCCCATGCCGCCGGAGTTCTCGTTCTCAATACCACCCTCCTCGGTCAGGTAGGCGGCGGGAGTGACGTCGGTGCTGGCAGAGGGGTCGAAGCCGATGGAGATCCAGGAGAAGATACCGTCGGAGACGTCGTCGCCCAGGAAGACGTACTCGACGAAGGGGTCGATGGTGTCGGCCTCCTCGGACAGGATGCTGTCCTCGGCGTTGGTGGTCAGCTCCTGGGTGTTGGTGTTGTAGGGGGCGGTCTCCTCGACCTTGGAGATCAGGTCCTGGTCGAAGAAGAGCTGGCCGACGTAGGAGGACGACGAGGTGTAGAGGCCGCTGATGGTGTTGTTGTTGTGGTTGACGGTGGTCTCGTTGGCGGGGTGGGACAGGACTGGGAGGGTTAGTGGGTTGAAGGCTCGAGGATAAGGGGTGGCTTACTGTGGATGTGGGTGGCACGGCTGGTGTAGTGACCGGGGAAGATGGTTTGGAACTGCAGGATACCATCCTTGTCGGTTTTCTGCAGACCGCGCAGCCAGGTGGTGTCCAGGTTGGAGGTGTCGGAGGAGTCGCCGTTGCCGCTGGCGGAGATACCAGAGTAGACACCCTGTGATTGGTTAGCGGAGTTGATGCTGGTAGGAAGAGAAGGCACGTACGGTGGCGTTGCAGTGCCAGAAGTCAACGTAGACCTCGGGAACGGGCTCGCAGGTGCTGGTGTCAATCATCTGGATGTCCATGTAGAGAGGGACACCCTCCTGGTCCTCGGTGAGGTCGCTGCGGATCATCTCGCCGGTGACATCTACTGCCGTTAGTATACAAGGAACAGCGTCTATCTGAAGGATGCATACAGTAAGGACCCTGGGTCACATCGGGGCCGAGGATGCAAGTGGCGTTCGAGGCGAAGAGAACCTCGGGGTCGGTGGAGAGGTTGACGTCCAGCGAAGAGTGGTGGGTGGTGTTAAGGACAGTGTCGAGGTCACGAGCCTTAAGGAGTGGAGCACCTGGAGGACAGTGTTAGGCGTTTGACTTCTTGTTAAGGCAAATCTGAACATACGAGCTTGCACGCCCTTCTTGGCACGAATGTTCTGAACCATGCGGTCACGGCGAGCAACGTTCTTCTTCTCCTGGCCCCGGGCGCGGAGCTTGTCGGCACACTGGTCCAGGCTGCGAGAGTGGACGGGAGCGCGCTTCAGGAAGGCCGCACGATGCGCAGCCTCCGCCTTATGGTCATGGCCGGGATGAGCGGAGGCAATGCTAGCCAGACCAACCAGGCCAGCAACAAGGGTGGAAGCGAGATGAACCATGATGGTATAGCGAGAGCGATGGAATGATAGACAAGAGAATGAATGGAGAGGATGATTGTTCTGTCAAGCCGAATATCTCAACGGGAAGGAGGTCTTTTATATCTACGATTTGCTCGACCCCGAACAAGCTCACCTGCTAAGAATAAACAAACTTATCGGCTGACGCATTGAGGGGCAGCACGAGCCCCATCTCGACCGTCAAATGAGCGTGTCGAAATTGATCATCCAGTATCAACTTCAGCACAGGAGTCGAAGTGCCATCCATCGGTTAGAGAGTGTCTAGTCAGGATTAGGAAGGGGATCATCATCAGATGACGACGCGGCCAGTCAGGACAGCGACCCAGGAGGGCTAGTCAGTTTCCAAAATGATCGATATGAAGCATTTTTGGGGCCTGGACCGGGAAACCCGAGCCCTAGCAGACTTAGCAGCAAAGGTTATCCCGGTTTGACGAGGACTGGTGGAGGTCCCGCTAGGCGTCAACATTAAAGGCATTAAACTCATTAACCTTATCCGTTATCGTCCGGGAAGTGCTGAAATCTCCGTGGGCCAAGCTTCATCATCCAGAAACCGTCGGTGGCTTGGTCCTGCGCAATGAGGAATACCTCGACGCTTATTTGCGGAAATTCCTCGGGGACTGTGGGGGAGGACTCCATGCCCCATTCCTAGAAGGAGGCACTGTGGCAGAAGAGGCGATCTTTTCCTAGTTGTGCCTGGCGGTAGGCGCAGGGCGTACGTATTCTTGTCTGCGGAGTACGCAGCAGATGCTTGGCAGGGCGGATCTCCTCCGAGAGTGGGTGGTAGTTGAGGATCCTCGCTGCCGAAGTGTATACATTGTACGCATGTAGATGGGATTAGAATTGAGAAACGAAAGAAGTACTTTTTGTGCTACTGGCATGGACAGCCTTGAACAGAGGGAACGATAATGAAGAGGGAAAATAAGAATAAGAGAAAACAACCGAGGCGAAGTCCCGAGGATTCGTCAGCTCGGCAGCCCCCCGGCTAGCCCTAACCGCCGCGGGTCTTGGCGCTCCTCCATCGTGAGTCTGTTCATGCTTCATCCTTTACACGCCTTAGACTGCGCTTGGATCGCTTGCCGTCCGTCTGGACTTCGAGAAGCTTCCTACCCCATCACATCATGTCCGCAGAAATCACTACGAAAGTACCGCCACGCTCTCCAACTTCGGGTTGTTACCCCATTGCACTAACCATCACGCCTTCCAAGGCAGAACATTATTCTTATTACAAAGTATCTCTAATATGAAATGAACAAGGATATACGTAATAGTCAACTCCAATGAAACAATCAGGATCCAGGCCTTCGCACTACCAGGGAAACAGCGTACTCCGGAGTGCGTTGTAAACGTGACAACCTCAGTTGCATTACCTTATCGTTTTATCCACCGGAGTGCTCTCCACCGACTATTCCCGGTGAGTTAAATCTATAATGGGGCCGGGAGCTTAATCTAATGCAGGGGCTGCGTGTTTATCACACCATCCATAACCGATCCTCCAAAAAGGAAGGAATCATGAGAACAACAACGGCATAGATCACATCAGCGACTAGTATGACGGACTGGGGTTAGGCAGACGAATCATGTGTTAGATATTATCAAGTGTTGGAAATAGAAGGATGAATGAATGATAGAGAGAGCGAAAATGGAAGGGTGCCTGGTATACGGCGTAAGAATGCCCGGCCTTTAATGTCTTCATTTGTAAAATGCTGGACATCAGGTTTCTGTTTTGTCTTGTTCCCTTCTTCGTCTCACAGCAAGCTTTTGATAAAAATAGAACGATGGATCTTTTCGTTGTAGGTTTTACATTAGTCTAGGTAATTTTGAAACTGCATTATCTTATACGCAAAAGCCATAGTGCTAGGATTGGTATTGACCATTGCTGCGACATCACCAACACCGGTCTGGGTTGAACAAAAACTGCGCATGCAGCAATGTTCAACTTTACTCAAAGAATAGTACTTGAACTTCAGATTATTGAGCGGAACAATATTATTCATAAATTATATACTGTAAAGAGAGACATGATAGAGATGTTCCCCGAGCATGTCGCACGGGAAATATATATCTCTGCATCTCATACTAATGCATTGGCGGAAATATACAATAACAAACATGAACGTACTAATGTAAACTATGGGAATTGGTCACAGACTTGAAGAGCAAGACTTAAAGTCACAATCACATTCAGGAATAAAATATGAATACATGATAAAGAATAGCAAAAGAGAGCAGATTCGATGTATCTCGTGTTATATGATCCCAAAGCCTACCATAATACCAAGCTTCATCTGAGAATGAAGGGGTTCAACTTTGTGCTATTTTATCTAATCCGGCTTAATACTACAGAGAAAATAGCGAAACAAAAAAAAGATAAATTAATAGCCTTGGTTCCGAGTGTATATAATAAGATATAAAAACGTCAACTTATTACTCACAACTATTAAGGTATTTGGGAGATTGTTTTTAATACTTTTATTCTTTAAGGTATATTAGGTTTGCTTAATTTAAATAATGGTTAGATTTAGAAGTAAGTTTTCCGTAATAGTACTCAGTACTAGGCTTAACTGTGGCCCGTGGGTAAATAACTATTATATTTAGCACTTATTTAAGTATATTTTTACTGAACTAGAAAGGCATAATATAAATTCGGAAAGAGGGATAAAAGACTTAATTCAGATATATTGTCTTCAAGGAGCTTACCTAAAAAGGTATAAAATCTAACTGGGGTGAGTTAAACTTCTTCCTATTATGTAATAACAAGTTATACGCGAGATACCTTAATTTCAGCTTCGGTGTACTATTGGAGCAAATATCCACAGAATTATTAAACAGACGAAATAGATAATTTACTTAAAATATTAATAATAAGCCTTTCTGTTTGGGAATACTAGTCTCTCGTAACTATCCATATTATCCCTTGATGTATTATGGCATAAAAATACATTAGCTATCTCGATATAATTTTTTTAAATTATAAAAACTAATAAAGTCGGCAATGACCCCTTCTGCGCATTAATTATGAAATTATTTTTAATAAGGATCTTAGCTACTTTAAAATAATTCTAGTATACTGCTGTCTGGAGTACATTCCCGAAAAATCTAAACAAGTTAACAAATACATCCCGCGAAATAAGGAATTTAACAACTTTAGGGTGATTGATACTAACTGTTATAAGAAAAAAATAATTTATTCCAGTTATGTCTTTAGGATTAATCTCGCTGCTGTAGTCAAGCAGGTATTTAGCACTTTTTAATCTGCCATATAAACAGGCTTCTTGGAGAGCATCAGGAGGAGTCTACCCTGTCTTTTTGCTTTTTTTTTTCAGAATTTTGCGGAAAATACTTTTATAATTATCCAAAACAGCTGCTTTAAGATCCACTTAGAGTGTATTAGCACCGCGTGTAAGAAGAATATTAATTATAAATAATTACTCGGACTCAAGAGCAGTTGCTAGAAGAGTATTTATAATTAGTTTTTTAGGATAAATAATTTGGTCCCAGATTAATATAAAAAACATTATCTCGGGAGTTCCTTCTTCCGTAATAATATAAATTAGACCGGATCTTGAATTTTGTCTCGTTTTAGCGCCATAATATAGCCAATATTTGATAATATTCTTTGACTTATTAAAAATCGCCGGGTAAATAAGATTATTTATAGCTGCAGAGGTGCGGGAAATAGATCTATTAAAAAAAAGTATAATGTTACTTAAGTTATTATTCGCGGCACGCTCAATACTACACGCGACAAAATCCTTATCATCCCGAATGTATCGCTAGACTGTTTTGAAATTAGAAAAAAAATTAATCTGAGCGGCTCTTAACCCAAAAGATTTAATTTTTTGCTTGATTTTATCCGGAAAATACTTTCGCAAGATCTTGATTATATTATGAAAACCCTTAGTAAGAGAGAATAAAATAAATTCTTGCAAGTTAACTTCCTCTTTAAAATTATCATAGATTTCAGACCATAAAATTTGTAAAACTAAATACAAAGCTCTGGAATAATTATAAATAATAGTATATCTAAGTAGTTATCTGTATATCTCGTTGTTCGTTCTGTACTTGCTCAAATCTGTGACTGAATTGAGAGCCTTTCCGACCTGATCCAATGCGAGAGCCTGTTTGATATTCAGCGGGACTAGTGGCAGATATGGAATATTTCCACAGAAGGTCACAGAATCTTCTGTATCAGTGTCTGATGGTAGATCTTCAGAATTGTTGCGTTGCATCGGGGCTCCATTTGATCTTTCGAGGGACAGGGGATGTTGACATCTGGACTGCGTTTGAGTTTTGGCTGACTGGGCTTCAGCGGATTCGGTTTCATAAGACAATGATTCGTCAGAATCATGTTCTGGCGTTTGTCCCGCCAGCACAAGTTGATTATGTTCTTGGTTATTGCATTCATCATCGCCCGAGGCATCTAGTATCTCTTCGAAAAGTGGGTCATCGGCCTTATCGATCTCTGGCCTTTGCTCCGTCGTTGCTTTTGGCTCGACTGACGCAATAGTAGACCACACTAGGAACATGAAGGCGAGAAAGTGAAACAACATCAATATCCAGTAAAACACTGAAGACAAATAAGCCGATGCACCTGTAAGTAGTTTATTTTCGTTGTTCTGGTAAAAAGCAAAGTTCAAAATGAATTAGAACTGGCAAATAAAGTAGAATCGTGACAATCCGAACATATAGCACCTACCGAATTGGATAGCAGGCCTTGAATCAAATGTAGTAACTGCTGAGAAATTCCCAACGTATATGTCGTAGTGGTTAGAGAGATTGCGTAGCAGATGGTCGGCAGCCAAGCTGTATGATGGGGGCCAGGGAGGGCGATACGGAGAGACACTTGATGTCCTCGCATAGTGAGAGATATTGTTATCAACAGAACTGAAACGCAAGTTGAAAATCAATGAGAAGTAATCCGGAGGGATTCCGAGCAAATACGTGGACAGATAGGGCAATAACGGAAAGGTTGGAGGAAAGAAAAATGAATGAGGCGTTTCGTGAGAATGGCGTGAGGGGTTTTCAATTCGTCGATTTGCAACCCCTGCATGGCGGGCGATTACGGCCGATCGGCAAAAAGAAAAAATGTGTGATTATGCAGGGATATAAAAGTCGACAAAAATAAATTAGCATGAGCTCAAGCTAATTCACCCTCACACGGCGGGAATGAATCGTGTTTAAATGCAAACCAAATCTGTATGGCTGAGCGGGAATCGTATGATTAACCACCGACTGCTCAATCAACAATTATTTCGTTTCAGCTACCGCTGTTATTCAACCAATGCGCACATAGTTTGATAACATTTGTATTGGTGCTGATCGATTGATTGTATCCGATGAGGCTTGCCAAAATGGGCGAGTCACTGGATCGGCTAACCCTAAGAGGGGAGAAAGAAACTGCCGTGGGAAGGTTCGGATGGAGACTGACATCGGACATGCAGATAATATCTATTGAATTGATATCGGTAGCTAATATTTCTAGCTAGATACGAAGCTCTTATTTTGGCGCGACATGATCAAAATAATATTTGTGAGCAGCATCCATGATCGCCTTGACCCGGTGTGGAGGGACCTTCTCCTCCCGATCGTACGAGTAGAGCCCGTTCACCTCTTGCTCGATGTCACACCTGCACTTCGTTAGCACTCATACCAACTTTTGTCAAATGCGGACTTACAATTGCGTATACACCATTCCACAAATATGTCCGCCCTTGACAACGCCCATGACCAGCTTCTCCAGCCGGCCAAGAAAGTCCTCCGGGTCGCTGGCCGTGGTATAGCCCCAGTCCCTGTCGCCTGCGGCTGTGCCCTTGGACGGAATGATATTTACTCCGCCAAACTCGGAGCAGATGACGGGTGCGCCGGGTTTATGCTGCGTTCCGGGGTCGAGGACCACGGAGCCGGATTTGATCGGCCCAACGAACAACTCGCGGTTGGACTTCTGGCCGAGAATCCCGTTTTCGAAGTCTGCGCAGGTTGCGGTAAGAGAAGGGGAGTCGGTATAATCGTGGAAGGTTGTGAGGTCGGTTTGAACGTGTTCCCAGCCGCAGTTGTCGTTGATAGGGCGGGTTGGGTCCAGGGCTCTGGTTTTATTAGTGATTGGGAATGAAGAAAGAGAAATGGGTGGAAACTGACTTGGTCAAGTAATAGACAGAGCGGATGTGGTTCCGCTGCTCGACGTTATCATTCAGCGAGGTGTAGGCCCAGCTCTCGTTGAATGGTGTCCAGGCCACGATACTGGGGTGGTTGATGTCTCGTTTGACAGCCTCCGTCCACTCGCTGTTATACCGGGAGATATACTCGTCGCTGAACTCGTAGGCGTTCGCGATCTCTCCCCAGACCAGGAACCCAAGTCGATCAGCCCAGTAGTAGAACACAGGGTCTTCGACTTTCTGGTGCTTCCGACACCCGTTGATGCCCACTTTCAGCGCCATCTCGATATCCTCTCGCAGCGCCTCCTGGGACGGAGGCGTCAAGCCCGTTTCGGGCCAGTATCCTTGGTCCAACACGAGGGTCTGGAAGATCGGTTTATCGTTCAATCGGAAGGTGCCGTCGCCGGTTTGCCAGGAAACACGGCGCATGCCGGTCGTGGTGTTGACCTCATCAAGCAGGTTTCCTTGGGCGCTGTGTAGTCGGATAGCCACGTCGTACAGGATCGGATGCTCGGGAGCCCACAGAGCGACGCCGTTGCGCCAGCTTCCCTTGACGTTAAACGGTGCGCGGGTCTGCAACGTGCTGGCGCCGGGAACGCGCATGTCAACGTCTAACGCAACCCAGTCTTTCTCACGCAGCAGTTTCGCGACGCTCTTACTGACTGCAACCCCATCCAAAGTGGCTTCAATCTCAACCGACCCCTCCACTAAGGCTGGACGATCGACGACAGCCACGCGAGCATGAAGCTGCCCGCCGTCGATGTCATCCGATCGCAGCACGGTCCCTTCACTGCTGTCGCCCAGTCGCCAACGAGGCACGCTCTCCAGCCAAACAGACTGCCAGATACCGCTCGACGGCGTGTAGAAGATCTCCTGCGGCACAGGGCCCCAGTACTGCTTCCCACGCGGCTGAGTGAGATCTTCCGTGGAGTCCCTGACCCGCAGCGTCAGTCGGCGTGGCGCATCATCTGCGCTCGCGAACGCATCCGACACGTCGACGTCAAAGGGGACGTGCCCCCCACGGTGTCCTCCGACGGCGCGACCATCGACCCAAACGGCACATTCGTAGTCCACGGCGCCAAAGCGAAGCTTCAAGGTGTGACCGGCGGCGCGTTCATCGGGCGTGCGGATATCGTGGATGGTGCGCTCGTACCACAGGACCTCGTGGGCCTCGTAAAGGCCTATTCCGGAGGCGGGGGTCTGAAAGGCATACGGCACCTGGATCTGGCGTTTGGACAGCTGGGAAGCGCTCGCGGGGATTCCGGTCTGATGCCAGCGCTGCGACAGGCCGACGTCGACGTCGTCAAAGATGAAGTCCCAGGGGCCGTCCAGGGAGGACCAGGTGAGCGAGGGACGCTGGAAATCCGGTCGGGGGTAAACGGGCATTCTGTGGATGGTTTGGTGGGCTGGTATTTGCATGTTAAGCAGACGAAATAGAGTGTTGTCGACAGTTGGGGCCCTGAGGCGAGCGGAGATGCGCTTCGGATGATCGTCACTGAACCCCGCCGTCCATGACGTGGTCGCAGGTGAGACATGTTGAGCCCCAATTCTCTCGTGTATCCCAATCCCCTCTGCAGCGTTGCTGGCCAGAGGAATTGACCTATTTCGAGCCAGAGGCTTACAGCCATGAGATTTCCATCCACTGAGACTGGGTTGCTTCCCTTACGATAGTGAGTCTGGCTTCCCGACGTCATATTGTATCTCGCTTTACTTGCACACGCAATCTTAGAGCCCTGGCAGTTATGCTCAAGTCGTTTCCGTCTACCCGAAAAGTAAGATTCTACGTGACTGCCATTAAGACATGGTTTGCGGCAGTGGAAAAAATCATAGAAAGCAAAGTTGCGAGTACATACATACATTCTACCAAACCTCCCCTGAACTCTCGTCAACATCGAAAACAAAAGACAGCCGAAAAAAGCGAATGAAAGCAAGCCAAAACAAAAAAGAAACCATGAATGAATGGAAGAAAAACACAACAATGATAAAAAGGAGATCGTTTGCTCATGTCAACCAACCAAAAAAAGAAAAGAAAAGAAAAGCGACAACCGGATGAATGCCTGGTCAGGGCAGCACGTTGATCCATCTATACTGGCCTGCACTGGTCACAAGATATATGTCGGCATCTCTCATGATTCTGATCTGGCTTGCCGTCAAGACACCATTCCGATGGATTAGAAACATTTTTATCAACCTCCACACATCATCAGTATCCTGGAAGTTGGCGTTGTCTGTACTGCGTGTGCCACAGCACACCGATTTTGATAGGATGAGATCTATCGGACCCAGATGTGGCACAATCTGTGGATTTATGGCCATCAGCGGAGTCAACGACACGGATCTCTGGGGTAGCTGGTTGACCGGAACAGTCAGAAATGCGTCTCATCATCGGGCGAAGGGAACTTACCAGAGTAGCGGGTACCAGATCGATCTGAATGGGTGCGGATGTGCGCGCCATCACAAATCTTTCCGCGTTGAAAGAAAAGATAGACGGATATTCCGCGACCAGTGCGTTCTTCAGGGGTCTTCCTAGGGTCGGGGGGTCGATTGCAAAGTCAAGGTCCTATATTTGTGATGAGCTTATTGCTTATATGTAAGGGTAACTGTCATACTCCAGTTTCCCGATGACGCGTGTGGGAGTACACAGCAAACCCGCCGATGACGACGAGCTGGATGGCGTCAAAGCCGGGGATTTTACGCAAACCTGCGGTCTGCTGAAGTATGTGAACGAACTCCGAAGCTGTCGCTCTCAATGCAGCGAGCGGTGCCATGTCTGGTGATTATATATGGCGGGAAAGAAATGGCAAAGAAGGAAGGCTGGTGAAGGATGCCAAGTTATGGGAAGGAATGGGGGAGGATGTGAGAGAGATTGAAAATGGAAGAACGAGAAAAGACAATGGTAGGAAGATTGGAAGTGGAAAGAGAATTGGTGGGAGGTAGGAGGCTGGTGTCCCTTCATGGTTTAAATAGACATGTTGGCAAGCTGCTCTGCACCGCGACGACACTCAATTGCATCTGGGCAAGAAATTTGCTTGTCGGGCTCCATGCACGCGATCAAATTGAAGATAATGAATATGACTTTGTGGCTTACAGGGTCTTTCTAACCGGATGATCTGGCGACAGGTTTCACCTGTTTTGGAGGCTATGCAGCCAACAGACACACGACCAGAGGAATCTCGCATCAACTTTCATACTTTTGCAAGTAAACGAAGAACGCCAGGGCGAGGTGCCTTCCAATCACAATCAGCCCCACCAGAGGCCACTCAAGCCCAAGCCATCGGGACGAGAATGCCATTGGGTTGATACGACATAGAGTCCCTGAAGCATCGTGGGCAGGAAACTCCCCGAAATGATTTCTTTTGGGGCCATGAGGAAAAGGCGGGGTTTGACAGGGCTGGTCGGAAGGCCGCCATGGAGGGAGGGTATCTTGAATGTTCGTTTCCTTGCTTCTATCTCAAGCATCGCAAGCCGGACAGAGGCTAGTGGGTAAAAGCCGTTGGATCTTTCAGTGGCCCGCAGATACGGGACGGGGTCCAGGTGGAGCAACATACGGACTACGACACAGCCAATAGTACGAGACTAAGCTCAGCGCCTCGCCATGACCAGCTCAGCTGCAAACGATTCCATAGATGTTCTAGAAGCTTCCGGGCACCATTCATTAGTGCACTGGTCGATGAAACACATCCCGCGTATTGGGCTTGTGTCTCACCCGCTGTTCTGCAGTCACGTCGCTAGTAGTTAATGTTGGGCCGGAGTCTGCGGTAGGAATGGTTTGAATGCCGTGAATCCATTCACTGGGAATTTACGAGAAGGTAAGAAGAGTGCAGCAAGCAAAAGTAGTATATTTTGAATTGTTGAATGAGCATTTGTGAACATTGAATCTATGAACAGTTATTGGTAACTTGATTTTGCGAAAGGCGCAACCCAAACTCAATTAAACAAAACATAGGAAAGCAAGAGTCAAAACACGTCATGGGAGGGAACATGGACAAAGACTGGAATAGCAAGACAGCAGAGGGCTTGTGAGACCGACATTGTGCCAAGCCCTTGGAAGTGATCACCAACCCATGCGTTATATTCATTGGGAGGTGTTACAAATCCTAGACACAAGTCCAGAACAGCGACGAATCATTGTAAAGAAACACTAGAGGCGACGCGACTGGGTGATAACCGACAGGACGATCTTTGCCAATGCGACGGTGCTTATTCCTCGGGGCTCCGGTCTATCAGCTTGGGGTCAAATGGGATATCGTACTTTTGCAAACGCAACTCCAGAGGTATATAGTTGTCATAAGGAGTGGGCTCGAGTGGAGGCAGTTGGCCATTGCTTTTCAATGTGACATACAACTGATGGAGATATTTGTCGCCGAAATCTGTGTCAGGCAACTCACCTGGCACATATATAACATCGATGTATCTTTGTCTGACAAACTCTCGAAAAGGCTCCGCGATATCCTCAAAGCTCAGGGCCGGATTGTTTTCTTTGCGCAGAACAAAATCAGCTAGATAGTTTATCTCCACTTTCCAGTGTGCCGATGTGACCTTGCCTACGAGGTCCCGCAGTTCTAATAGAATCATTGCTTCCAAATACCTGGCCGGAATCGGCATTTTGACCGGATAGTCACCAGGTTGTGAGCGGCCTCGGGTTGTTAGACCACCTTCACGCAGGCGAGTATCGGATGTGAGTACATAATACGGGTCATTGGGTGACGGACGACCGATAGGCGGATCAGGGAAAGACCAGAAAAGCCGTGATTTCTTATAGAGGAATACGCCACACGACATATGCGGTGGTGTTTCCGAGTATTCCAAGTCCGTATGATAGTGGTGATCGGGTATGGGGTGAGTTCGGTGGTGCCAGAATAAAGAGCAGCGTTCACCCAATGTGCACGGCGGGAACTTCGCTTCATCAAGAGCGCGCGACGCCTTTTCGATGCAATCGTCTGGAACCACCCATCCGGAAAACTAAATATCTATTAGCCGACTTACATTCAAGGTGGGGAGGGGGCTTTCTTTCATACAAAATCAGCGGTTGGGACACGGAGAATTGCCAGAACCGATTCTCCCCAGAGAAAACTGGGCACGCCGGCCTCGTCTAGAAGCCGCGACACGTAGGCCTCAAGCTTGGGCCCTGGATAAGCGGGGAAGCTGAGCTCAGTCATATTGAGAGCAGCAGGAATGTGAATTTGGAGCGGAATATGGTGTGCCTTGAATTTGTGGTGAAATCTGCCCTATTTATACCCTTTCTCCCAGAGCCAGGTCGATTCATCCCATGACAAGGACTTGGCGTCGACCAAGACTTCGTCTCTTGGTGCCCGCACCATTAGGCTCGATTTCTAAGAAACTGTCAGCGAATAGACGGAACCTTTCTCTTCCCTTGAGCGCGTGCTTCGTCTTTGTTGGCCTCGTTATGTGATATCGAATCACCGTTCGAGGCGCCATCGCCTTGTCCACAGTCCTGGTTTTGGTTCGTCCATTCTCGCTCGACGGTGCTTCCTAGGGCATTCATTGAAGATGCAGAGAATGGAGTGGGCGCCTCCTCCCAGGGACTAAATTGTAATCTCCTGTCATTCTTTGTACGGACAGCTGGGTATACCGGATGGTGCGCGCATCAAGACTCCTTTTGTGGGACGCCATCGGTAGGGTGTGTGGGTGGCTTTTTGTGACTATTTTGTTTATGGGTCTACGTCATGATCTTTCAACAAGAAATCCCTTGTGGATTTGACAGACTCGAATGACAGATGGAAGATGATACATCCAACAAAGAAGAGCAAAAGAGCAGAGGAGAGAAGACGCCAAACTCCTTTTGACGGGGTGCGCAGGTGGTCCCTCCCGCCGGACGGACTACCCGCACCGCCGGTGATTACTCAGCCAGGCCGCCCACCTGAAGCAGACAGCCGAAGAATGCCTGAGGCTCCGAAGTCCTACAAAAACCCCTTCTACTGGGATCGATGGGATCCACGACACGACAGGAATAGTACGTGTCACTAGACCAGTCTGAACAATTCTGTCATTACAAGGGGTGTGCTCCCGGGCGCCTAGTTACACGGTCCTCTTCACCAACCGAACCAGCTGAACACATTGACCGGGCTCTTGAGAGACCTCCTTGCCCCAAATGCTAATCTTAGAACTCAGGCAGCCTCTATCTTCTTCTGCGTCTAGGTGGAGCTTTTCGGACTCTGCGGTTTCTGTGGTCGACTCGCACGAGAAATGATGCTATCACAAGCGCCGAGGTATGCTATGCTAGATTGATTCGGCGTAACGCTGTAGTGGAGGCCCCTCTGAAAACCAATTATACTGGTCAAAATGATCGAGGTGATCCGCACATTGACCAACAATTTGTGATATGTATATTTACTTGTACTATGTGCATTCGTATGTGGGTAGTTGGTACTAGACTTTATGCTGTACGGAACAACTATCGCCGAGATTTGCGCAGATCACGTGGAGAGTTCCCGGGATTTGATGAGTCATCCAATCGACCAGCCTCATGATCTTGTGCAATCTACATCTAGCTCCTCCAAACCCTGACGATTTTGATTCATTGGCAACGATATTTCTCTACCAATACTCGAGCCTTTGAAGCCTTCAGCTAATCTCGATTCCCGAAGTTGCGACTCAATCAGAGCCAACGTCTTGCTACCCCCCCTATTTATCATGGAGCGCCCGAATATCTACTGTTCTTTTTGCGGTGTTGTTATCCTAGCAGACAATTTTGAAGAACCGCCAAGCTTGGAAGTTCGTCGCCCGTGGTATTCAGAAGCTCGTGCAATTCGTATGAGGCATGGGGCCTCTGATGACATTTCACTCACCGGCGTTGGGATTCTACGCAGTCGGTCGGTCCTCCATGTTCCCGTTGAAGTGGACTCGACTTATCAAAACACGGAGAATCTCGAACCAGTAATGCTGTCCCAAAACTTAGGAGACTCCTGGGGGTTTGGCTTTCACGATGCATGCTGGGGACTATTTCTTCTGAGACTCGGCGTTGTAAAAGACGAGATAGACAACGTTCTGCAGTGTCTCTTCATACAGTTTCTCAATAGTCCTTGGCCTGGATTCTCTAGTTTAGACTTCGGGCATGATTATGGCGGTGCTGCTAACACGCATAAATCCTGGGGACTTCCTCGACCCGTCGACCTGACTTCTCCGCTCTATGCTGATCCAAATGCTATACCATCCTTTGATATGGTAGAGTTGAAAACGCCACCGAGCCTTCTCTTACGGATAGCTCATCAAACTGATATCACAGGCGAAAGTCGTCCACAGTCCGCCTCCCCCGCGTTCGGGAATCTCTCCCTCGAATTGGTGTACGAAATATTCTCGTACCTTCCCTGCAGCCAGCTTGCCAAACTAAGGCTTGTGTGTCGAGATCTTTCGTGGAAGGCGCGACCAGACCAGCTACCGCAGTCGTACTGGAAGAGCCGGTTTTACCTTGGCCAGGAGCTGGGCTTTATGTGTCCGAATTCTTCAATGGTCGCCAGAGACTGGTTTCGAGCATACTGGGGTACCACGTCATTCTTGGTGGCTGGTGAGCTATCGTTGGTAAACAGGAAGAGAATTTGGAGCCTGCTGGAGCCTATCGCGATGCTTGTGGAATCCCATTTACCTCTACCGCTGGCCAAAGCTGGTTACATCGTACCTCTTCCAGACAAGGACGAACAGGAATGTTACACCTACTCAGCAGCAGATGCTCATGCAGACGTTTCCGGTGATATTTATCTCATGCAGTCTTTCTCTGGCCAGATAAGCCCCAAGAAAGAGCGCGGCCCTTTAGAAAATGGCTGTGACATGCTTGAACTTAGGGCAGTGCATTTCGCTCCGTGCGGCCACCAGGAAGGACTGCAAATTACGATTTCGGGCCTTCGCTTGGGGACTAGAGTGGTTCTATCAGGTCTTTCCTTCGATTGTAGGGAAAACATGCAAGTTGATGAATCTCGACTCGGCATATGCGACACTCCTATGCAATGGACCATTGACGTGCCCTCAAAATCATCTATTAAATCGATTAAGGTTGCATTCTGCTCACTGGGTCTTGTAGGTGTGAAGTTTATCTATAGGAATGGTCGGTCATCGACATGGGTTGGGCAGAGCCAGGGAGATGGAGTGGCTTATGGCACGTTAAATATACCACCTGATGCAAGGGAATGCTTCCTGCTGGCCGGACTCGACGTGAGGGCTATCTCTTTTCATTGTTTTTCTTATTCGCTCTTCCTTTTTCTGTTTCGTTTTCTTTTTCTTTTTCTTTCTTCGGATTCATTGGCTGACGACTTAAAAACAGGACATCAAGATTGTGAAACTTGGGATGGCTACATCGATGGAAACAGTCGGATCTGGTCCTTTAATGAACCACCTACTGAGTATGAAAGACCGTCATGACATCTCGATAGACTCTCGGCTCTGGACACCAGACATCCCCGAACACGAGGATGTTAAAGTCACCCGTCTCGTGCCTGGGAGCCGAGAGGGTACTTTCGAGCCGTTGGTCAACATTGACTTCGGTGGTGCAAATGGTCTTCTTCTCGAGTCGCTGTCAAGAGTGGTAATGCACATGCTGTCGGATATACATCCCATTACTAGGATGGAGTTTCACTATATCGATGGGACCGTGAAAGCTTTCGGTGCAGGGCCTTTCGCCGCTGAGCTCTCCTTTTGTGTGGATGGTCCGGGCCGGGAGCGCATCACCAAAGTAGGGATTTTGCAGAACCCGGTCAAGCTTACTTTTGCTGGCATTCAGGTTTGGATATTGTTTTGTTTTTGATTTTCGTGCTAGACCAACTGATTTATATAGTTGGTAACCAACCGTGGCCGAACGGCTCACTTTGCAAGTCTTCGCCAACAGACCAGAACCGAGGATGTGCACTATCTACCGCTTCATCTCGGGGATGTCGTGACCGGGCTTGTTGGCTCAATTGAGGTTTGTGCATGAGCTTGCCTAATTGCCGGTCGCTGATCAGAGTGCCAGGAATCTAAACGCACTTTCTCCAAAATCGGGATTCAAAGCCAGCCGGGCAAGGAGAAACATAGCTCGGCCATTGAACATGCGAACTACGAGTCTTTCGAACCTTGGGAGGGAGTCGTGAAGTATGATTTGGAGTTCGCAGAGCCCATTATACGTACCAAGGGAGTTTCGGAATATTCCACTCACGCATCCCTCCAGAATGTAAAGAGCATTCGAGCGTCCATAGGACTTTCGGGGCGCTCCAGGGCCCCCGATCGAATTTCGGGCTTGAGATTTGAGTTCCATCACCAGCAGAACGCCAGCATTCTGGGCCAGTGGATGGAAGGATCTCATGAGTTCACAGTGGATATAGCCAGCGACGAAAGTATCCAATGTGTGACGGTATGGATCACTAAAGACGCTATGTCTGGCGAATATTTCGGCATGTATCAAGGCCAAGTGGCGGCCATTCGGATTTCAACTGACCACGGCCAAAATCTGACTTTCTGCCCGTCTGCTGATCTGAATGTCCTGAATACATGCCTAAAGACCCAATACCAGGCTACTCCGTACCAAGAGCTGGTTCGTTACCATCTCAAAATACATCACTGGTTTTCTTGCTGATATAGACCCCAGACTTGCCTATCTTGGGTTCTAAACTCCTGCTTTGATCGCGTCCGAGCTGTCTTTTCGCCGGATCCCAACGGGGATAAATTAATCGTTCAACCCAACTATCGGCCGCGTTTAAACAAATACAAAGAATCCCTCTTGAGGTGATTCTTGATGACGCGAGGTATGATAGGCTGTCTACAATTGTCGGTCACATCTGTGCAGGTGCAATCCATGGCTTCACATTTACCTACACGTCTGGTCAAACAGTTTTGTTAGGTGACAGCCATTCGGAAGAAACGCAAACTGTTGAAATATCCCAGCAGGACCAGATCGTCGGCTTGTCACTTCGCAGAGCCAGCGGAATAAAGGAGATCTCGGTACTTTGATCACTCAAGACATACTTCGAAAATTCCTGCTAACCAACTCTGTCTAGTTTGAGGTTGAGCCCCGGACTGATAAGGAGTTTATTGAATCTCGACGCCTTAAATTTGCTGTCTCAGAGATAACCGACGAGGAAACCTATTGCGACCGTGGTGTATTGAGTCTCTGGGCCAAACACAAGCCGTCTGCAGACAGAATGGCAAATGCCGCGCAGGCCAGACACATTTTCTATCCGCCGGTTGGTACCCGACTGGCTGGCATTTACGTCTCATGTCAGAAGTTCGCGTACCTGGGTTGCTTATACGAGCCTGAGGCTTGATGGCTGTTGGATTGCTGCGTCTGTGTTGGACAGTTGGCGGCGTTGTGGGTGATCAGGAGATGCATCGAGGTTTTTCCATCTCAGTTTGCCGATCTCTTATTTCTTTCTACGAATTTCTCGATTATCTAGCTTTTATTCACCTCCATTCCATCAATTTCCCAAGACTATTGGTGCGAAAATAATCAGATACAATTAGGGCATGTAGACTTCGGAACCAATGAAAGAAAACATGACCCTTGGGGATGTTCTCTGTCCTGGCCCCATAGCGGCTTTGAAAGACTATGCCTTATGCCAATGGCCTGAGCAAAAGTACGGGATTTCTTAGAGTTGGAACGAAACCAGCTTCCCTATTCCTCGCCAATCATAAAGCAATTCATTTGAATACCAGAAAATAAACTCACGGAGTCTAACCGTGGCTGAACCACGGCCAAGTAACACAGTGCCCGGTGACGCGGAGGTTTATTTATCCCCTATATAAGGTTTTGTGGCTCATAATTCGTATTAGTGTGCATTGACAAGCGTTCACGATAGTCCCATTGGTCATGGTCCTCGGTGAGAGCTCTTCTGTTCTTACCATACGTATTAAGCCTATAGACTCATGCATCCAAGTGAAACGGCAGACACCATCGGCATCCTGTACGAAGATCAAAGAAGAACAGAAAGACAAATATGGAATTCACCGACATTTTTCAAACACTAGGAGCTGCAAACAGGCTCCGGGAGGATCCTCACAGTTGGTATTCCCGACGGGTTTGCGTGCGCGATCCCTGGGTTTGGAAACTCGGTAAACGAGAGCCGTATTCTCGGTGACATGCTGATCGGACTGTAGTTCGAGCGCTAAACATACTACAGATATATTTCTCGGTGACCGGCTCTCTGCCCACTAGATGCTGGTTTATATAGTTTCCCCTATAACGCTTTCGACTGCCTTCTTCCTCAAAAACCGCTACAAATCCGGATCCTCATCCGGCCATGGAAACCTCCACACACCATCCGCATCAAGAACCATTGGCGTCGAAGGTAGCGGCCGATCACTAGGTAGATAGGGGTTTGCCTTGCTCAAATCCGAGTTATCATAGCCAAAATCCACTCCGGCAGCGACGAACATCGCACGCGCAACAATCGGATCGGGCATTCCACTCTCCGGGGGGCATCTGACCTTCTTCAAGTTCGGGAACAATCCGTCCGAGACAGCAGTCGCGAGGCCTTCTATACCATGCAATAAACCAGGGTCACAAGGGCGCATGTCCCTCCCAAAGTGCAACGATACGATGCTCTGCGGGAGAAGGTCGACTAGGGGCGGTGGTTCTTCATATGACAAGTCGTAGATCTCGCCTGCACTCAGAAACAAATGTCGTAGGGCAGTGAAGCCCTGAAAGTTGATGACAGGCTGATGTCGGGGCCAGCTGTTGCGCTCACCGGCAACAAAGGCGGGTTTCCACCAGTTCAAGTCTAAGTGGATCGATTCGAGGGTTTCGTGGTGGCGAGAGAGGTATTGAATCCCGTCTAATGGATCGAAGTGATTACCGTAGTTTTCATAATAACATTCGCCGATTGAAATGTCTGGGGGCGCGACCTTGTACGCAAAACCGCGTAGACCCGTACATGATTGAAGGAGTCGGTTGAGTTCCTTCGCGCTGAGTCTCGTGTCCGTGACGCTAATCGTGGTCTTAATCCCAGGCAGTGATACATCGAGAGGCTTAAACCAGTCGCTGTTACGCAGGTGTATATTCAAGGTCTCTAGATGCGCACAACTTGACAGCAGACCACTCGCACAAAATTCACGATCGTTGAAGAACCCCGATCCTGACGAATGCATGCCAACATCGACGGTTTTCAGTTGCAGGCATGAGTTCCCAGTCGCATGTAGTGCTGACCAGCGAACGGGGTTCTCCAAGGATTCATTGACTTGAAGACTCAAATGTTGAAGACTTGGTAACAACGCAATGACGAGCGCTAACATGTCTTGAGTCGACAGTTCCAGCTGATCTTTGATCTGCAATGCTCGTGCAGCTTCACTCAGCATATCCTGTGCGTCATCCTCGGCGGCAAACTTCAGTAGTCTTGGATGAATGTAGACTTTCTTCACCTTGGCAGCAATATCTCGTCGTCTCGACAGTGTCAGCAAGAAAGAAGCAAGTCTGCCATTCCATGAGTAGAAGTTGGAGCGCCAAGAGTCTCCATGTCCAGGTGCAAATTCATGGTATAAGATCGGCTGAGCAACCGCGCAGAAGCCCCTGGAAGCTAGACATAGACAGGATAAGGTATGATAATCCAAGGAATGCCAGGACCGCGCGTCGGGGTCCTGGGGAGAGTCCCGCAGGTGTGCGGGCGAAATTGTTGACTCGTCATCTCCGTAGCAGTGCAGACAGAAATAGCTGAATATCTCCTGCAGAACCTCATTTGGTAAATATGCCATTTTGTATGCGATTGAGATAGCACCTGAGATTGGACGTTATGGAAATGAAAGGCTCAAATACAGGTAGTGCCTGGCGGAATGGCGGATTGTTTGTCCGCATTTGCCCCCATTTATTAATATTGTTGCTGGCTGCAGCCTTTCAGATTTAGTGCTTAGTAGGACATTTCGTCCATTCGCTTGCTAGACATACATTGGCCTGTCTGCTCGCAGCCTTGCGGTTTCGATTAGCTCCGACATTTGATGTTCTAATCATGGTTAGTTGTTTTGGATGCCAAGTGATCAGCCAAACCTGACAGATGTCAGTTGTTGCAGTTCACGGCGCGATGACCCGGGGAGTCTAGATGAGGGATCTCTTTCTCATTCCTCTTTAACTTTTTTTTTTTTTTTTTTTTTTTTTTTTTTTTTTTTTTTTTTTTTTTTTTTTTTGGTTTCGACTCATGACCCTGGGAGTGTGATATCCTGGTGACAACATGGACTGCTAGCATTTTCCACCGTGCTCACTCCATATATAAAAGCATTGTGTGGTTGTAGATTTGACTCACTAACCATTTCACTCACAATGTTAGTCTCATTACCTACTGCAGCAAGGCGTGGGTTTCAGTAATGTCTCACTTGACTCATTATTATGCCAGAGCTCACTGTCCTCGGCGAAGCCCTGTTTGCTTTGCCCATCAAATTCAAACTACACAAGCAGAGGGACGCTCGGGGAAAATGCACAATCTCGCCACAAATTAGCACCCCTTCGAAGAGCATCATAAGTCGACGTCCGAGCACTTTCTACTGACAGAATCATCGTTTGTACGTGCGGCATCAGCCTTCGCCCCATCTGCATGGTGTTTCCCTTGCGGAGATGTTTCGACTCGCGAGTCCACACTTTTAGCTTCAGAATTTGGCAAATAAATTGCACTTGCTGCGGATCAGAAAACTCTCTCTCTTGGAGACTATGCATGAAAAACGCATTGAGCAACTCGGGGTCGCGAAAGGAACAGGCCTCTTCAAAATGGTAGCATCGGGCTTTTTCGAGCTGGCTATCCACGAAGTTTGCACAATTAATATCGATCGCACCACCGCCTGGTACAACAATGACAATCTGCCCTCTCGCCACATTTGACCTCATGTATAACCAATAAGCTTTCCATGCAGAAAGCCTGCGAGTTTTCAGGAGCGGCTAGGCGCTGTATAATCTTAATGACCAAATATCTCAATCCTCACACCAACACTGACAGGCGATCTTATGCTTCGTCGACCCAAAGAGGCAAAAACAGCAGCTAATTTCGTCATTGTAAAGTCATCGACAATGGAAATGAATTATCCGAGCTTAATGTGTATTAACTATTTGTCATTTATGGCTCCGAAATGTTGAGCATTGCTATGATGTCAACGTATTTACTACTCGAATCAAAGTGCATGAAATAACCTATTTGAAATAGCCTCTGGCATTTAATCTGCAAGTTTGAGCATAATAGAAACTCTCCGCATGAGCGACCCTCATTCTAGGTTTCGGGCCCAATGCATCACGCCAGTTGCTACGAAGATCTACGATCACTTCCAAGAAGAGGAACATCTTTGTCTCTCAATGGGTTTGACGACATTAGTGCGTTTTGGCTTTTGAATAGTAGCATTGCAAGAAGCTTCTGGTGCTTCGAATAATGGCAAAACTTATAAATATCGACATGCTCATCTGCAAAAACCCCAGCTTTATTATCTTCATCTAAACTACCTCAAAGTGGCAGGAAACAGTATTCCGAACTCTATCCATACCACAGCAAGTCGCCAATATGAGCACCGAGGAATTCACAGCCATCTCTGCTCTCTGCCCAAAAGTCATGCGCAGTATCGACGAGTACCAGAATACTGCCAAAGAAAGCGATCGACTCAGCGCGCTGGAACAGGTTAACAAGCTGGCCAGGGCTTTGGAAAAGCCTGGATTCGCAGTATATAAAATTTTCTTCTCGGTACGTCTCTTTCAATGCGTTTCTATAATTACTGACATTGCTGGACTTTCAAGCCCGCTATTCCCATGGCCGTCAAAACAGCCGCGGACCTAGGAATCTTTACAGCCCTCTCGGCTACAACTTCGTTTGTCACCTGTGATCAGTTAGCAGCTTCGCAGAACGCCGACGAGGCGCTTGTTGGTACGTTAGTAAATCCCCTTTCGCCTCCGACCGTAAACGCTTACTCCAGCGCAGATCGGATCATGCGTGTCCTCGTTTGCAACGGGTTCGCCAGCGAGCGAGGACCACGGGAATACACACCGACCAAGCTTTCCAAGCAGATGACGGACAAAATGAGTCTGAGCATTATGGATGCCATGTACGGTGCATTACCTCTCGAAATGCCATTCCTGACTTTGAAACTTCAGGCTAACCACACCAACAGGTTCGTAGATTTTTTCCCAATCATCCAGAAAACACCGGACTTCTTCAAGCAAACTGGATACAAAAACCCAGAAGATCCGAAACGAGGACCCCTTCAATATGCCTACAACACACCCCTCTCCTGCTGGGACTGGCTAGCGCAGAACCCGGAAGCCATGGACCGCTTCAACACGTTCATGGAAGGTCATCGCGCGGATGCACCGCACTGGGCGGACTGGTTTCCCGTCAAGGAGCGGTTGATCGATGGTGCGGTGTCGGATCGGCCTCTGGTCGTGGACGTTGCGGGAGGCCGAGGACATGATTTAGCTGGCCTGAAGGAGCGGATTCCTGTTCTTCCAGGAGACCTTGTTCTCGAAGAACTACCAGCTGTGATTGACGACATTCACACACTAGACGAAAGCATTCGACGAGTGAAGTATGATTTCTTCAAACCTCAGCCTATCAAAGGTTCGCATTCCTTGTCGCATATAAGCTACGGATGCTGACCAAACTAGGCGCTCGCGCATACTACTTCAAACACATCATGCACGACTGGTCTGACGAAAACTGCCGAAGGATCTTGAAGCACACCATCAATGCTATGGAGCGAGGATACTCGAAGGTATTGATTGAAGACCATGTTGTTCCTGACCAGAACGCCGGTCCTATGGAGACTTTGCTCGATATGATTGTCATGACCTGGTGTCCGGGGAACGAGCGAACGCGGACACAGTGGACGGAACTGCTTGGGTCTGTGGGGCTGTCAATTACGAAAATCTGGCTTCCAGATGGGCTCACAAGCGGGATCATCGAGGCAGAATTGAGAGATCTTACGGGGCATGGCACCAGATAGAGAGTGCATAACTCAGGAATTGTTCCCGAGGTACCCCGGTTCCTGACGCGGCGCAAAGATTGTTAGGGCATGAAACAAAGAAATAATCAATCAAAATTCTTTTAATCCGATAAAGCCTATCTATTGAAACAACAAGCTATGCGGGCGCTTCGCCGGTTGAATGTCAGGATGTGTGCTGAAGTTCGAGGGAGAATAACTGTCACATTTGTTGGGCATTAACAGTGCTCATCGTTAAGATCAAATTATAGCTTGACTTGTATCTCGTCCTTTAATACCTAGTCTTGTGACATGGTCATCGCGCTTTCTTATCTCCAAAGCATTCTGTAATCATTCCGCCATATGTGGTTGTAACACTCCCATCAACTTCTATGTATATCTCTCACCCCACAAACACCAACCCACGGGAGTATATCCTCCATCGCCACCCACCTTATAAGCTTCGCCTACATAAACCAAACACCAATACATTTCTCCCAATCAGGCAGGTAACAACCCTCCACCAGCAAAACACCTATCAACCCCACCGGATACATTATTCCGGCCGTGAGTTCGGACCCGACCAGGTCAGCCAGATAATCTTTCGTGCATCCATGGATCGTATGAAAGCGACCAATGAGACGCCCCACCCACGGGGCGAGGTATACGGAGTCGACCGACGCAAACCTTAACGCCACCACCGGGCCAAGTCAAAGTTCAACTTTTGTGGTTTCCCCTGTCGGAACCAAAATCTCACGGCTTCCGATCCGAATCTTTTCGCCCATGCGTAACTTACCGTACACGACATCCCTGCCCGCACTCTGCAGGTAAATTTGCAATATGCATGACAGGATTCATATGATGCATGTACCTATACATGTACCTACTTGTAGTAAGCATAAACAGTACGAAAAGACCAGGCCCGTCGCTGCCTCTCATTCAGATTCTCATTCTGCACAACTGTCATCCACATCCACCCGGAAGTCGGAAGCCAGTCGGAACCTTTCAACTCCAAGCAACGGACGGAGTAGGTGAGCTCGGAAACCGTAAATCCGCAACGACCGAACCCAGACCCAGCAAACGGTAAACCGGCCCGGGAAAAGAAAAAAAAAAAAAGAAAAGAAAAAAGGACCAAGAAAAAGCGGGCCATCCCATCCATCCCATTCATTCTATCCGAACCGACCCACGAAACAGACGAAAAATAAAATTAAGCCCCTGCTGAACCAATCAGCAGCCACAATGAGACCTCAAACCCACCTTGTTCCCCGAGGTCAAAAAATGGGAAAATTCAAGACACCCGCCACAGATTCTGCGCCTCCGTGTTCCGTGTTTCCCCCCGAGTCCGAGGCAACTGAGACGGAGTCGAGGCAAAAAAAAAAAAAAAAAGAAAAGAAAAAGAAAAAGAAAAACACAGGCCCAGTCGATCTACGTACTCCATACGTACGGACTAACAGCGAGTCTAACGCACGCCGGCCGGAACCGGACCAGGAAGCGGAGAAGGAAGCAAGCAGACCCTGCGCCTGAGAAGCGGTCAGTGGCTCTAGCTGGCAGCCTGAGGCACGGATGGAGAATTGGAGATGAACTGGACTCGACTAGTGCGCGCGCTTGGTGCTAGTCCGAGGCAAATATGATTTGGCCACGGCGGTTCTCAGCCCAGACTTGCAGTTGCAGCTAGAGTCAGTCGACTTCTCCGTACTCCGTACGTGCTCGTTTAGACGCAACGCAACGCAACTCGGAGGAATCACGCCAGTGGATTGCCTTCCTGCTGATTCATGCATCCAGACTTAGACTGACATCGGGAACGCCAGACGAGTGGGGCAATAAATATCCGCTGGAGAACTTAACTGTCGCTGGGTCCTCGGCGAAAAAAAGGGGAATTAGAATTAGAATTAAATCGACAGGTCCATTTTCTGTCTTCCTACTGTAAACTCCGACCTTGCCTACTTTACCTTTCCCGTTCCGGTGCGATTTTGTGACCTGCCAGTGCCAGTCTGCCCAGTCGATCGATCTACATACCCTACCCTACTATAATGGCTACGGAAACGACGGCCATCACGACCAAGGCCCTGGGTCTGGAGCCCGGCCGCGTGGTTCTCGCGTATGTTACTACTTCCTGCCTGCCTTACTTTGAGATGTGCGCTGCAGAGCATCGCATCGCATCGCATCGCATCTATGCGCCAGGATGCAATTCCCTGTCCACATACCCTGCGCGGATCCCGATACCATGACATTCCCGATGCGGGAACAAAACTACACAGCATCGCCTAGCCAGAGCGCAATGCAATCCAACACCACTAACCCAATTCGCAACAGATTCAACGGCGCCGTCACCACGCGCGTCATCCCACACCCTCACCGCGCCTTCGCCTTCGAAGTGACCTTCAACCCCTCGCAATGGCCCGATTTCCTACGCGGCCAGAAACCCCCCAAGCACTTCCACCCGCTGCAGGAGGAGTACATCGAGGTGGTGGAGGGCGCGCTGTGCGTCGAGGACGACGAGCAAGAGTACACGCTGACGCCGCGCGAGGGCGAATTTCTGATCCGTCCCTGGGTCAACCACCGCCTGTACCCGCCGGCCGGGTACGACGGCGACATCAAGTTCCTGCTGGCGGGCGAGGAGACCCCGGAGCTGTTCAAGCTCGATACGATCTTCTTTGAGAACTGGTACGGGTATCAGGATGAGACGGTGGTGGCGGGGAAAGGTATCGATTTGATCCAGGTGCTCTCGGTATGTTTCTGTTGCGTCTTTTGTCGTCGTGATGCCCCGATTGGGGCGGGTGGGGTGCGGGCGAATCTATCGGATCGCAATTTCGCTCAAGATAGGGGCTGGCTAATAATACTCTGCTGGCTGATATAGATGTTCGACGCCGGCGGCTCCTACATGTCTTTCCCGTGGTGGGTGCCTTTCGGTCGGACGTTGTCCATGACGCTGGGCGTTGTGGTTGGGCGCTGGATCGGTGGGCTCCTGGGCTATCAGCCGTATCACAGGAAGTGGACGTTTGATTGGGATCTGGCGTGTCGGAAGATGGAGCAGTCGATATTCCAGCGGCGGTTTGCGGATCGCGCGAAGACGGTCTGAGTCTGGGTCTGTCTGTATATGTGCTGTGTGATGTATATTGGCGATGTATTCGTATTCGCGATCTTACCGTTATAGTGTTATTATACCCGACTGATAGAATCGATCAATCACTTGTCTCACTGCGTCTGAATCACCCTCCACACGGGTTTCTGCACCGCCCGATCGAGTCAATTGTGGGCTGCAATCTACCGTACGTACTCACTGTGGCCCAGTACTCCGTCCTCCGTCCGATGCAGTCCGGTTTACGAACTGACCGCCACTCAGCCACGTCGACGCCCGCGGACGCCGTGCGCATGGATCCACAGAGGAGCAATAGCGGAAGGCCCGGATCACGAATGGCGATAAGATCTACATGATTAAGACGTGACGGGGCTGGCGAATCAGATAGATGAGCAGGTCGACATGAGGGTGAGGTTGAGTCCTACTCCGGAGGTTAGATTGTACCGTTAGTACAGAGTATCCGTATCCTACTCCGTACTATAGATATCAAAGTTTGATTGCTGATCGGAAGCGAGGTGGGACATACCTACTCCGTGGACGAGAGTCTACCGCAGCGCATAACGGGCGAAATGTAAACAGGGAAACATGACATGACATACCTTCATCATCCCCCCAGCCTGACATACCCAACAACCTCATCGAGCACCATACATACCATACCCTAACCCTCTAACCTAACCCCTCATCTCCAACCTCCACCCCCTCCTACACTCTTCAACTCCCTCCACCACCAAACCCGGCAAGTCAACAAGGACCAAGGCACAGCACAGCACGAAGTGGACATCTCGTCTCGTCCCGCCAAGGTGATCGTCAGCGGGGCCGAACAAAACCCACAGGCGACGTCCTCTGCGCGTTCACCACTCACCGTTCAGTCAGAACAGCCGACGGGATTCCACGCTGTCGATCGTCGCCTCCACATGGGGTGAAGCTTCGAGACGAGCAACGGACCATCTGAATAATCGGATGCAGGCGAGGGGAGGGGAGGGGAGAGAGAGCGGACCGAGGTTCAGTCTACGGTGGCGGGCTGGAGAGTTCGGCGCCACGGGCCGTAAGCAGGTCGCAGTTAAACCAGCAGTTAAGTCAGCAAGCAGAGCGAAATCATACTCGATTTTGTCGCGAGATGGTGGAGAAATGCAGTCCAGCCCAGTCCATGAAGACACGGCCATTACATAGCTGTGCCATCATACCATACCATGCCTACTCCGTGGTAAGTCCAGGGTCAAGAGCAGCCGTTAGTAAGAAAGGGTAAAGATCGGTCGGAAAAGTAGATGCAGATCGGTGCGATTTGCGCGTCCGACTCCGGGTCCTATTCCTGGTCCTGGGCTTGCCAGCATGGCGGTAAGCTTGATGGAGCGGTGCTGATAATCATTTCTCTCATGGGCGTATCGCGTGTTGATCAATCAGGACGATGATCGAGTCAGCGGGCGGTGAGTATGACATAAGCGGGAGGGTGAAAATTACATTGTTGCAGCCCCATGGCGTACGGCGGTGACGGGAAATGAAATGTGGGGCTGCTGCATGTCATTTGGCTGTCTGCAGATACGGTGCTGCAGAATGGGAGTTGAAGATGACGGATAGCTTAGAGTGATATATAGCCCTGTCGACTGGCTGGAGGAATAGAAAATGGGACGGTGAGAATAGGTCAATCTGTTCTGTCTCGTGACGATGCTGTTTTGGGCGGAATTGATGCGATGGAGAAATAGGGGTAAGTACCAGGAGATGCAGACATTGAACACGATTCTTAATAATGAACCTCCGGTCATGTCGCCATGTGCTTACGCCCTGTCAGCCTTGCAGCAGCAGTCAGTTGTGCAGGTGTATGCCATGTGCTGCACAACATCAACAGGCAGGGATTGGTCGTCTGAGAGCCGAGGCAGACTAGGTGACTCCTGAGTAAACCCTTCTCTACAGGCTGGACGCATTCCACAAATACCCAATCGCTTTAACTAAAGTCTGAGAGGCGGACGAGTACATGCAGTAGATACCTACTCCGTATGACAATGCTACTTGGGATCAGGGTGGTAAGGACAGTACGGGAGGTAGTATGATTGGAGGGGGTACTTGACCCTTAGCGCCGAATGAGTAGCTAATTCCAATAATTCTCCATCCTGATATCTGAAGTCATAAGAGATAATATCTTGAACTGAAAATGGCGTTGGCACTGGGTATATACCAGTAATCCCGTACCTACATAGCATCAGCCCATCCGATGTGGGAGCGATCGAGAATGGTGGGGCCAGTCCCTGATGACAGCTTGCCCTGAATCCCCATTTCGACTTCAATCGCATAGTATATAAAACTGTCCACGCCCAGGATAATATCCCATACTCTCCCTCCAAGAACATACACCCAATTCCAACCCTTCCTCCCCTCGCAACCACCAACAAACCACTAGCCACCTCCCTCCATGTGGAGAAGCACGATAGAGTTCACGTCAGGGGTGGGGCCAACCACGATGCCGGAAACACGAGGAAACGGGCTGCAAACCAGGGAAACAAAAACTCACCTCAACAATCCGTTTATATCCATCCATCCCTTATCCGGACTCCCTGCCTCCTCCCTAGCACTTGACCAGCCAAAGACCGAGCCCAACGCATGTCGTCGAAGCTGCGATCTGACTGCCGCACTTAGCCGCCCTAGTCGACGGGGCTGACAGGGGGAATCCATGTCGACGAGGCTTAATTGGCGGTTTAGGTTCAGCGCGTTGGGGGCGAGATCTGCGCCGGGATCTGGTGGTAATCAACTTGGAGGCCCGGGGAGGGGGGGGGGAGGTTTGTGTTTGGGATCTCGAGATTGGTTTTGAGGTATGGTTTATGCGGTCTTGAGATTTATGTACGATGTACATGGATAGTCGGGACTCAGTGCATAGCATATGGATGGAGTACTGCGTAAAGGTACGCCCAGCATACACGAGACGAGACGGACGGACGGACGGACAAGGCCAGCCCCACATCCCCACATGCAATGTCTCTGGTACATTTCAAATTGCAAAACGGAGAGCGGCCGTCCGAATAATGAGAACAGGGATCTAATTTCCAGCTCCATGCGCTAGTGAATAGTGAAGTGGTGATGCAGAAATTAATACATACAAGTATGCGTAAAATAGGAATTCGGCCGGAGGACGACGGACGCAGCGCAACCCACCGATCCCACTAACGGCAGACTAAAAAGCTAACCAACCTGGCCAAGCGACTAAACTAAATACAGGAAAAGAAGGGGACAGGGAAAAAAAATAAAATAAAAACGAAACGAGGAACGGGGAACGGAAGTTTGCCCGCTCGCCGCGCCTAGGCTACTCGGATATACTCAACACCACGTATTCGAGCAGCAGGCCGACGCAGATGGCGCCGCCGGCCCACCAGAAGCCCTTGCTGAACCACCACCAGCAGCTGGGGCTGCTGGCGAGGTCGACGCGCGCGATCATGGTGGCCAGGGAGAGGGTGGCGCCGACGACGGTGACGAGGTAGTAGAGGGGGCTCATGGCGCTGAGCAGGCCGCACTCGATGAGCAGGGCGGCCATGGTGGCCAGCAGCGGCCACAGCAGGGCCTTGGTGCGGGCCTGGAAGAGCACGGCCAGGCTCTTGATGCCGACCTGCAGGTCGGCCTGCAGGTCCTGGTGGGCGTAGACGGTGTCGTAGATGATGGTCCAGGCGACGCCGGCCAGGAAGAGGCAGAGCACGGAGTAGTCGATGGAGAAGCCCTGGGAGGCGGAGTAGACGAAGGGCGGGGCGCCCATGGCCAGCTCGCCGATGACGGTGCCCCAGGCGAGGCAGAAGCCCAGGACGAGCTGGGGGAAGTGGGTGTGGCGCTTGCTGAGCGGGTAGTACATGGTGGCGAGGATGTTGGGCAGGGCGTAGCAGAAGGCGACGGGGAAGCCCTGGGGCAGGTAGGCGAGGAACCAGGCGGCGGCGATGCCCTGCGAGGCGGCGAAGAGGAAGGCGGCGGTGGGCGAGATGGCGCCGCGGGGGATGGGGCGGCGGCTGGTGCGCTCGACCTGGGCGTCGAGGCCGGCGTCGATGAGGTCGTTCCAGATGTGGGCGGCGTTGGAGAAGAAGAAGCTGCCGGCGAACAGCACGGCGCTGGCCTGCAGCACGGCGGACAGCGAGGCCTCGGTGCGCACGGCGGCGTGCAGGATACCGAAGGCGTGGGGGAAATAGATCAGGAAGAGCCCGGCGGGAGGGAAGAGACGCGCCAGCTGCACGTACGGCACCAGCGCCGGCGGGCACATGGACAGCATGCCGGATTTCTGGTTGCCGCCATACTGGTCACTGGTCGAGGCCGGCAGGGGCGTTTCCTTCTCGTCCTCGGTCGCAATGACCTGCACGGGGGGCATTTTGTGGAAGCGCTGCAGCACGATCGGCGAGGAGAGGGAGGCCGACGACATGCGTGCTGGAATAGCTGGACTAGCTGGAATAGGGGCGGTGGTGAGAGAGTATATACTATATAGAGAAAAAAGGAACCCAGATCGAGGGGCAATTGAAGGAGAGGAAGGTTAAAGTAAAAAAATGAGGGACTCGGATGGAATTGGCAGCGGTTTGCCTGGACTCTAATTTAAGCCCAAGAAGCATGGCGATGATTGCATCGGCTGCTTCGGAGCCAATCAACAAACGAAAAAAGAAAAAAATAGTCTGGACTGATGAACGAGCGTCGGAGTCAGGAACTGACGAGAAAAAAAAAAAAAAAAAAAAAAAAAAAAAGGTGGAGCCAGAATGCAAGGATACCCAGACGGAGAGATTAATTCGTGATGGTTTTATTTTTAAATCCGACTCCGTTTAATTAATTTAATTGACTAATGCGAAGGACCGGCAAAACCTAAAAATTCAATTTCCAGACAAACTCTCGACCGTTTCCTGGAATTATTATTGATTCTCCCTCGGCTCTCGACTCGCCCCAAGTGGGCCTCGCCGGTACTTTCGCCCTGTCTGGAAGGTCCCGAAGCTTTCGGTTCGCCTGCGATCCCTGAGGATGGTATGAGGATGATATGAGGATGATATGAGGATGATATGGGTATGACTATGACTATGAGTATACATGCAGACCAATCCAGGTCATGGCCACGTGGCGACCGCATGTTCGATTGCATCCTGTCATCCCTTGCGCATGGACTCGCCGGAGGAGACCTCCTGAACTGGACAGGCACGACATCCGTGAAACCCGGATATCCCCCGCTCGCTTGTCGCAGGTTTTTCTTTTCTTCTGTCTCTAGTTTCGACGTAGCACTACTCCTACTCCGTACGCCGAGAGTATCCCCTCTGCCAGTTGTCATGCCGATCCCATGAAATCACCGTGCATCGGCCGACCGGTCCGTGGTTGAGCCCGCCTCCGTTTATGCAGCCCAACCCTCTGCGGGGTGACATGGGTGTCTGATCGTCGGATGATTGCACTTGGTCCACGACAGACGCTGGAGACCGTCTGCTCGCCCTGCAGCCTCCGATAGCCGCGGTGAAGCGCTGCGATCGACCCCGCCCAGGAGGGGAATGTGGCATGTGGCAGTGGCAATCTCGGAGTATTGACGCTGATCTTCCTACTGTCTTCGGGGAAGAAGGGCTCGGGGCTCTCGATGTGTCAATCGCAGCGGTCTGTGGTTTCATTCCTTGACCGGGAGTAAGTTTCGCACGGTCGCATCCAACACATCCTCGCTGAGTCGGAGTCGGTGCGTTCTACCCAGTCTGTTGGATGTTTCTGCCACCGTAACTCTCCTCGAGTCGAGTCACATGGCGTCAATAGCCTGTTTCCGGCCCGCAGGACTATATTCCGGCTATGATAAGTCACGTCCTGAATCCTCCGGTCATGAAACGCAGCCATCATCCTTCTCTAACATAATTCCGTATCTCCGTATTTGCTACTGCCAAGCCCTCCATCGCGCCATCATCCCAACCAAACGTCGCGCCACCCTGGCTGATGCGCAGCTTTCTGCATGCATGTATCCTGCGTGTGCTGTGACACATCCAGGCCACAGCCCTTGTAATCCAAATTGCAATTCTGTCCCGGCCGCGAACGAAAAATACACCGGCCGAGACTGACAGTATTAACCTGCATGAATACGTCGCTGACTAGACCGGGTCGGGGTCTAGTCTGACAGGCAAATACTGATGACAGGGAGGTTAATCCTGCTGACGGGGCGCGGAAAATGTATCCTCCTGCCTGGACTGGGCTACTGGCAGTCTGACTGATATACCGGGTAATCTAGTAATCTAGTTGCCATCCTACTGCGTAGACTCTAACCCTTGTTAGTTACCCTGGAGGAAGTAGCCAACAGGGGGCTGTCTAGCCGCTTAGCAACAATGCTCTAATCAGTGCCAGGAATCGCGCCAGGATTGTAGCCCACGACCTAGTCCTCCATCCTCCCATACAATTTACAGCGTAGTACTCGGTATGAACATACATGGCTAAGACTTGATAAAGACACCATACCGTTCCTCATCCGCGCTAGAGCAAGTCGGAGATTACATGCAATCTCCGCCCGCAGGATGTACGCCACGCTGTATGTTGTATCGCGTTGCATCGCTGTTGGCGTTGGTGTTGGTTATCTCGATCATGCATCAGTGGCCATTCCGGGACCTAGCTCACTCAACCAGCCCAAGCACTGGACGATCCCGCAGCCGTCAGATTTTAGCTTCCAGCGGTACAGTCGCACAGCCTTATGGCGCCATTGGTCATGGGCCTGAGGGGCTGAGCTGCCCTGACAGGGTAGTCTGTGCTACTTAAACATGACTCTGACCGAGGGGTTTCATTCATCTGTACCCCGCTTACTCGATCGTCCATCCTTCGTGTCTTATCTTGTCTTATCTTGCCCTGACTGTCCTCGTCTCTTCTCGTCTCGCCTCGATCCTGACTCCAATCGGATCGTTCCCCATCTCCGCTGCTAATTAGGTAGCCAACCGACCGACCAAATGGCCTCCCCGAACAGCATCTCCCTCCAGGTGACCGTCCACATCGACCCGTCCAACGTGGACCGGTTCCTGGAGGCCTTCAAGCCCGTCTACGAGAAGACCATCGCCGAGCCGGAATGTACTTTTTTCGAGCTGTACCAGGACCCGCAGAGTCTGGGGACGTTGTCGTGGGTGGAGAATTGGTAGGTTTCTTTTGCTTCTTTTGTCTTAGGCCTTTAGTCTGTTTGCCTGTTAGCTGTTTGGGTATCCTGTCGGTCGCGAATCCCTAGTCGCTCGTTTCATTTCATGGCTAACGGCGATGGCGAGATCTAGGTCCGAGACCAAAGAGTGGTTGCTGAAGGTACTTGACAAACTCCCTGGCCTGGTCTATCTTTTTCTCCCGAATTGAGTTACGCAGAAGGGGTGGGTTGATTAATTCATCTCGCACAGAACCAAGTCACGAAGGAGTACTACCGCGAGTACTTCGCCATCACGGAGCCCATGTTCGTCAAGCCGCGCGAGATCAAGCTGCTGCACCGCCTGGGGGAGCCGTTGACGATGGTGAAGCGGGCGAATGGGCGATTGCTGGATTGAGTGCTTTTTCCGGTGGTGGAGATTCAACATCGGATGCGATCTAGCGCTCTGGCCTGGTCTCTGCTCTGGGTTCTGGCCTTGGGCTGTGGGTGTGGGTGTGGACTGTTGGTTGAGACAAGGGAAGCGATGGATGGATGTTGCTGGGCATGGGTGGTATCTAGCTGGCTAGTACGGTTGAAATATAGTGTTTTACTGCAGGATGCGATCCTCTGATCCTTTATACTAGCGATGTAGTAATGTTGTCGCTTGTCGGTGGTTGTAGTGACAGTGGAGCGGCTTCGAGGCTGGGCGATGGAAAGCCAAGATATATCTTCGGGGGGGTTAGCGATGTGGAGCATACTATGTAGTAGCATGGAGTAGTTAAATGGGGTTGACAGGAACTTTGCAGGAATTGTGATATGGAATCGATAGGTAATAGTTTGTCGTTGTTTAAATAAGTATACGAATGGACTCAAGGAGAAGTATTTTGGCAAAGCCATGTGACAGCTTGACTCGAAGCCAAAAAGCGACAACCATCCCTCGACTGAGACCTTGAATCTAATTCGACCGCAGAGAACTATAAGCTCCCAGAAGACAAAGTGTACCAGATTAATCCAGAGTAATTATGATTGTTTTGAAAGCGACAAGGCGCAACGCAAACGTGCTTGACGAAGTAGCGCATGACGATGCGATGATCAGGAACCATCGTATAGATGGCGTATATCTTATCTATCGTTCTAGAAACCCTACCTAGCCCTGTTCGAATGACTCACGAGCATCCCAAGCCTACACAAACACCGAATCACTGCGCCGGCAGAGCGCCGGATTGCCGAGGAGTGGATCCATTGGCACCGCTTAGACCCAATAATCGCCGGATGAGATAGAATTTGACTCGACCGACAAAATCGAACTGGCAGTCTTGTTTTAAGCATGATCAAGGATCTAAATCTAACGGGCGTGCTAGACCACGCACACGATCAATTCCCTTCCATAAATTATGAAAAACACGCCCAAGTGACCGGTCGCACGCCCTAATAGTGACATAGGGCGCGTGGCAGCCTCCAGTAAAAATCAACACTCACCAAGAAACCCAGTGGGACCGGATTTCCATGACACACAGAAACCAGGTCGCTGCCGCATTATCGCTGCAGCTCTCGATCACGACATCGCGGTGGGTCGCGTGCAACTGGTCAGGGGACGTCAACTAAATAAGGCTCATGCCGCTGCGAAGCCACAAAAAAAAAAGCTTCTTCTCCCCGTCACTTGCAGAATAGACTCATACTTCGCACGTGTATCCAGCATGGGCGGGATATTCGAGACGCTGCACCGCTGGTATCGCGGGACCTTGTACCAGGCCGTGGTGCTGGGGTTGATCAGTTTCACGCAGCCGGGGATCTGGGATGCGTTGAATAGTGAGTTCATCTGGGGTTGAGGGAGCGGAGGCTCTAGAAGGGGGTGGATGGAAGCTAATTGATCCTGCAGGTCTGGGCGCGGGGGGTCTTGCGTCGCCGTATTTCGTCAACGCGTCGAACGTCATCACCTATGTGATTATGATCGTGACTTGTCCGCTCTTCGCCGTCGCTGGGAACCGGTTTAGTTTGAAATGGGTGCTGGTTGCGGGCACGTTCTACGTGCCGTATTTCGCTGCGCTATATTGTAATAGTGTGTTTGGGACGCAGTGGTTCTTGCTGTTCGGGTCGGTCATTTGCGGTTTCTCGGTATGTTGTCCATGGATACTGTTGATATGGATGGAGGAGGGTTGCTGATGGGTGTTCTAGGCCGCTGCACTATGGGTCTCTGAAGCAGCCATTGCCGTTGGGTATCCCGAGATCGAAAACAGAGGGACATACAGTGAGTGTCTCGGATAGGTCGACATATAACAGGCGACTGACAAAAGTAGTTGGAATCTGGATGGCCCTGAACAAACTCGGCTCGCTGATCGGCAACGCGATCCAACTCGGCCTGAACATCCACAACGCCGACAAGGGCAGCGTCAGCCCGAAAACCTACCTCGTACTCATCGGCCTCAGCTGTGCCGGTCTCCCGCTCGCTCTGACAGTCGCGCCGGCGCATAAGCTGATCCGCAAAGACGGCAGCAAACCGACCTTCAGCTCCAGCGAGGAGCACGTCTCGATAAAGGACGGGTTCAAGGGTCTCTGGAAAGCCATGAGGCAGCGCTACATGCTCATGCTGCTGCCGATCTTCATCACCGTGCGCTGGAGCCAGACCTACCAGGGGAACTATCTGACCGAGTACTTCTCGGTCCGGGGACGCACGTTGGCCGGATTCATCCAGACGGTTGTGGGCACCGTGGCGACACTCTTGTGGGGATGGTTTTTGGATCGGCAGAAGATCGTGAAGTCGCGGAAGGTGCTCGCCATGAGTGGGTGGTTGATCATGCTGGCGGTGTTCATTCCGCAGTGGGTGTTGAACTTCATCATGCAGAAGCAGCTGCAGAGCCAGCATCCCACGCCGTCGCTGGACATCCATGATCCGGGGTATGGCAAGGCCATTACAGCCTATTGCTTGTTTGGGTAAGTCCTCTGCTCTTGGGCATTCGGATTCCTGCTAATAAAAGCAGCGTCGCGAGTCAAGCGTCTGTCGTGTGGACGTACTGGATTCTAGGAACATACGACGTCCACGTCGACGTCCTGGCGTATACCACCGGTATTCTGCGGTCGGCGGAGAGTCTGGGATTCGCGATTGCGTTTGGCATCGGTGCCAGCAAGAGCGCCTCGCTCATGGCCAATTTGATCGTTGCATTTATTGTCTTCTGGGTCAGCGTGCCGTTCACCACATACGCTTCCTACACCGTGAAGGAGCCCGGCGAGGCGGTCGGCGAGACGAGTGGTCCTGCTGCGAAGGACGTGGAAGACGGTTCCAATGATGATCTTCCTGGCAATGTATCTCATGCCCAGGCCCAGGAAGCTGGGTTGCGAGCTTGATGACGGTCGCAGCCATTGTAAACTATTTGAAGACTGAAATTTTTCGAAGGCAGTGGAGCCTGGCCGAGGTAGTATTGTTCATAGTGTTTCATCCGCCCTCGCTGGACGACGGAGCTTAATGTGGGACAATCACAATGACTTGACAGGCAGATGGTTCACCAGTACAGTTGTTTCTCTACCACGGAAGACGCAGGGGAAATGAAGCTAAAAGGGACGCCTCCACAATTACGACCTTCCTCTCTGGGCTAGACTGCTTACAAACACGACCAACGGAGACTTTCCCATTCCGGCTTAGTGGCCTTGGTCTCGAATGCGACCGAATCCGCCCAAATCCCGAAGGATTCACGAACACACGCCCTTGGAAAACAACAACGGAGATTAAAACGGGAAAAACAAGTGTCCATGCGGATGGGTTGCTCCGCCATCTGGTATCGATGCGGACCCATCCGCACCCAGCCCGCCTAAAGGCTTCCTACCAATAACGATCGGCCTGGTGAACACCCACACAGAGCCATGAAGGGCCTCCCTGTCAGCCTGCTGTATCAGGAGCCTGAGCTTCGCCTTTTCCTCCGTGTTGGATATAAGCCTATTTATCCAGGTCGACAGGAAGAGGATGCTGCTGTCGTGCAGGGGCATCAGCAAGTGAGGTGGCGTGTCGCGCACATCGGACTTCACATTCTCGAAACCTTCCTGCAGGAACATGCCCGGGAGTTTGGCGCACCAGCTCGTCGGCAACTCGCTCCTGGCGCGTCTAAAAAGCTCGGTCAGGGAGTCGACTTTGTTGGCTGGGTTGCTCTTCTCGATTCTCCAGGAGGCCATGTCGGTTTCGCCCCATTCGAGGTAGCCGCCGGGTTCTAGGAGGGGCGGGTTGGGTCGTCAGGCTCACACAGGCTCACAAGTTGACTGGAACGAAAGAGGGCGACGCACTGAGAAGCTTCTTCAGTCTTGCGAGAACACCAACAGCCTGGCTCTCGTTGATGTATAGCGAGAAAATTCGAAGATGCACCACGTCGTATATACCGATCCATTCGCGGGCGGGTTCGGTACGGACGTCCCAGTGCTGGAATGTGATGTTAGGGGCCAGCCATTTGGCAGGCGGCGTTGCGTCGAGTGTAATATCGAAGCCATCAAGACGGGCAGAGGGGGGCAGAGTTTCTGCTAAATGAGTCAACCAAATCCTAGATAGTTGATGGTTAGTAACGATCATACAATAAGAGCGATGTTCATACCCCGTGTGGGTTCCGATATCTGCGACTCGCAGGTGCTTATCATCCGTAGGAATGTCGGGGTGGAGGAGGTAGCCGAACTGTTTTACCCAGAGGTAGTGCTGAAGGTTGACTCTTTGTCTTGTTAGTGGATGAAATGGACAAAGGGGCATTGGATTCACCGGCTATTGTCTTCCATGTCCCGGGACAGCCCGAATCTATCACTCAAAGCCATCTCAATCAAGATTTTAGAAAGTTTGCGTAATATAGCAGATCTTGCTTGCGGTTGTATATGGGAATTAATTCAACATTCATTCCTGGGAGAACAAAATGAACTATGCTCGCTCAGCAAATTCCAAGCCAACTTTAAGGCATTGCAACCCCCTGAAGTTGCTGAGCCTGCAAATAAGCCCGGTTGGAGAGTATCCAATCAGTCACCAAAGAAATATTATTGCTACAGCAAGCCAATTCAAAGGGTTGGCACTTTGTGAAATATGCTTTGGACGCCTCGTCACATTACCACGTATGCACTATTATCACATCGGGTTAAAACATCTGGGCTTCTAGTTATAGGCTAAACGCTCTAGAGCGCCCTAGAAGTAAGAGTTTAGACTAAAATCCTCCAAAGAAAGTTCTGGATTGATTCCGCTATCTCTCGAGGCTCTGATCAGCGAAATTGAACGGCAACAATATTCGAAGGACAGCATGGTGTGGTGGTTGTAAGTTTCTAATTACCTACGTAACAAGGCCATTCTAGCAAGCCAATAATGAAAAGCCAACAATTGACAGCAAATCAAATGGCTATCATTTGTCTCTCCTCCCCTCCACGGACGATTTAGTGCAGGTTGATTTCTTTGTTCTTGAAATGACACCAATATAGTTCGCTGTTGGCACTGATGTGGCGTGGGGAGTACTCAAGACTATGTACGCCAGGTATCTCCCAGGGTTCCAAATTACGCAGTACTTGTCTATGCTTACTGCGTCTCCAGACAGCCTTCGGTGCTGGATATTGGCAGACGCCCTGTGATCAGATTCCTAATCAGAGCTACACGAAACGACCTGGGGCCATATCACAGCGAACTGTGGCTTGTCCATGGGCAAAGAATAAACATTGATAGGATGTAGTCAATCAGCACAGAAGACGACGAGTTTCCAGAAACCAGGCATAGATAGATATCGGCAAATATCGTCATACTTCCATTGTTCTATATCTAAACATACACCTGACGAACGCGTCTGATACTCCTTGACAACTCCCTTGATGACATCAACCGCCTCGACCTCGAGTAACAGAGAACCCAAGCCTCGAAATTGCTGATGCCAGGTCAGGTACTAGATAAGTTTAAAATTTGCTTAATGTCTTGTATTAGAGCGGATTAGTTATATATTATTCAAGTCCACATAAAATATAGCGAGCAGAGTTAACGTATGGACTACTACCTCTCATCAGCTGTACGGACTAGATAATTTATTTGCTACTACGACACTAGCCCAGTGGCTGTCTAATAACTTCAAGCTTCAACACTGGGGTGTTCGCACTGGTTCCTCTGAAGAGACGGTGGAGACATTCGGTGTATGCATACTCAGTTCTATTCTTGGGTGCCTTTAGACAACGAAATCACGCCGTTCTCAAGGGCCGCAGAATACAGTGCGGAGGGCGATGTGGTGACATGGAACATCGAGGGGACCGACGCCGACCATAAGGCCGATACAATGGACCAAGTTGTAAAGCTCTGTCAAGCTGAGGATAAGGGACTGCGTCCACAGTGACGCTATCATACATGCCCATCAAATAGATCTGGTATATGAGCTCTCCCTTTGGCTTGCTGGCTGCGACAAAATAGAGCAAAAATTGGTTTGGTTCGGCTCTGGTCTGATACTAATCACAACATTGGGGAAAAAAGAAAAAAGAAAAAAGAGAGGGCCCGAACCCGGGATCGAACCGGGGACCTCGCGCAATCAATGCTTGGGTGAACCCCTGGAGATGCTGTTAGTAATTGTAGGATGGAGGAGGTAGTAGAAGAGAGACATACTAAGCGCGAATCATACCACTAGACCATCCGGGCTATTGGATGAAAGGAACCTCATTTAAAGGAATGATATGGAAAAGCCAGTGAATATTAAAGAGGTGGTTTGGACTCTCGGGAAGAGTCTGACACCGGGCAGTTTCGTAGGCGGTCAGGAGCGTCTTCTGTGCAGCTCTCCTTAACAAATGCGCTTTAAATAGCGAGACACCATAGGAATATACCTGAGAAACAAGGTTTACAAACCCTTTTCAACAATTAAACCTCCTTAGACATGATAAGCTTACAGAGCACAAAAGGATCGGACATGAGCTACTACAAGCTCCATTTAGAAGGGATTCCAGCGGTTTAAGCAGAGCGCTCGGCTACACGAGAAATATATAATAGTAGGAAACCAAACCTCTCCCTTGACAGTGAGATACAGCGAGAATCATCACGATTCGATAACGACCGCATGATTTTTCTCGCTTGTGTGGGCCTCTTGCCATATCAGAATCTGTCACAGCGGCGTTTCAGTTCTTGACATGTCAACCGAGGCTCACTCTGGTCCAGCCACAGCGCTAAATGGAGTAGTAAACTTCACTATCCCTGGGGACAACAAAGTACATTTCTGGCCATAGCTCTATAACACGCAAAGTGCGGGGAAAGATAAAAGAAATCCCGCGGACATACGGAACAAACTCCGACATGATTAAGTTTGCACCTGATGCCCAATAGTGCGGGATTAAATTGCAAGGTCGAAATGCTAGTAGAAGTTCTTTGTTTGACCCCTGCCAGGTGGCTGAACGGCGGCTTCATCGAGTACAGGTGGCGTTTGGAGTGACTCGTCCATCACATGGGCCTTGAGAACTTGATAGATGCGCTGATATTTATTTTCATTGTTTTTCTTTGTGTCGGACGAAGGCAGGGATGGGCAGGGGGTGGCAGTAGCTAGGCATTCAAGGTATGTACATTGACTAGGATAGCGCAAACAAAGAATGGTTCGTGCAGAAGGAAGGTATTAAGATATTGACCACAAAGAATATAGTATACACATGGCGTCACAGCAGCTAAGTTTACCTGCGCTCAGTCAATTTACTGACTCGACATATTGCTAGACATCACACTTTGGTTTTGGGTGGACATACCCGGTATCGGTAAACAGGTTCTCTCTCGAGTTCTGTAATTGAAGGCCCTTGAAAGATCTGCGCCTTGGAGTTTCAGGAAGAGGTATCGGGTCTGTTCCAGACGACGAATAATACTTGGTGGTTTTGAGTCGATTTTTTAAGTGTCGAAGAAGGCTGGGAAACATTGGCAAACAGGCACAAATGATTCCGACATGCATTTCCATTGACGTCCACAGACCTAAATTCGTGATGTAATCTGGCGTAATCCAAGTTAGAAATTTGGCAGCAGATATTGGCACAGGGGAATGAGTTTACGGGTATTATCGGCCATATCGATTGTTCTCAAAGTCATAATCCGCAGTATGCTGACGATGCAGACCCTAATAACCAGATTAGAAAAGTGGTGAAGGAAGGATAATGAAGCATGAGAGAATACTGACAAGCCACCTAGTAAAAATAACATGGAGAGTAACATCTTTCGCTGTGAGCTCATTTGTAGTCTCCAGACGGCAGGTTGCGGCATCAGCAGGAGCGTAACGTCGAGTACAGTATTGATACTGGCCAACGCGATATAGAATGCTCTGCTATCAATGGATTTGTGCGGTATCCAAGGCTTCCACTGCGACTCTATTGGAGTGCGTCCGAATGTAATGGCAACTGTTGCTACCAAGAGGTAGAACACAATTATGACACCAATTGCACGCGAAAAAAGCAAGAAATACTGGGTGATGAAAAGGCGATTGAGAAAGAGGAGTATCGATATCTTTGTCAAAGAAATGGTTACATGGTACAGCAGATAATTTGCAATACCGACCTATTTGTACCCAATGTCAGAACAAAGAGAGGTATTAGATGGAGCAAGAAGACCGGGAGGTGTATCCCACCTTGAGAAAACGTTGAATCTGAGGCCTGCCGAGCTGATCCATGTGATATCCAGCACCAAAGTCACTCCTAGCATCGATAGCCACAGTCGCCAGGAAACCATATGAAAAGATCAAGGCTGATAAACAGGTCCAGTCATCCCATGCAACGGAAAGCGTAAGGCGGCGTGAAACAAAACGAATGACCACAAACATAGTGGTCAGGAAAAGTCATCATAGATATCACACCCAAGTATACTTTATAACCACTGTGGACGCCCTGCGGATGTGAGTCACCTGGTACGGTGACTGAGGATTGCATGTCGACTGCCAATAATCCGGAGAAACATGAGCAAAAGATGAGACCACGAGAAGGGAATTTGTAGAGTCAAATACCCCAAAGGCCCATGACTAGAGAAGTGTGTGGGCAGAGATTCAAAAGTACCATGGATTATCGCAGTACTCGAATATACTGTGGATGGAAATTACAACCAGTCTCTGTACAGGCCGCGCCAAAGGTCGGCCAATTTTCTGCCAAGCACACGATGTAGAAGGCAATCCAGCCACATGGAACGGTTTGCAGGAACCAAAATCTTGGATACGATACGCTGAAACGCGAAGCTTATGAGGTGGCACGACCACTGCGTGGTTCGCCAAGTGAAGAGATGCAGAGAAATATGGTCCATGACATAAATTTAAAAGATGCAGATATTGTGGATAGTACAGTGAGTCTCGGATTGAAGCGAGGGAGCCGTTGATGCTCACTCCAACAGCTGCCGATGACACTGATAAGACTTGTGCAGAGGATTCTATTTCCCCTATATCTGAGTTCAGAGTGCTGGTATTGAAGTGCAGTGAAGAGAGAAGCACCTGAGTCTTGTGGACCTATCAAAAAGCTCCCATGAGAATGCGATGGGCATGTGGCCTTAGCTCTGCGGGGAACGAAAGTTATATCAGAAGTCAAGAGGTAGGGATATAGGCCCGAGGACCGTACCTGTTAACTAACTAGGAGCCCATGCCCTTTCAACACATGTGCTCAGACATAAGAATACCCTACTTGTTATGTTACCGGAAGGAAGTGCCGAGATACTTATAGAAAACGGCCTTACTTTGCGTATATCACCGAAAAAACGTAATATGAATTTTGCCACAAGAGTGAATACTGGAGATCGGATTCAATTCTCTCCACATAGAATGTTGATTTCTTTTTGCTACTTGCATTGGCACGCCGAGTTGGTCAGTATCCGTAAATAAAAGAGGAAGCTTTCTCAATCCCCAAGATACCGTAATTATCCTAAGGTTCGCGCATAGACCCTAAGGTATCTATCTAGTTTAGCCGACTTGAGAGTGGCGACAGGGGGATTGAAGCCGAGGGTCTTTTTTTTTGGCACGGACATGACCAAAGGAATGCCATCCGGTATTCCGACATGTCTGTATATGGCAGTCATTTGACACACCCAATCAGCCTTGTGTGGCGTAAAAGGGGGGACTGAGCGACACTTTAGCTGCTCGGTCAGACCTGCGATGGGAGAAAGACATCCTACCGCCAAACGGTTTCCGGCCTCCTGCCAAGATCTCTACTTCTGCTTGGAGTTACTATTCATGAAAGCCTGTCAACCAAGATGGCACTGAGCAGAAATTCGTGATTTATGAAGCTGATTAGAACTGTTTGGAATGATAATGTCGAATTTTTGTAACGGACTTTCCCCGGATGTTGCAGAGGCGAGGCAGGGAAGCGCTGGGATCGTCGGCTGTTTCTAGCTCAGAGCCCAGGTCCCCCTTGAGAATTTTTTTCAAAGTCGGTAGCTATTCATTGGTGAAGTTTGAATTGCCTATTGATTGAGAGAATGAGACCAGACCTGATCTGATCGGGGTGAGGTCTAGAAGTGGGAAGGATAGTCAGGGCAACCTTTCCACCATGCACCAATCTTACTAGATGTAATTATGACTATGTTCTTTGTCTATAAAACCTAGTTTCTCTATACAAAATGGCCAAAATAACCGAAACATGGACATTCACACAGATTCAGCGCGTGTTCTTGATGACGTCGTTTCCCAATGCATCTGTATATCGGTCTGCACTCGTACTGAAAGCCCCTTTGTATCATGAGTTTGAGCTGCTCGGTCCCCCATTTCGATGGTGGTATATAGACCTTCTGTAGAGTCCTGTAAAACTGTTGTCGAATTCGGCCGCCGACGTCCAGAACTCCGACCAAGAGTATTGCTATAAATGTCGGAAGAGCCCGGTGTAGCAGAACTATTGGCCAGGCTTTTGCCCCTCAGGTAGCGAATTAGACTGGGAATCATCGGCATACAAACGCAGTAGATGGATGTGTTCAACTCGAAGAGAGACCATGCATGAGCCTTTGTCGCAGAGTCTGTTGATATTAGCTGCCATAGGGGTTGTAGCGAGGCATATACAGCACCTGTGGCAGACTTACAGGTCATATCGTGATAAACAAGCTTGGTCAAGGCCACAAACCGTATAATACTAATTATACACACCCTCCAATAGCTGTTAGAACTTTTGCTTCGTTTCAAGTGACCGGAGACACATACAAGCCACCAACCATGAAGAGAGCTGACACAAACATTTTGCGTTGCAACCCCATGTGTAATCGCCAAACCAGTGGTTGTGGAGCGAGAAGGATAATCACGTCCAGTAAGATATTGATAATAGACACGCTGTAGAGAAAGGCTTTGGGATCCATGCACTTTTTGGGTAGCCATGATTTCCACTGCGCTTCGATGGGGACACAGGATATGCTCATCCCGATCAAGGAGCTGAGGCCTTGTAGCAGGACGACGATATTCATGACGCAAACGAACCGCCCAAAGGATCGATGCACAGCGAAAACCCGTTTAAGGAACAGTAGTATAGAAATCTTCGAGAGTGTAACTGTACAAGCATGCATGGCGTTGCTTGATACCGAAAGCTGGAGGGATCGTCAATTTGGGACGAGAAGCACATTGAAAGGGTGGAATTACCTTATTATACATTTCCAGCTCCGCTCGATTGAATAGATATTCATGATATCCAGCCCGCCCAATAGTCAACTGTAATGTGAAGCATATTGAAAATCCGGCAGCAAAAACCAATGATGCAAGACACACCCAGTCCTCATGACTCACAGAATGTGTCAGGCGTCTTGTAAGGAAGCGCAGAGCCACAAATAGAACACTGGCAAAGAACGCAATGGACCGGAGAATCAGGAACTTGCGTGAATCGTTTCCGAGACCATCTGGGATTGAACTCATTTTCTCCTGCGAGAAAACCCAGTTTAAACAATCAAGAGAAATTTTACCACAAGCGAGAATTGAACAACAGTTCGAGATCACGGCGAGGGACAATAGAGACATAAAATACTCGTTCTTGTGTATATTATATTCGATAGCACGGACATTCTATTTCGACCTGTGGTGAAGTCTAACGACGTGAAATATAGTGCCGAGCTTCGAAAAAGCCCCCTTATTGGAAGCTAACTGCCCTCAAAATGATATGACAGATGATACATTATGCTTACCAACCCTTTTTGACAGCGCCTTCAGGATACATAACCGTTTCCAGCCTTTAATATGTACCGGGAGCTTGGTAGCCAGTTATGTCGGCCGAAACCAGTCCCTCGGGCCGGGGAAAGTTGATGGATGGACCGCTTGCACGCTCACCTGATGACGCCCAGAAGCCAGGGGCTTGCCTATTCTGACAGGTACAAACCTGCTAATCCAGCCTGGCCGTACGCTTAGCCCCTTGGCTAATTTAGCTTCACTCGGAGGCAAAATCGGGTGCCGTGGATCTTGAACCTGTGGAAAAGACACGACAATTCTATGGCAAGTGACGCAGCTTGCGAGTATAATCAGCCCTTCCTTTGAAGGTAGGCTTGAAGATAGATCAAATTTACATGATCAAGGAGTAAACCGAGCGTGGAAGGTTTGGCGTCATCGATTTAACGGATAAAAGGAAAAAGGAATATGTTCGAGAACATCGTGAGAGAGATAACGAAACTCGACGAGACTTCAAATATTCTATCTGGTGCCATCAAAGTTCTTTGATCTCATGAAGATCCGTGCCAACGGTTTGTTGGAATGATCGAATTTTGCTTCCACGTTCTGGCGTCTGGAAAAGTCATAGATAAGATGTACGTGCATGAAAAGTATTAACTAGAGGCATTCAAGCTGTCAACGGACACATGTTTTCTGGGATCTCAGAATTCGTGCTTATAGGAGCCATCTCCGGCTATGATTTTGCTCCTGTTCTGCATCAGAAAAATGCAATATATGTGATTCCGATTAAAGAATCTAGACCCGCGACTTTCGCAAGGCTTGCCTATTTCTCTCATTCCGTAAAAATATCAATAATGTAGCTCTATTACTAGGCACAGCGAGAGAATGTCAAGTACAGATTATTATGCTGTATCCCACATTCTTCGGCGAGCTATTCAAGGAAGTATGTGTAGGGAAGATTGGTAGGCGCTGGCCCCCTGTACTATTCCCGACTACACGTGAGTTAATGGTGACACAAGTAACGCAAAATATTGAGCACTAGGAACAATCACACTATTCAGCTAGAGAGCACCATACCTTGGGTGAACCTGGGTAATCTGAAGACAAAGTCTCTGTGAAATTCCCCTTGGTAACACATGCTGCGTAAATTGAGAGTCCTTGAGCTCTTTGTTTGACCCCTGTCTGCTAGCTGACCGCTAACTGGGGCTAAGAAGACTTTGACTTGGCACTAAAAATTTGCGAGTATATGTACTGCCACTAATCGAAAGGCCCAAACGCAAGTAGCGCCCCCTAATTCCCAACAAAAAGTTCGAGCCTAGAATAGCTTGTCCGTGTCCTTGAGAAGTTCATTCCCTTTTATTTTCCTATCTAGTAGCTATCCGTACACGTATTCCACCGAACAGGAGGGGAGACGTTGCCCCCAAACGGGCGCCACAACAGGGAGTCGAACCCACCTTGTCCACCTCCTTAGCCAGAGAATTGATCAAAATTCGTGGACTTCCATTTTCACGTATAAACACATTAATCAATATTATCCGGAACTAGACGGCCGGCTTTTCAACAAACAATATCCAAACGTGCAATAATTTGCAAGATGAACTGGTAACAATCGCAATATTCCACCTGCGCGGACAGTCCTTTCACCGAGTTTCAGACCGAGGTTGACTGATTGTCATATCCGAGCTCTCTGATGTCTCATTATGAGAACAGGGACTCTTCATATCTGCCATATGGTAGCTAGCCCCCTGATGCACTGGATCGACCTCGGTATTCAGTGCTTCAGTCGAACCCCCTACTCCACCTGCTACCGGCAATTGCCGAGCCCGCATCCTGCCAATGGTCAAAAGAATGCTCCCAGTTAAACCCGGATCTTCTCTATTTTGTGGCGTCAGTTTCCGCTTCCAGCGTCGTATGAGGCTGGGAAACATCGGAAGGCAAGTGCAAATGATGCCCGTGTTCATCTCAATTACGGTGACGATCATTATGAACTGAACACCGTCTATGTACCGCAAATCTTAGCATAGTGACCCAAAAGCAATGTATAAAGATCTTATGACTGTGTTCAGTGAGCATTGAACTTACAAGTGATATCCTCATGCCCTTGGGTGATGACCGTGGTGATTCGTACAATGCTGAGAATGCACGTACTGTGGATATAGCACATTAGACACGCTTCGCATTGCCAGTGGAATGAAAACTGAACCAGAGCAGTACTTACATGCCTCCTAGGAAAAATACGCCCGAGACTAGAAGCTTCTTTGATCGGGTCCACTGCAATCTCCACACAGTGAGCTGAGGGATTGCCAGAATGAATACATCGAGGACTGAGTTTATAATGCCGACTATGTAGTTAAAAACCGTGGCATCACCCACGAGTTCTGGCATCTTCCTTCCAAACAATGCTAAGTCCATAATTGTCAAAGTTGTCACTATTAGGATATAGCAGACGACAACAACCATCAGTATACTGATCAATGCTGAGAGGGTTTTATGCATCTCGAAAATCCGGTGATAAAAAATTAAGATAGATAGTTTCGTTAACGCAACGCTCAAAGCGTAGAAGAAGTCGGATATACACATCATCTAGAGAGGAAATTAGAGGTTTCTTGGATACGAAGATTTGGGACGCAAACAAAATGCCTTCCTGGGTGCTCACTTTCATCCAGGTCCTCAGCTGGGACTCGCTGTATTGTTGTATCTCATAACCGCCATGTCCAATAGTTATCGACAACGTGGAAGTGATTGTTTGGGCATAGGCAAAAAAAAGAGATGCCAAGCTGCTCCAATCATCTATTTGAAGTGAAGATGCCATCCGACGTGCTAGAAATCGAAGAATCATGCAGATAGTTGATAGCGAGAGCAAGCATACATGAAGGCCTAAAACCGCTCTGCCTTCATGGGTCATTTCATTCGGTAGCGGGGGCCACTCCCCCTCGTCGCTAGCTTCTGCTTCCATCGTGAAGAATTGCTGACAGAATTGTTGGTGGGCAAGGCGGAACACGCTGATGAATATAAGACTCAAGGTAGCTGATTCTATATCCCTCAACCAGTACGTTTCTGGTTGCTTCACGTCGCATAGGACTAGAATTGATTCCCGGATTCGCCAAGAGCCGGCACTCAGTCGCCATCTGGAAGATCCCAGATTTACCAATAAGTCGGGACGCCTAGAGTTGGGATTCATGCAAGTTGACATATTACCCTGGCAGCATCTTGAGCCCACGGTTATTATTGCGGACTTATCGGTCATAGGCGGCAACTCGAGTCAACGTATTCTATCATATTCTATCGGACCAAGAAGTTCCGCTTATGAGTACTCTATCTTTTGATTTCCAATTACCAAAGAGAATCGAGATCAACGCATGGATATTAATTGTGGCAAACCCAACAAGGAGGACTCCGTAGAGGTTTGTGACATGTAAAAGCTGACATCGGGTTGGCTTTGTAAATGACCAAGAGCTATCCAATTTTAGGCTACAGTCAAGACAGACAATGAGGATTAACTTCGGTGGAAAAGTCTCCTTCATCCCGAGCACTTTCAAAAGTACCCCTAAAACTCTGTTGCATTTTACTAGTCAGCCATTTCTTATCTATTCCTGTCCTGTACCCAGGACCCGACTCAGCTGTTGGTTAGGTTTCCATCGATTGAATTTAATCATGACAAATTGTTCTATGCTCAACGTGACATATCTTTAACTTTACTGGCTTACATATGCCCTTCCATGTAACTATAAGCACTGGACATCTTCTTCCTAGATCCCAACAGTCAAGAGATTTAATACATCAGAGACAAGAGCACGGCACAGAAAAGGCGCACCTTGGCTGGATGGGGAAGAAAAGACGGAGGTTTCAGTCTGCGGGTTCAAAGACGCTGTAGTAATTTCCAACGTCTCAAACAAGAAAATATTGCGAATATGCCTTCCGATTCCTGATATTCTACGATGATTGTATATGAAAAGTCGTATTTTCCTGACACCTTTCTTCGCAAAAAGATGGCTATACTCTGGACTGTAAGGCCACATATTGCCTTCGGATTTCGCCGCTTTCCGTTTCTTTTCAGCCACAATATCTATGATGAGCGCTCAGACATTCAAACAACACTTTTCTTGTTGGGCAGACAATATTTGGCGTGGCGCTGGTATCATAAGCACCTTTCTGATGTTTAAATGTGCCTAGTAGGCTTTCTAGCTCGAGGTGGAGTGATAGCGTTGAGTGGGGGTGGAGGTGGAGGGATTCTTGCTCCACTTCGATCGAGACATCCACGGTCCCATGTTTTGGTATCATCTCCACGAACACTGACATGCTTTACTTGGTTTCTGCTCCCCCCTGGTCCTCAAAACGGGCGCTTAAAAGCTTTTCAGAGTTGTGATACGTGGCACAACTAGGGTGCTTGTCTCCAAATGTACTATTTATTTCGTGTGCACCATGGTGCTATAAAAAAACACTGACACAATGCTTCCAATACCTTGGAAACTATATCATAAACTGTCCCTACGATTTTGTGTCCCTCTTCTTGATCACATCTGACAAGAAATCCAACCCCGACAAGACCCTAATAGCGCCATACATGGACGAACTATCCAATGCCCTCTGACCCTGCGTTTCCTTGGCGAGCTGCAAATGCCCAGAGGCCGCCTCGGCGACATCCAGTTTGACGCCGACACCCTCGGCACACGCAAGCGCATGCCTCGTATCTTTGATCGCCAGCGCCACATCGAACCCGGCTTTCTCCCCGGGCGCCGGCGCATACGCCCCCGAGGTGATCCGCGCCGAATAGGAGGCCGCGACAGGCCCAAACATGTCGCGGATCATGGCCTCCAAAATCTCACTGCCCAGGCCAGTCTTTTCGGCGAAGACGTGCGCCTCCGAGAGTACTTCCATAAGCCCAACGACGATTATATTTCTGTAATTATTGCACTAGGCGGTTAGCGGATTGGCTTTGTTCGGCAGTCAACCAAAGAGGCCTTGGTAGGGGGTGTGAGATCAACTGACCCCGTGATTTTCATTAAACTAGCTTTTTCCTGGCTCTCGCCAAGGTCTATGATTGAGCGACCCATCACGCCGGTCATGTAAGGGGTTATCTTCTGCTTTGAGGACGCCGGTCCTGCCGTGACAAATATGAGCTGGCCGGCTGCGGCGGCGGTCGAGGCTCCGAATACGGGGGCTTCGAAGAGCGTTAGCTTGTTTTCGGGCTTTGAGACACCCACGAACCTGCGACGTATGTTGCTTTTGTGTTGGATACTGTTTCTGCTAGTCTGATTGTTGTTTCTGGGTGGACTGTTGAGCAGTCAACGAATGTCTTGCCTTCTGTTGGGCCAGATGCGATAGCGGTGTTTATCGTTTCGGTGAGGGCTTCGTCGTTGCTAAGCTGCGATCATTTTTGAGTAAGAATTATGCTTTCACTTTCGGTCAAATTAAATTTCATGGGCGATGGTCGATCTCCCAGAACGTACACAAGAAAATATAATATCCGAGGCTTGAACCACCTGCCCGACGGTCGCCATAGACTTGCCCCCTATTGCCTCCAAAGGCGCCCCTCTGGATAATGTTCGATTCGTGAACACCAATGGGAGGCCACCTGTTTTTGAGAGGTGATTTTGCAAGTTCAATGACATATTCAAGCCCATAGACCCAAGGCCGATCCTGAGCATTGGCAATGTCAGCCCTATCCTCACATCGCGCGGCAGGGAATTACCATCCAATCTGCGGTCCTGCCATTTTCCTTCTCCGCGCTGTTCAGTTGTTTGCGAAGTCTGAGGTGGACAATTACACGCAGTATAAGAGCCCTTTTTCTTTTAGTATTGCTCGTGAGGACAACCTGCTTATCTATAGTATTACGTCCACGGTGGAGCTCCACATTCCCGATCCACCGTGGTGGTGGTGACTCCATCGCGAAATGTATATTACGTTCTTCTTTCTCTATATTAACGACCAACCAATTGCTATATCTAAAATATCTGCTATCAATTCTTGTTCTCATTCAACCTCTATTCAACATGTCCTTCGGCAAACTCTACTACTACCCGAAAGCGCCCCGCGCAACGATGTGCCTCTACATCGCGGAGCTGAACAATCTCGACGTCGAACTTGCCGAAGCTTGGCCTATAAAAGTTGACGCGAGCAAAGGCGGAGTAGGTGCTGAATATCTATCAAAGTTCCCGACAGGAAAGGTTCCGGCACTAGAACGGCCAGATGGGTATACCTTATATGAATGTATTCCTGTTTCGATTTATCGTGAGTTCTGTCTTTCTTTCTCTACACTCATGCCGGTAAGAACGTTTCTCATTATCGAACGAAATAGTCGCGAAACAAAACCCCAATACCTCCCTCCTCGGCTCAACCCTCGAACAAGAAGCAACCATAATCCAATGGTCTTCTTTCGCAAGCACCGAGCTCCTCCCGCCCATCATGGCGTGGATTAACCCCGTAATCGGAAAAGCACCGTCATCGCCAGACATCCTAGCCAATGCTGAGAAAGTTAGCGAACCTATGCTAGCGGTCGTTGAGAGAGCGATTGGCGGTGGACGGAAATATCTCGTCGGCGATGTGCTCACGCTGGCGGATTTATTTATCGTAACAGCATTGGCGAGAGGGTACCAGTTCGTAAGTTTGAGCATATCTTGATATTGGTTCTCGACTGACCGTTTCATTTAGGTGTTTGATAAGGCGTGGACGGAGAAGCATCCGGCACTGCACGAGTATTACTGGGCGATTAAGTCGGATGCGATCTGGACGAAGGTCGATGGAAAGCCTTACGTCTTGGATAAAGTGGGAGGAAAGCCGTTGGAGTAGAGGCTCGATTGTAAACCATCACGTTTATAGGTTCTTTATCAATGAAACTCAAATTGGTCAAGTCGAGTTCACAGAATGGGTGGATCTGTCTCTGCTCAACCAGTGTCTCGTCAAACAAGACACCTAAGCAGAAGATGGCCGGTCAAAGCAACATGCGATGTAAATAGTAGAAGAGCGAGAACTTGTGTATCACCTGATTGTCCCGAGCCCTACTTTGCTACATATATTTCCCGAGCTCCATGGAGACACGCACTGTTCATCTGGAACAGGAGATTTTACTCCCAACATACTTTATTCCTCATTTGTAAACAAGAAAACAACAACACGTATGTGGTAAACTAAGGACCCTTCCAAGCCTAACTATCCTAGCACTTCGAAGACCAAGGAACACGACAGTACTTTCTCAGGCGATAGCACTATCATCGCACCGCGGACAATTCCAACAAATAGACTTAGGCCATAACTTCCCAGGACCATCGACCTTTAAGCAGTCGACCCCTTCCTAGACACATCGCCCTCATCCACTCCCTTCACAATCTCCCCGTGACCGCCACCCTTCAATCCATCATCATCCACAATTTCTCCCTCGCACACCTCCACTTCGCCTCTCTTCTGCCTTTCATGCAACACCATGATCACGACAACCAGCACAATTTGGGCAAGATTATTTGCCATAACCCAGTACCACCCGAATTTGAACCGCGGCGCCTTGGGTGTCGGAAAAGTGACAATGTTCAACCCAGCTAGTAACGCCTGCCCGAAGGCATTCATGCACGCGACCGTGACGGCTCGTTCTTCAGCAGAGCGGACGGTCTAATATCCACACATTCATCTTGTTAGCGAGTGTAACAGAAACTCCCAGAGAAACCGGAGGCGAAAAGATTGAAACGTGAGGAAAAGAACGTACAGCTTCCGAAGCCCAACTCATAAACAGCGGATTCAAAGCGCCCCCTAAACCAGCCACATAGAACGCAAAGAACTTCAACCCGACCGGGATATACCACACCGCCATACAAATCGCCCCTGTCGTCATCCAAAAGCAAATGACGAGGGATGGAAGCCATCGCTTCCCTGAAACATCGGCCCAGTAGCAAGCTGCCAGGGCGGTGACGATCGACAGGGCGCTCTGTCCCGTCGGGTAGGTATTGATTTCAGATTCGGAGTATATGTCTTTATGTGCTTTCAGGTAGAGGTTGAATGGCTGGCCGTTGGTGATCATGGCCTGGTTGAAGATGATGTATAAGAGGACGAAGGCGTACGGTCGCCAGGATGAACAGACTTGGCGGAAGATGTTCAGCGTGAGGCGCACTTTGGGTGGTTCGTTGCCGTCGGATTCGAGGCGGCGACGTGCCAGGCTGACTTCGTGGGATGTTAAGATGAGGCTGGGTCGGGGGGAGTCTGGACGGGCGGGGAAGGTGAGGAAACCGAGGATAGCGACGGGGATGGTGATGATTCCGCAACTAGTAGCTGGTGAGCATCCCGTTTGGTGATCATGAGGGGGGCGTTTACATGATGAATAGCCAGCGCCAACCCGCGAGACCCTCATTGCCGTCCAAGTTTGTATAGCACGCTGCTTGGAAATATCCAGCGAACATGGTTCCCAGTGGTCCTGCGATATAGAATAGAGATAGGCGGCGGGATATTTCGGATCGCTTGTACCAGCACCCAATACAGTAGATGACGCCTGGGTAAGCAACACATTCGAATGCTCCGCTGAAGAAACGGATGAGGTAGACATGGCCGACGTTATCGACGAACGCTGTACAAAGCGTAAGTACCCCCCAGAGGACCTCGCAGGCAGGAATGAGAATGTTGGGACTGATTAGCTTTCTGGTTAGCCTTCTTATAAGGGAAGCACATTTGGGATGATGAATCCGTACGCAAAGCGGGTCAGGAGGATATTTGCCGGAATCATCATGGAGCAATATCCGGCCTGAAACACGCCCGTGGTATATTGCAGGTCATTTCCCTCCATTCCCACATCCTCTTTCATGCCGGTGACATAGGCATTTTGAAAAGCTTGGAGATCGAGAAACTGGGGGAACAATCAGAATCTATTTATGAAGAGTGTAATATTGATATTCACCTTAGTGAAAAATGTCAGGCATCCAAAGGTTAGTATGCTGGCATCCAACTTGAACAAGAGCTTTTTCTCTTCTGGAGGACAGCCCCGCTCATACCATGCCCACTGGTGATACCACTTCTCGGTCGAGGGAGCCATTATTCAGGACATGTGGCAGAGAAAGAGCATACTGAGGATCAAGGTTCTACGACATTAAGGGCAAACGAGGGCCGACTTAAATAGAAACAACGGCATAATCATTAAGCCAATTGGATACGATCCGTCGGCTTATACCCGAAGGCCTACGAATCATTTATCTGGCCGTCAACATATTCCTGGCCTAGCCAAGGGCTTTATCGAGATAGCGGGATTCCAGCCGTTATATGACCCTGTAGAGGGTAAGGAATAGCGATGATAATGCACGAGAGGTCAGCTGGTATATCTGCACGATTGTAAATGCGGGGAACGATCGACAGCGATCGTGAGGAGGACAGCAGGAGGAGGACAGTCTGCGAGAGGAAAAGAGGAGGAAGTGGACGGAGGAGCTCCACCTGCAACTATCCGCCTTCTGCTCCACTTCGCCGAGCCATGCAGATCATCCTTTAGATTGAGACAAGTGGTGATAGCGGGATATTTATTGCCCTTGCTGGTTCGAATTGTGGACTTTTGAGCAAATAGACAGTAGGAGAAAATCGCCAGCATATCTCAATCATGTCGTTTACCCCAACCAAGCCTCGCTCGGAACTACCCGAATACACTCCGCCGGCCCCAACTTCACAGGAGCGTTAGTGTGCCTATTATTCAAGAAGATAAAGATTGCTAACCACGAACAGTTGACTGGATCCAACTGGTGAACATTGATCTGGCGAAGTACGATAATCTGTCTACACGTCAAGAGCTCGCCCGCGAACTATTGACGGCCGTCACTGAGCATGGATTCCTGACCATCTCTAACCACGGCATTTCGCCGGAACTGTACCGGTCTCAGGTTAACCTGGCCAATGCGGTTATGACGCTACCTCCAGACGAAAAGCAGCCATTTGAAGGTTTGTCCCTTATTCTAATTGTCTTCATATATTGGCTAACTTTGAACAGCTACTCCAGAGGAAGATGCTCGTGGAAGATACGTAGGGTTCAAGCCTTCCGGTGAACTGGGCATCAAAGGTGGATTTCACAAGAGTGTATGCTTCCTCCCTATCTGTATTCTGAATGGACTTTTCTAACCGACGAAAAGTTGGACCATTACAACATCCTGGTCCACGACCCCGAGAACCACCCTCACCCTCCCATCCTGGAAGAATACAAAGACGAAGCGAACTACGTGATGCACTTCATCCGCAACAACATTCTTCGCAAGCTCTTAGTTCTCATGTCCATGATCCTCGAGGTGCCTGAGGAGCGTGTTCTGGAGACTCATTCCTTGGGTAAGGAGTCAACAGAATATCTCCGCTACGTACGTTGTCTTCTCTACCTACCCTGCAAGGGTTCCAGCCACTAACACTAAGTCCCACCCAGATGATCTACAACCCACGCACCGAGGAAGACAACACTCGCTACCGCGACCTCTACCTAGCCGGCCACACCGACTGGGGCACATTCACCTTTCTCTTCTCGCAGCCCATCTCGGCCCTCCAGATCCTCGACAATAACGGGAACTGGAAGTGGGTCCAATACCTACCCGACTGTCTAGTCGTTAATGTCGGGGAGGCCCTCGAGCTTCTAACCGGTGGTCTCTTCAAGGCAACAATCCACCGAGTCGTCAAGCCGCCGGTGGACCAGGAAAAAGCCAAGCGCATTGGAGTTATTTATTTCTCGCGGCCGGATGATGAGCAGATGCTTCGGCCGATCGAGTCTCCGTTGCTGAAACGGTTGGGCATTGATAAGCCGCTTGACGAGACGGTTTATAATATGGCGGATTATTTGAACGCTAGGAAACATGGCTATAAGAGGCTGGATTTCGATAATGATCGCCCGCGCCAGGATGGGTATCATGCTGATCCGTTCCATGGAGTATATCCGGATCCGGAGGGGTTTAAGGCGTTGGGGGTGCAGAAGGGAGTCAAGGTTTGATTAGGGATTGTGGTGTTCTGCGCCAAATGAAATCAATATTCTCATCGTTACACATATATTTACTGAGTGTTGTCAATAAAAACATCATCCCATTCCATCCCCCATCCACATGGAGTCCGAAATACCCAAATCCGTCAGCCCTAACTCCGTCGCAAGTTGTAATCCACACTGCCCGGGACTAGGAATCTGAGACGGCGATGGCACCATCAAAGACACACCGGCGTTCGCATTTCCCACGGGCGTCGACCCCAAACTCTCGGCTATTATGGCCGACTGCCATTTCCCGACCGGCCATACCTTGCGTTCGGCGAAGGTTCGCGCGGCCCAGTTCATATAGTCTGTTTCGTAAGAATCGAATGGTCGGCCTTCCGATCCCATGGTGTCGTGCATGATATTAGCAGTGCAGGTAGCGAGTCTCGAACAGATACGTCTTAGGATGTACTCGGCTGGAGAGTGCTGGTAAACCGTACTGGGCGTCGAGCTGCATTTTCCGTCGTGAGATGCTCGAGCGTCGCCGGTCGCTTTACCAACCATAAGACGAACGACGCGCCAGCCGACGAGGCATATCTTGAACCCCAGGAAAGTAGTGAAGGGGTGTTCGGCGTCGACAGGGAGGTGATTGTCTTTGGCTTGGGTGAAAGCGATCTCGGGGATGGTGGGTTCGAGGTCATTAAGCTATGTTAATTTAGCTAACTTAAGGTATAATGGATGCAATTCACGGGGCTGGAAAGAAGGACATACAAGGCGGAAAACGTCGCGATCTTCATAGATGTCACGGTTCTTCTTGTCTCGGGGTTTGGCCAGAAAGCCGGCAGCTGGCAGGTTGTCAGTCACATGCCAATTGCAGAAATCGTTCGTTGACCTACTGGCAATTGCTGCTGGGAGGTTACTCTCCACAGTTCCAGTAACCAGCAAAGAATCGGAATGAGTGAGAGTAATGGAAGTGTAATGCCACATGATCCAAAACGAGTGCCATAATGCTGTGTGTCCTGGATTTGCCGGAACTTCTTCCATCACGGGAGAATCACCCGGTCGACTGTACAGAGGGTTTCCACGAGGAGTCAGGTCTGTGCAAGTCAGTTTCATGAGCAACAGTAAGGCTGGATAGACCGACCAAGGATATTTCGCAAAGCCTGTGCAATTTGACCATATTGATGATCCAGCAAGACGGACCTAATGTTGCTATCAGTATCCATCTGTTGTGCACTTTACGGAGAATACCTACAATGGGGTCTGCGAACTTAGTGGCCGTGCCAGTAGACAGTTCGCATGTACCAAATCCCGAGACATCATCTGCAACTGCGTTACCAGAATGAGTGCCGTGAAAGGCGAGGACCAAAGAAGCCGCAGACTGGAGGACATCCTTCGACTACCATGATGCAGTAGGCGCTGCGTGCTCTCATAGAACGTCCCCTGGGGCGGCCTTCCTCCAACTCCGTTCTCATCATCTTGGTCGTTGAACGATGAAAACTGCTGTCGACGCAGAACATCCCAGTCTTCTGCTGTTTCGGCATCCCAGAGCTCATCTGGGCATGGGAGGTCGTATTTGATTTCCAATGCGGACATCAACGGACGCACGTTGCAGATTATAGCGAACTGGGAGTCGAGGAGGTAGAGACAGTATATGGTTCTGTCTTCATGAGCTTTTTTCTTTTGGGGGGGAGGGTAATGGAGAGCTATAGAGTCATCGCACCTTTTCCTCAGCTCTGCATGAACAAAAGAATTCCAGCGCGTGGCAAGCGGGATCGACGCATCGTCAAGCGCAGATAACTCACGTCTTCCGTCGTCGCTTTCTACGTCTGCATGACTGATCTGGCTCTCACGGGTCATCTGTAACTCTCTGACAGAGTCCACCAGTCGGCGATGGATATTCTGTGCCTTGACAAAGAGCTGATCATCGCAGCAATACATTCCAAATGATTCGAGTATAAGATACGCCGGAATCACCCAGGGATCCTGAACACGCGTGGGGTCGCTCTGGATATATGTGTCGAGGGATTGTAGACCTGTATCGAATGAAGCTCGACTATGGGCTATTTTGCCATCGCCTGTTGCGTATAGAGTCCCGATGGCCGAGATTGCCTTCAGGAGAGCTTCCGGGCAGGTATTCGGATTGAAACTGGGCTTGTGGATGATAGGGAATCCGGGATGGAAGTATTTGAAATATGCATCTGAGCACAGGAGTTCCTTTCTTTTATGTGTGAGCTGCGATCCAAATCGAGGACGGGGATGTCTTACGCAAAGGACGATCCATGAGAGCTACTAGGTATCTCGAATGGTGGATGCGAGCTCTATCCGGGTCAGTTGTCGTACTTCATCCAAATCAGGCTACTCACATCCGATGAACCTGCACCACGGTCGGGTATGGGAAGCGAGCCGAGATCTACCGGAGGCGACGTCGATTCGAAGCTTGGAAGAGGTAATTGATTCTCTAGTGCAGTCTGCCATAGGGAAGCTGTTGGGGTCGATTGCGCATCGGTCAAGGGGTGGCAGTTCCGAATGTGACGCTTGCGTAAATCACTACAACTGTTAACGTTTATCTCCGGTAGAATATATTTGATCCATGACTGACCTTCTGAGAAACCTAGCCGAGCACTGTGGACATTGATAACTGCGGCGCGTCGATTGCTCATGATCTAAATAGAAATCCGGTTTGTTCGAGAAGATACAGTGCGGAAAGTATCGGATTTTGAAACTCACGGGTTTGTTCATGACGTCGAAGATTTTCCTGTATTTCTAACATTAACCCAGCCTCCCACATCGAGTTGGGGAACCCACCTGTCTAGTAAACTCTTTCCAACAGGTCTGACACTTAAAGGGTCGCGCATTCATCGTGAACTTTGTCTCAGAGGAGCGATTTGGGGAAAGAGAAAGAAAACCGACTTCTCCAAGACCAAGTCTGCAAGGTGGAGCTCTGGGACTCGAGATAAACACCCCCTCGTGTTATCAGTGAGGGGAAACGCATGGAGGCAGAGATAAGGCGCTGATTTGTTGAAAATCAGTCGGACTGGACTGGACGCCGATCAGCAGCAATTTCCCCACTGTCTTGACTGTCAACTTTATCACTCCCCGGTCTTGGCTTCTTGGAAGGCAATGATTCGCAGAGATACGTGGGGAGGCGTGCAGGGGTCTTGGAGCAGATGGTCATATGCGATTCACCTATTAGTAATTTCATTGCTGCCTTTACTGAGAACAAGCACACTAAAGACACTATATTACATGCTCATTTCTTCAGTTGGCCCGTGAAAATAAAACCAAAATCATCCATTCAAGGAATCTCCTTATAAACCTTCTCTCCTTTCTTGGGAGCCTGCTGGATGAAGTTCGGCGGAGGCTGCTCCGGTAACTGATTGTCTTCTGCCCATTGGCGAATGGCGTCGAAGTTCTTGCATTTATGTTTGGTGTTGAAGTCCACAAACGGGGTCGGTTTGTCGGGAAAGACCCATACCTGGCCCAACACACCGGTGTCCACCGTGCACATGAGCTGTTGACGTAGGATATCCAAACAGTGGGCTTGATATTGTTTCATCAGCAACAGTTCTTGAACAAGGGAAAGGAGCGACTCACAAACATGGATGCGGATGACGTGGTCTGCATTGACAAAGGCGCCTTCGCCGCGCTCGTGATAGTAGTCGAAGTTGTAGTAGAGAGATTTGCGAAGAAGATTCTGAAAGAAAGCAATTAGTAGGATGCTGAAAATCGGGAAGTGTTATTTTACCAGGCAGTGGAGATGGTGCAACCCCTCCAGGTTCGCAGGATAGCCGCCGCCATATTCATCATTTATCTTCACTTGATCAGGAGAAATTCCTGATTTTTCACCATTCTCTGGTGGCACCCTTAGCGGACGGTCTGAATATGTTAGTCTATGTTGTAGCCAGACAGTAATGATAGCTCACAGTCCGTTCCGAGCGCTTCCCATGCGGCATCGACCTCGGGGCTGGCATCTTGGCGATAGATATTTTGCTTGATGAATTCGCCGTTAAATTGCTCAACATGATATTCCACATCGACATCTTTAAAGAGAGGAGCTTTTTTAGGTTAGCTATTGTTTAATGACTAAAGAGGTCACTGACAGTATTGAGAAACGTGGTGACTGCATAGTCCGTCCCTGTCACTCCAATTGTAGCCCGCTAGGCCCCCGAAGGCAAAGATGACCGCAGTAAGTAGAGAGTATAGTATCACTTTCCACCACGACGGAAACCTCTTTATCTTCACCTTCTCATCGGGTCCCCATGTTGCTGACTCTTCCTCCGAGAGTAAGTTGTTGTTGGAGTTTGGAACTGGCGAGTAAGACATTTTGCCGATAGAGAGATTAATCAAGATAGTAACAGATAGTTATCTTGTGCAAGCCTAAATGCGAGCAGCTTGAGAAGTTCCACGTTATTATTAAATGCAATAAAAGCACCAAGTGAGTCTAGGCCACCAGAACCTAGGGCTGGTTAGTGATGCCTGACGTCACCAGTCGACATCCATCTCGTATTTCGCAAGTGGAGAAGCTTCAACTCCGCGGCCAACGTTGCTAATTTTGGACACGAAAGTCCCCAGCTCATGAATTGAGTTTTTCGAGTCATCGACTGAGTGGTCGAGTCGAGATGTCATCCCGTGGATGAGGTCTCCGGAGCTGCCGACACTGCCGAGACGCAGCGTCAAATCCCGCATTTGGATAAAACACGACAGGCTGATCGGCGATCTATGGTTCATAGCTTGGGAGTAAGGCTGAATGAACGGATGTAACCTTGAGCCTTTCATTGTTCGAACTTTGGGTGCAGCCTTGTGTACATTGGTCCATCACAATACTATTAGCCGAACAATGTACCGTGCTATTATTATCCTCCATCATCTGATTCAGACCAAAGCGTCGCATCGGGGAGGCCGTTATTCGCTGCAGGAAGCTCCGCACGCCTGCTCGTATTGCCTGCATTTCGATCACGATATCAATATAATGGTCATTATGACGGATGCCAATCATGAAGCCAAGTTTCGCTAGCAGTTAGACAAGCATTTATAGACCGAGCTCAAACACCTTAATCCGACCGATCTAGTATCATCATCAACTCATAATCCCAAGAACATTCAACACTATCATTTGAACTTCAATCAACCTTTCCTTCATCATGCGTCTTCTTGGCGCACCAGTCCTCCTCGCTCTCATCGCTGGAGCGAATGCCCTTCCCGTTGCTGACAAACGGGATGCCGATGCTGAGGCAGGAGGCCATCCACCTCCCCCAGCAGACTATGGAAGCTATGCTCCATACAAGTCCTACGCCCCGTACACTAGCTACGGAAGCTACAAACGGGATGTGAACGAGGCCAAGAGGGGTGACCATCCCCCTCCTCCACATGATGGATACGGCAGTTACGCCCCATACGACACTTACGCGCCCTACAAGAGCTACGGCAACTACAAGCGGGACGCTGATGGCACTCCGCCTCCTGAGGGCGGGTATGGGAGCTACGTGCCCTACAAGTCATATGCCCCGTACAAGAGCTATGGCAACTACAAACGCGATGCCGATGGCTCTGCGCCTGAAGACGGGTATGAAAGCTACGTGCCATACAAGAGTTACGGCGACTACAAGCGGGATGCTGATGGCGAAGACGGATACGAGAGCTACGTGCCATACAAGTCTTACGCCCCGTACAAAGACTACAAGACTTACAGACGTGATGGTGGCGATGATCCCCCTCCTGAGGGCGGATATGAAAGCTACGTCCCGTACAAGTCCTACGGCGACTATAGTCATGATGTGGAAATCCAGGGTAAAGATTCCTAGATTGGCCATGAGAGTGGCACAATGGGGTTCTGTCAAAAGTAGCCACCGCCAACGTGTCTTGGTTAAATTTTAGGTGGTTATGCGATTGAGTGGATAGTGAGTGCAAAAGAACGAGGTGGATCTTGACTAATTGATCTTTTTGGTCCCGTATTGTTTTGCTGTTTGATGCTCGTCGACAATGGGAGAGGTTGAAAATGGGGATATTTCAATTGGTAGTATGAAGTTTCACGTAAAGTAATTATTGGTTCGCTCCGTTTTATCCTGTTACTTCTACACTCCTTCTAATACAATTTTATTCTTTAAATCCTGTCTCACTTACTTCTAAATACGTGTCTTCGTCATATTGAGGCTGCACCAATGGACATATACACTGGTTCTGTGACGAGGACTCTGTTCCATTATTTTCGTCGTAGGGTGATAGCTTTATTTGGTGCTCCAGCGACTTCTACTCTCAATTACTACTCTCATTTAGCAACTGAACAGGCTGGACAAATGCAATGCTATTCTCGGTCTATAGTCTATTCTAATCAATCATCACGCTATAATCATCAAAACAATCAAATCTAATCGAAAATCGACGCCTTCATCGAGTTCGGCTCGATATACTCCGACGCATTCCGGGAGCTTGTGAATCCCCAGCGAATCTGCGCCGCCATCGCAATCTCCACATCCAAGTCCTTCGCAAACTGCCACGTCAGACCCGTATCCCGCTGGAAGGCCCGTCCCACCAGAATAACATCCAGATCCTCCTCGTTGAGAATCTGATCAGCCAACTTGCCGTTGTTAATCATACCCACCGCCGCGACGACCAGCTTATCACCAACAGCCTTCTTAACCGCCGTGGCAAACGGCACCTGGAATCCCGCTCCAGACGTCACCTTCTGCGAACTGTGCACACCTCCCGTGCTGATATCGATCAAATCAATACATCCCTGCTCCGCGAGCGCCCGCGCAAACTCCACCGTATCTTCCGACTTCCACCCCTTCTCCTCCGGCCTGCTCTTCTCCAACCAATCCGTGGCACTGACGCGCAGGAAAACAGGCATATCCGGACCGACCGTGTCACGCGTCAACTGCGCAATCTCCAACGACAAGCGGATGCGGTTTTCGAAGCTGCCTCCATACTCGTCTGTGCGCTGATTCGCCGACGGCGTCAAAAACGACGAAAGCAGGTATCCGTGCGCGTTGTGGATCTCGATGAAATCGACCCCCGCCTGCACCGCGCGCTTCGTCGCAGCCACCCACGCCGCCTTCACCTCCTGGATGTCCTGCTTGGTCATGGCCTTGGGCACGGGGTCGCCGTCTGCGAACGGGATCGCGCTGGGCGCCTTTAGGTTGTCGGTCCAGCCGCCGACAGCGTTGGTGGCCGTCATGCCGCCCAGCCAGGGCGGGACGGTGGACGCCTTCCGGCCCGCGTGGGCCAGCTGGATTCCGATCTTCTGGCCCTGCGAGTGTGCGAACTCGACGATTTGCCGGAGGTAGTCGATTTGAGAGTCTTTCCACAGCCCGACGCAGTGGGGTGTGATGCGGCCTTCGGGGAGGACGCCTGTGGCTTCGATGATCATCATTCCCGGGCCGCGCTGCGCGATGGCGCCGTAGTGCGCGAGGTGCCACGGGGTCATGTGGCCGTCGTCGGCGCCATATTGGCACATGGGAGCCAGCTGGTGAGGTTAGTTGGAGTGTTGATGGGAAAGGGGAGAGGGGGTGGGTGCGTACTCCAAGGCGGTTCTGGAATGTGGTGCCTCGGATGGTGAGAGGCTTGAATAGCTTCGGGATGGGCTTTCCGTTGGTCTGCGGGTCCCGCGCCGTGCCTGCCGGCACTCTCTGGGCGGGCGTGAAGTACGAAATGCCCTCGGCGGGCTTGGTAGGGACGTCGGGCCAGTTCGCCATTATGTACAGTGTATGTGGAGATTATAGTAGCGTGAGAATAAAGGATTGAAGCTAGCAGGGGTATGGCTACTTTATATAGACTGCCCCAGACAAAGTGGATATGTGTAGAGCAGTTTACAAAGACAAAACATCTGCAAATTGATTTCTAATATCCCGGCAACTTATGCCCTTGGATTAGAAACCCTGAACTTGAAATTTTTCAAGACAAGCCCCTGGGACAGTCCGCTGAAGAATCAATCAGTGAAGCTTGCCCAGGCCGCTGATCACCGCGCAGCAACATGCTGACTGCTTGTACGCGCAGTCCAGAAAGTCTCCGAATTTGGCGCGAACTCGGTCGAATTCGTCTCCGGGCGGAAACTTCCAGTGCCTGAATCTGAGGTATTCGGCTAATGGTCCGGCAGAGTGTGCGAACGGAATGGAATCTTCGGTTCAGACTCGGTGCTGATCCACTTTGGCTGCAAAAAGTGTTAAAAGTGGAGACGATGATTAACATTGCGCCGGTGGCGGCTTTGACCGACATTTTGCATCTGGGATGTTTGCTGGATCGGTGGAAGTCAAAAAAAGAGTGTCTGAATTGATTAGATCCAGCTGGTGTTGTGTTGGCTGTAACTCGGAAACTGGACGATTGGGAAATCCATGGCTCAATAAAGGCTGCGCGACGTAACAGACATTTCGCGGATAATTAGGTCCAGTACATACCAGTGCTCCCCCTTTTGGAGACATCGAATAGAAAATTGGAGACAAGCGGTATCCGGTGTTGTGGTTGATCGCCCTTTTTAGCGGCCAATAGGAGTATATACTCACCTCATCATGCATGTCCACAGAAGTATAAGTACTTTGAAACTTAACAGTCAGCAATGTCTACTTCTCATCCATTTATTTGACCTACCTATGATGGCTTAAAGCCACCGTCTTCCAGAAACATACTTTAAAGCTCATCATGCCCCTTGCATTGCCCAGGTTGACTCGCTCTCTTCTGAGCTCTCAAGGCTACTAGTGCAACACCCTTTGCGGCCAATTCATATTCATGTATTGCTCCACCAATAATTTCCACTGACTCCCCAAGTGCTGAACGGACAGCCTGCTTGATAAGCTTCCCATCATAATGCGAAGTTAAGATGATGGCGCGATCGACATGCTCCGGCGTCTCATGCTCGTTGGCGTATGCCGGATCTCGCAACCCTGTTTCAGATTAACCATAAACCTTCTCACTAAACACACGCATGGGGAAACACAAACCTCTCACAGCAATCATTATCTGCAGAATGTTTCGCCCCAGAGACTCCATATATACCTGCTCTTCCTTCTGCACATCCTCCCACTTCAGAACGGCTTGGACACTCCCGTCTCCCCAGCCTTGCAAGTCCAGCGGATACTCATCCAGATGGTGGTCCTCGGTCTTCTCTTCTCCCATGAGCTCGGAGTCGATGTCATCCCGGATCAAAAACCTCGCCTTCCGGATCAATTGCCACAGGTCTCCGCTATTCGCCCCCCACTCAATCTGCCTCTGCATGTCCTTCGACTCGCTAATTAGCTTCGTCGCTAGCTGCCTGTTGATACTGGCGCTGGCAAACGGCTCCATCGGCATCATGACCCCTTTATTTGCGGTTCCGTCCCCAAAGAGCGTCGTGCGCAGGTCGCAGTGGAACTCGCCTTGGTCGATAATCAGGTACTGAATGGTTTTGTTATCCTTGAGGTCGTCGTTCTGCGCGTAGACCGGAGCAATCGTCCTCGGGATAACTAAAGGGCTCGTTTGGATTCTAACCGCCCGTGCTGCTTCGACTATCAAATCGGTGAGCGTCGAGTTGAAGAAGCTGGGGGCGCTGAAGACCGCGTGTCGGATCTGTATGTTGTGATGTTCCAGTGCCTTTTCCTTGATCTGGCGCAGTACGGTGACGAATTCGTTGGTGATGTCCTCCGCTGGTATTGGGCTAAGACTGTCGGCGTCAAGCCCTCCAGCTGCTACCTTGAAAGCTCTGAGTCCTATTGACACGGCAGAACCAATCCACGGCGGGAGGCCTACGTCGCCCAAATAAAGCAAGTAAGGTTCTATAAATGACGCAGCGGGCTCAGTGGCTTTCCAAATCGGCGTGAGGATATTAGTGCTCGACCCTTTTGAATTCTTCGTGAACGGCGACGGGTGCTCTTGCAAATGCAGGAGCCATAATCGCATCATGGTATCTCGATACCCGCCCTCGGCGTCAGCGACGACTGTCGCTATGGTCGTGACATTGTCGGTATCATAGGCATATACTGCGGTTCTATCCCATACAATTAGTAAATCCAAATCGCAGCTAATCATGTTAATTAATCACTTACACGATACCCGGCCCTATGTCGATTCCAATTGACTGCACGGGCCTTCTGCCATGCACCTGCAAGGCCCAGATCAGCGATGAAACCAACCAGATGATCTGCCATCGGCGTGCGGAAAACATTCTCTGACAGCCTCTGGATGAGTGGAGACTGGAGACTGGAGACCGAAGTCAAGAGATCTTCTCGATCCGGGCGGAGGATCGTTTTTCTAGCCCACGCTGGCTCGTGCCAAGCTGCGCTAAGCATGTCGTTTTTCGGGGCCAAATGCACTATTGGCGCTACGTTAAGCGTTCGCCAATAACATTGACAGGAAGAATTGTCGGGGATTTATTTTTATTCGACGATGACAGGCAGTGACGCTGGTTCGCAGAGCTCTTATTTTTGCCCCTGGATAGAGGACTAGGGTAGGCATCTGATATATTTTGCAGGATTCCCTGTAGTGCACTTGACATCATCATGTTCTCTGGAATTCCGATAACCATATTCCTAGCCCTGATATACCAACTATTAAGTTTTAGTCTTTCCAGAATATTATGCGAATGAAAAGTAACTTGCACGCATCTCATCAAATGCGTAATCTCGTCCAACATCCACCCATCCCAAACCACACCAGAACCCAATTTAAATCCTACCTTCCCCTAGACGGAGCGTTTCCTGGCAACTCCGCAACAACTCCTTCGGTGGCACGTCCTGCTTCAACGAGACCCCCGTCCCAGGCAGCTCGCTCGTTTCGTCTGCCACGACATGACTCGACAGCTCGTACTTCGATACGCTCTCGTGCCCATATAGCTCAGGCACCGCGGGGCTGGGAAGGTGATGGCCTGTACCACTCCGAGGAGGGATGATCTTGGCCACCACGGGTTGTGTAGTAGGTTCGTACCGCGCATCGTGACGCGTGAGACTAGCTGTGGTATACAGGGCCGAGTACGTATTTCTAGAGGACAGAATACTGCGAGCGGTTCTGGGTTGTAGGGCCTATATACCGGAGTAACCTAGACAGAATAAAATCATTAGGTTATTGAGTTGATTGGCTGGAATCCATAGCCCTGATGGAGCTGATCCTGGAGTTCAGTTGAAATGCCAATTCCTTGGGTAGACAGCCTTGAGGCGGCTTGGGTTGACATTTGACAAGTGTGGCAGAAATTCGGTAGGATTTTATTCCGCTGCGGAAATGACTAATTCGATGAAATGCTTCAATTCAAAACAAACGATTTCATTGGCTATAAAGGAATGACAATTTCGCGTGTTAAAATAATTAATAACTCTCCCTCTTCTTATCTCTATTAAAGTAATTTTCAGGGCTATTTATATTGCTTTCTCAGGGGTTAAATTAATAAAAAGATCCTTATTTTATAACCTCATTTTATTACGCGGCAAATTGCGTGATTTCGGACATTTAAATAAGCGAGGCGATAATTAACTAATCAAGCGCTTCACTACCCGAACTACAACACATCCCCTTATCAGCAAGCGAGGTCTAATTATCTTCTTGAGCAAAAATAAGGTCCTTAATATTAATAAGATTTAGTATCCTAAGAAATTCGCGGTGTTTCTGACCGGGGAGGACCTTTGTGAGACTATCAGTGATTATTTAGTTAGTAAAAATCTATTTCACGCGGAGATCTCCTCTCTGCGCTTCCTGGCGGATCTATAAGCAGTATATATTAATATAGTATAGTTTAGATCTCTACTTAATATCCTCTATATTAACTAATTATACAGTCTGTTAATTATTGCAGTAAATATTAACATTGTGTTCGGGATCAAATCCTATTATATTAAAGACTCTCCTTCATTAATATATGGCCTTGGCTGCCTCGGAAAAAGTAAAAAATTTAGCCTTAGTAGTAAAAATAGTCACTGCGCGTTATTTTCCTGATTTCTATTTAATTAGACTGTTATATAGCTTATAGAAATATCCCGCAGAACTCTTCCTATCAGGGTAATTAGCATACGCGGTATTTATAATAGCAAGGGCAATCTCGCTCTGTAACATAGATCCAGAGTATTCAATCACTAGATAACAAGTTATATAAAAATAAGTAATAACTTAATCTGTAGCAGCTAAATAATCGGGTAATAGGTTCTTCAGCGCTTCAGATAGGCGGCTTATAGCATATATAATATTTACGCGGGTGAGCGTTGTAGGAAACTACACGGATCTAATTTTCGAGAAGTATTTATATATATAATAATCTATTATTTAACCCTTATACAGCTCAAGATTATAAATACTTAATAAAGGTGTTTCTGGCCATCGAGTAAGATTATTAAGATAATATTTTAATCCAAAGGACTTAAAATATATATTCTAGTAAAGCCATATTTTCCTTTAAAATCTATCCCGAATAATTCTGACCCCCAAAAACTATTTTACTTCTTCTATATTATATAATTTATATTTCTCGGCAAGTGCTTATTTAAATTATCTCGCCTGTTTTCTCGCTTCAGTTATAGGAAGGTTAATAATAATAATATCATTAATATAGACTAATATAATTATATATCTATTAATATAAAGGCATTTTTCTTTAGGGACAGGAATTAGGCTAAAATAAAATAATATAATAGCTAAATCTTATTATTAAAGGCGTGACGATTTTTATAATCCATAAAGTACCTTTTTAATTCTCCAGATTCTTCTCTTAATAATAAAACTATCCGGATATCTTATATAAATAACTTTTTCAAGTATTATATTCAGGAATGTATTCATAATATTTTATTAATTAGTATTAAGATCAAAGGCAGCTATAAGCGCTATAACTGCTTAGAACACTCTGGCTAACACAGTTACAGTATAATTATTAATAATAATATCTTTTTCTAGGTCTCCTCTCACGCAGATTCTTTCTTTCGCTTTCACGAAATAACTATTTTTATTAAATTTATAGGTGAAGACCTATTTTAGTAAAAAAATCTATGTATTTCTTACTTATTCCTGACGTACAAGATCAAATATATCTATAGATTATAGAGTTCCAATCTTAATACAAGTAGTATTAATAAATTCATCTTTCAGCAGATGATTATATATATCAGCGAAGGTTTTTAGTAGTAAAGAAAGATTATTTCAGTACTATTATTTTTTCTTCTTATTTGCTAACTCTAAAATAGTTAAAAATATATACTTAACTTGTTCTGGCAGAATAATAAAATCTTCTTTATCAGTGAAATTATTAAAAAGCATGTATATAATAAAATCAGGGTCTTTTTACTTATTTCAAGAACATTAACTCATAAGAATGTTTTCTTACTCTAATCCTTCCATTTAAGGTCTTCTAACTTTTATTCTTATTTTATCTCTATCCCCTGATCTCTGTAAAACTTACAAATCAAGATTTTAAGCAGTCTTTAGATCAGGCATGGCTTCAGTAAGTTCTCTCACCAATATCTCGCTTAGCGAGTTACTTCGCGGGTTTTTCTCTGGCTAAGGCGTTACAGGAGTCTTTATAATCTCCCTAGGCAGCTGAGATCTCTCAAAGGGCCTCGGTAAGGGTTTAAAATCATTAAATCCTCTGGGCATTCATTTAATCCCGGTAGATCACATATAGTATAATTACAGAGTAGTCTGCGGTTATAAAGTAGTCTGCGGTATTAAAAGATAATTATTAGTAAGTTACCCTGGTGATTTAACTCACTTATTTTTTTTTATTTTTATAATTAACCTTCTTATTTCCTCTACAGGGATTAAATCTTATCTGATTTTATTATTTTCTGTATTATTCAAATTATCTCTTACCTTTTTAAATCACTAACAGGCCGCAAGGACTCCAAGATTATCATCTCTTATTAAATTACTTAGTATAATAAGGTCCTCGCCTCCTTATAACTCCTTACTTACTTCAACCAGCAGCATTAATAAGTTTTCGCGAATAAAATCTTCTAAAAATAGCTGCGTGGGATTATAAAATCTTATTTTATTAAACTAAACATCTCTCGCAGTCTTTACTATTTATTTTCTCAGATTCTATATATACTAAATATTCGTGGCAGCTGGTCCCAGAAGGATTCTTTAATAAGTATAAGGTGCTATCCTATTACTTCTTTCCTATTCTTAACATATATAAGTGATACAGCCAATTATTCTGAATGCTGAGAGGTTTGGTTTCTTCTTATAAATAACTTTAAATAGAGTTTTCTACTCTAATATTATAGTAGATATACAGTTCAAAGTTTCGGCAGTAAAAACAAATATCTACGGCCAAAGGTCCTGTGGTAATTTCGCTTTAATTATTATTTTTTTTACGCAGAGAATCAGTATTAATCCTGCGTGTTTTGCTGAGCCATTCTGATTCGGAGTTCTAATAATAGAATATTCGTGTATAATTTCTTTCGCCTGTTCGAAATCCTTAATCTTATTCCCGAGCGCTTATTTATTATTATTTTTAAAAAACTTAATATACTTTTTAAACAAGTTTTCCATCTAATTAACAAATATTTTAATTATATTAATACATCTATTTTTCTGAGTATGTACATGGACAAAATAAAATTATAAGTACTTATTATAAAAATAAAAAATCTACTATATTTTGTTAATTACTGGCCTTATTTAAATCAGATTAAAATAGACTCTTTTAAATACCTTAGTTATTTTTATTATTAGACATCTGGAGATCTATTAAGGCGCGTACAAAACCTTATATATCTTACAGACGTGGTCCTTTTAATTCTCCTCTAAATCAGATATCTCTATTCCTGTGGCGGCACTTAATAAGTAATAAATAACATCCTTATAAATATAGCCCATTCTTCAGTGCCAAATTTCCATATTTCCTTTTAGTAATTAAAGCCTTACTAACCTTCGTGGGTTCTGATCAGGATTAACCCTAAACATAGTAAAAACATAACAATCCTCGCTTATCTTCTTAATAATCCATAAACCAGAAGGATAATCCTTTAGGCAGAATACAGATCAATTATTTCTCGTGATATAATTCGCGTTAAAATCCCAGGCATAGCCTGCCTATTTCACACGTCTGGCGCTAAGGATATTTATATACAATCCAGGGACATAAGCAATATTATTTAGTAAGATTTTTTAATCTCTTTTCTCGCCTCTGTAATTAGGGTAAATCCTGATCTTTCCAGTACCCAGAATCTTAATAATTAAATTACCTGCTCTGAAATCACCTTCTTTAGATTAATTAAGGG